TGTTTCTTCCTCCTGGAAATAAGAACTTCTCTTTCCCTCAATGTTAGGGAATTTTTTTTTTCTCTTTTTTTGAGACATGGTTTTACTTTATAGCCCAGGCTGGCCTTAAATTTTGAATCCTCCTGCCTCTGACTCTCAAAATGGGATTACAGTTGTGTGCCGTGGTGCCTGGCTACTGTTAGGAAGTGCCCCTATGTTGAACTGCCAGTCATTATGTAGGTCATTCTGCCTTTGAATCTCCAAATTTATGTACTCTGGTGTGGGGAAGTCTGTGCATCATCACTGTTGTGATTTCTCCTGCTGCATTTTGTGTCCCATCTTTCTGGAACTCATGTTGTTTGGAAGTTAACCCTAGTCAGTCTTAATTTTCTTTTCTCCTCCTAGTTTCTATCATTTCTCTGTTTGCTCTACTTTCTGGTCCCTTTAATAATCTTCACTTTTCAACCTTTCTAATGAGAGTTTCTTTTCTTAGTTTTTCGAGACAGGATCTAGTGTATAGTATGACCCTTACTAGCCTGGAATTGATGTTTAGCCCCAGCCTAGCTTCAGCCCCTAGCAGTTCTCCCATCTCAGGGCTGAGATTATACTCCCAGGTCAGATTCTTAGTAGCTCAGGACAGTTGGAGGCTGGGCCTGAACTCAGGGCTTCCTGGGATTACAGGCATTTGCAGCTTCAGAGGTGTTTGAGAATGTCCTCAGTCTCCTGTTTGTAGCAGTCATACCCAATTTTTTTGTTTTTTAAATCTCTCTTAACCTTTAACTTATTATTTTTATGTGTGGGTGTTTTGCCACATGTGTATGTGCACCACATGTGTGCACTGCAGGGACTGGAGATACAGTTATGTACTGCCACATGGGTGCTGGGAACTGAGCACTGGTCTTTTGGAAGAGCAGTCAGGTGCTCCTAACTGCTGAGCAATCTCTCCAGCCCAGTGCCCTGTTCTTTTGTGGTTGCAGCATTTTCTTTTTTCAGGTACTGGGTGGTATTTGCACAACTCTGATTATCCTGACACCCACTGTTCATTTAATGGGGTGAATTTTATGGGAAATGCTGAAGTGTCTAGTGGTTCTCGGCCATCCATTCACCAGAGAATGAAGGACTAGAACCCATATTCAGGATACAGAGGCAAGAGACTCAGTATATGTTTGAGACTAACTTGAGCTACATAGCAAGTTTCAGGCACTATCTCAAAATAGCAATAAAAGGATGACAGACTAGAGCTGAACCTGGTGGCCAGGCCTGTAATTCTGATGCTTTGGAGGCTGAGGCAGAGTTACAAGTAAAAGGCCTGCCTGTGCTACAGAGATGGTTCAAGGTCAACCTGAGAAGACTCTGTGAGGGTATGGGGTTGGGGTGGGGTAGTCACAAGCCTGGATCCTTGTGCCTCTGGCTGTGGCCTGTGAGCCAGACTGTAAGATGAATTGGCTGGGCACATTCACTGGGCGATTCTGTGTCACCCATCGTCCCAGGCTTGTCATGTTATAAATAAATGGGAACTTTTAAACATAGAAAGTTGGAGACAACAGTGAACTGATTCCCACCGCCTGGCCTTAAGGCAAATTGTATTTGATCTAAACACCACCAACTTTCTCTTGTCAAAATCATTTAAAAGCAAATCTTGACATATTTTACCTATGTCATTGTGCATTTATTTTAAGATTTATTTATTTGTTATTTTGTTGGTATTGGTGTTTGGCCTGTATGTATATAGCTAGGTACACCATGTGCATGCAGTGCCTGAGGAGACCAGAAGAGGGCATCAGATCCCCTGGAACTGGAGTTGTAGATGGTTGTAAGCCACCATGTGGGTGCTGGGAAAAGAACCCAGGTCCTCTGCAAGAACCAATCAGTGCTGTTAACTGCTGAGCTATTTCTCTAGCCCCTCATTGTGCATTTCTAAAAGATAAGAACCCAAACAACAACAACAACATAAAAAACCAAAATACCCCAAAATACAAAAACACCCATAACACTACTATCATTCTTTCCACTTAGTAGCAACCCCCAGCAATTCTTTAAGATGATTGTTGACCAGTAATTTCTGACTGCTTTCTAAATGGGCTTCTCGCCAGACACCTTCACTGTAGCAGGTGTACCTATTTCTACCAACTCTAACGTTTTTTCTAGAATTCTGCAGTGTAGGTCTCAGGTCACTTCTCTGGTTCTGCCCTCTGCAGCCCACACAGATTGTACCCTAGGCTCAGCAAGCTTAGCTCCACATCTGCTGTTGTCCTTGGTGGTTGTCCCATGGTAAGGCTGGCCTTTTGTTTACTGCAATTGGGCTGTACTTTGACCAATAGCCTCTCTCTCCTGGGTCCTCTTCAGGGACTCCAGTTCTGCCATACAGTGCTAACTAAGACTCAGTACCACCTGGACGACTCTTAAATTACCAAGTGCAGCTGCTAGCACAAGATGAAACCTTGGCTACTTCTGGGACACAGCTTCTGTGTTGTAACTCTGAGGAAAACCTTCTCAGAAGATTTTACCTAAATGATGTTGCTCTCTTAATCATCACTAATGTCTCAGCACCAGCTGACCAGCTCCATTGTTATAGCAAAGCAGAGGTTTCACTTCAGTGGTTCTGGTCTCTTGTTAATCACAGATGACCAGAACCACAGATTCTTAACTCAGATTTGCAGTGGACTGATAGGGGCTTTGAGTGACCCTCAAACTTCCCTCGGGAATGTCACTAGCTGCTTTTGAGAGACGTTCAACTTTAAAAGAGACATTTGTTTTTTTTTTTAAAAGAGACTGAACTTTTAATGTGTTAGAAATTGTAAGACTGTAAGACTTTTAAAGTTTGTAAAATGTTTTTATATTGTGATATCATTGTATGATCTTGGGTATGAACAAGTAAGGAAAGGTTGTGATTTAACAGTGATGTGTCTTAATAGTGGTATGTGTAAATTGACCAGAGGTCACTTGTGCTGGCTAGTTTTGTGTCGACACAAGCTATAGTCATTTGAGAGGAAGCAATCTTTATTGAGAAAAGGCCTTCATAAGATTGGGCTGTCAGCAATTCTGTAGGACATTTTTTAAATTAGTGATTGATGTGGGAGGCCTAGCTCAATGTGGGTGGGGCCATTCTTGGACCGGTGGCCTTGGATTCTATAAGAAAATAGACTGGGCAAGCCATGTAATGCTTAGAGTAATCTAATAAGCAGCTCCCCTCCAAGGCCTCTGCTTCAACTTCTGCCTCCAGGTTCCTGCCCTGTTTCAGTTCCTGTCCTGGCTTCCTTCAATGATGGAATATGATGTGGAAGTGTAAGCCTAATAATCTCTTTCCTCCTCAGCTTGGTTTTGGTCATGGTGTTTCATCACAGCAATAGTAACCCCAACTAAGACTCCCACTTACCCTTTCCACTGTAAAGATTCCCTGGTTTGCAGACATGCCGTGGTACTAGAGCAATTGCCTGGTGTGAGCAAGGCCCCTAGTTTAATCTCTAGAACTATCTCTACTAACACATACTTCACAAAAACCTGTTCTTCACAGGGTATGGGATGGAGCTCTCCTCTTGTACAGTGTACAGTTAGTGTAATCTTTGCTCCTGTTCACTTTTTGGATAGTTTGTCAGGCTGAATAAAGATAGAAATAATGCTGTGATTCCCCCACCCCCCATTGGCACATTATTTCTAAATTCTCTCTCACCCTGCATTCATGCCCAGGGTGTCTGGTTGCAAATGTAGGAATGCATATTTGTTCCTTTTTGAATACTATACCATTCATATGTCTGTGATGGGATAGAAATGGATGCATTGTGTCCATCACAGAACCTTGGTGGGTTCATGATGGGAGATGTCATTCTGTATATGTTTCTCATACTGGTTAATGAATAAAGCACTGTTGGCCAGTAGGAAAGGAAGATAGGTTCTTTTCCTGTTTTATGGAGCAGAGGAGTAAGGAAAGGGGACCCAAGTTTTGAGAAAGAGAGGCTCACTTGGAAAGATCAGGAGACTCTAGCAGTGAGGAGGTATGTGAGCGCATGTATCAGCAACAGGACAGAAAAACCAGGGCACAGGGGCTGAGATTGAGAGAAAGGACATAGTTCTGTGAGGATGTCCTGTAGAATGTGACAGGGTCAGAGGTTGTGGATTGGAAAACAATCACTGATCTGCTAGTGGATTTAATTGTATGGGACTCTGTTCCAGTGTACTTTGTCCAGGCAGCAGCCCGTAAATGTGAGAACTCACTTATCTTTCAGATCAAAAAACTCACATGCACACAGCTGTCAGACAGACCAGCATTCAGACTAAGTCCCATGTTGAACCAAGTTTCCCAAACAGCCCAATATAGGAAAGGAGTTTAGTCCACAATGATTAAAAGTACTGAAACAGTAGACCAAAGTAGCACTTGTTTTGAGTACCCAGTTCTTTCAAATTTTTGCTGTTTGATATTGTCTATACTTTACATCTTTTGTTGCTGTGAACAAGCCCCCTATCAAGAAAAGACTCAAGGGGGAAGGGTTTGTTTTGATTCAGTCTGAGAAAGGCTACAGTCCATCCAGGCAGGGAATGCCTGTCAGTAAACACATGAGGTCACATTAAGTCTACAATCAGGAGGAAGCAAAAAAAAAAAAAAAAAAAAAAAAAAAAGGACAGAAAGAGAGGCCAGGCTACTATAAAAGCTCAGGTCCTGTCCACAGCAACCCACATTCTCCAGCCAGGCTCTACTTCCTGAAGGTATACAACTTTCCAAACCAGCACCACCAGCCAGGGACCAAATGTTAAAACATATGGACATATAAGGGACATTTCTATTCAAATTATAACAGTTTACAACTATTGAAAAAACTTGCAGTGAATGCTTTCTTCTGAGATTATTTGGAGATGTCAAAGAATTACTGCCTTGGAGGGGAAATGAGGTTATAAAATTATGCATACACATATCTTGCAAAACATAAAGAGCCTACTATCCTGAATTTTTTGTTCATTGAATGAAATGAATGAATACACACACACACACACACATTTATACATATATGTGTCTCTTATCTTTGTAGGCCTTTGCCCAGTTTGATGCAGAGGGTGATGGGACAGTTGATGCTGAGAATATGTTGGAGGCCCTCAAGAACTCCAGTGGTGCCAATCTGCAGGGGGAGCTGAGCCATGTCATCAGACAACTACAAGCCTGCTCTCTTGTTCCAGGTAGGTGGATGCTGAATGCTCACGTGAATGCTGAAGGCTCAAGATGTTCTCTTAGAACCACAGTGTTTTCAGTTAGGATTAACGGCACCTAGGCTAAGCTCTGTTGGCTGTAGCACTGCCACTGCACAAGGCTTAGAACCAAAATGAACTTTGTTGTGCTGTAAACTGAGATTGGCCCAGCTGTGGCACTGTGAATTCTGCCAAAGCATTCATTAGACACCTGAGCTGAGTGAAATTTGTGAAATCATCACTTCCATTCCTCAACAGTGATATGGCTGGGCAGTTTTCTGTTTTTTTTTTTCCCCCTTGGTCAAGAGGCTGCCTCCAGTAGATCTGCTTATTTACTTCCTTAAGAAGTGTGCCTGGCCCAGCCCATGCTGTGTGTTCTCATAGCATCCTGCCTTTCTCTTTTGCATCGCTGTTCTTTTATTTTCTTTTTTCTGTTTTTTTGCAACATAATATCATTGTAATAAATGAACTGATTTCATCATTGTCTGTCTTCTTTCTAATACTGTGAGCTCCATCAGAGCAGGGACCTTCTCTTATTTTTGCTATGTCCTCACATTTTATTTTTTGCACGTGTTAAATATTTTATTGTTGTTTTCTAAAGCTTTTACTCTGAAACTTTTGTAAAGTAAGAATTGCTAATAACTAAGCAGTGATGCTTTTACCTGTTGTACATTCGAAAAATATTGGCTTTACAGTTTTTTGCTTATTTGTTTATTTAGTTTTCTGGTGCTCATGTTCGTTCTCTCTCTGTCTCTCTTCCTCCTCTGTCTCTCCTCTCTCTCTCTCCCTCTCCCTCTCTCTCTCTTCCCCCTCTCTCTGTCCCCTACCTCCCCCATGTGTACTTCTGGCCTTGTATGTGTTAAGCAAGTGCTATATATCACTATATCCCCAGCCTAGTCTGTGTGGTTAGATGATTTCCATGGTGACTCAGACTCATATAAAGATAGCATCAGAGTAATTTGCCCTTCATTTTTTCAAGTGAGATGACAGTTCAATTTGAAAGGGAAATAACATTGCACACAATTTAACCTAAGAACTTTGCCTGTTCTGTATACCAAATGGCAATACCTAGTGTCTCCCAGCAGGAGTAAAGGCAGGATAGACTTGGCAGACTGTAAATCTGATTGCTGTTAAACCTTCTGACCTGCTGAGTGATGTTTTGGGCCAGGGAAGGATAATGTCTGCTTCTTAATGGAGAATGAATGTTTTGTTGTCTTTCATTATGTAATTCTTGTAGGGCATTGTATGTAGCTTGTACATAGTACTGTTTTTTGTAGTGTCATGGTAGTTAAGCTGAACTTTGAATTCCATTTAGTTAACATATCACAGTATGTATAGTCACTCCCACCTTTACATTACAAATATGTGGGTAGCATGATCTAGATTCCTCAGATTATGTGTATGTGCATTAGTGTTCTGAGGATCACAGCAGGATGTCGAAAATCCTAGGCAATCATTGTGCTCCTGAGCTATCCCCTGAGCCTCAGAGAGATTTTGCAGGAGGGGTAGGTAAGGGAGTCCACCAGTGGGTAATGCCTGCTGCATTGGGTGCCTGATGGAGAAAGGTCTATGCCCCGAAGTACTCACATAGTATATACTCATTACTTAAAGTTTTCAACTCAAAAATATGTAATAATATCCAACATGAAAGAATCATCACAGTCTCAAACCCTTGAAAGCTGAGGTCATCTCTATGGTGGCATCAAATAGTTTCCTAATCCCCTCAAATGTCCTCCCACATTGAAACTTGTTTTCATTGTATTTCACTGTTGATGCATAGAGTTCATTGAAATAATTCCTTTGCAGAACCTTTCTAAGACTGAAAATATTTTCCTTTACAGAATTTCTCTCTCTCTGTGTGTGTGTGTGTGTGTGTGTGTGTGTGTGTGTGTGTAATCATGTGCAGCAGTCTGTTATTAGGTGTGGTCATGTGGGGCAGTCTGTTATTAGGTGTGGTCATATGCAGCAGTCTGTTAGGTGTGGTCATGTGCAGCAGTCTGTTAGGTTTGGGTTCTGAGCAAATCCATGCAGGTTCAGCAGCATCATGGATATGAAGCCTCATCCTGCTGTGGGTAGGGGTTGCCTAGATTTTGAGTAGAAATCAGCTCTCTCTGGGGTTTGAGTAGGCCATATAACCAAAACAGGCTGCTTTAAGCACAGAATATCTTTTTGGCCTATTGCTTTATCCAAAAAGTGACTGCAGGGTTTTGTTCTTTTCTAATGAACCTGTCCTTCTTTTAAACTCAAGACCCTAGTGACTGCTGGTGTCTTGATCTGAGGCTGTTCACATAGGTCTCTAGAACTTGAGAAAATTTGTCAAATAATACAATTATGTGACCTTTTCATTATGACCCATTTAAAAAGTGGGAAAAAAATAACACCCCAAATCTACAAATATGTCTCTGCTTCCAGAAAAGCTGCTATGCTATGTTTCTCCTTGCCTCACTTTACCTGGTGCTTCTAGATTATAGCAACCTCAGTTTGAGGTTATATATAGGTTATAAGGATCCAGAAAAAGATTCTAAACAGTGGCAGGTGTGGTCTTGTGTCATGTCTTCATAAGATTACTTAGGATAATGGTACATGAGAGGCAGGTGACATATGGGTAGTCACTTAGATCATCTAAGTGGGCATCTGAGCAGGAGGTGTTGAGGCTGAAGAAAAGATGGAGAGAAGGCCTCAAATGAGTCATACATTGGGGGGTGGGCCTAGCCTGGCAAGAAGAGCCTGAGGAGGGAGAGAGTAGAGGAATGTTCCCCACCTGCCTTCTTGCTCTTTTATGGTCATCTAAGTTGTATTTCCACTCTGTTGTAAAGCAAGCCTTCCTGGACCTTCACCATCCCTGGACAATATGCTACGTATTGTGAGGACCAAGTGAGACAGTATATGTCAAGTTCCTTACATCTCTATAAAATTCTTCCAGAAACTGGCAATGGAAGTGGATGTTTTGTTGTTGTTAGGACATCAGAATAAGCACTAAGTTCCAAGGGATCAATGCCCTTTGCTGGCCTCTGTGGGCCCCAGACATACAGTGCACATATGTACATGTAAGCAGAACTTATACATATAAGATAAAATTGAAAATATCATTAAAATTTTTATTTTTCTAACTGCTAAGCTGTTTCTCTAGTTCCTAAAATAAGTTCTTGAGATTGTTGCTAGTTCATTTCTTTAAGACCTACTTATACTTTTAAATAGTTGAAGCTCAAAATTTCAGTAAAGCTAATGGCTACTTTTAATTTAGCCATTTCAGAGGGAGCAACAGGCACAGGATGTGGGAACTATTGTGATGACTTCACCAAAACATCAAAAATGGATTTTATGTCTTTAGGTTTCATCGACATATTTTCAGAGTCAAAGGAGGGCCTTGGCACTCACTCATCAATGATATTGCGCTTCCTGCATCGCAATCGGATCTCTAGCATGGTGATTCCCTACCCAATGTTAGACCACTGCAATAACATGTGCACCATGCGATCATCAGTTCTGAAGGAGTCTCTGGATCAGCTGGTACAAAAAGAAAAGGGTATGTGCATGAAAGAATCCCATGAAAACACTCTCCCATTGTCTCTTGTAGTGTTTAGTAATAAGGTGAGCCAGATCTTCTCTGTGCCTGTATTTCTGAAAATACTTAACCAGTTTATAGCCTAAGAATGTTCTCCCTGCCTTCTTGTCTGCATGTCTGATGACCTGAGTTTGATCCACAGAGTTGTATAAAAAGCCAGATACGTGGTGCACATCTATAGTCCCAGCATCCCAGTATTGAGATGAAAGCACAGACAGGAGAGTCAACTGGAAACTTGTAGGCTAGCTAGCCCGAGTATCCAATGCAACAGTGGAAACAAGAAAGACCTTGCCTCTCAGAAAGGTGGAAAGTGAGGACTCTTGAAATGTATTTTCTGACTTCCACTCATTTAAAAAAAGAAAGAAAAAAGATTAGTAGGGTATACTGTATAACACTTTAAGATTTCTCCCAGAAAAAAAAAAGCAAAATATGTTTTCTATTAATGGCCCATTTGGCTGAGTTTTTTTCTTTTTGTAACTGTTCTTGGTCAATTACTTAACTCTTTGACCCATGTCAGTAAACACCCAAGTAAATATTAGTTGTTACAGGTGTATATATGTATGTATACACTGCAAATGTGTAAATAATAAATAACTTAATTTTTTAAAAAACAGACCCTTGCTGGGCAGTGATGGCATACATCTTTTAAACCCAGAATTTGGGACGCAGAGACAGGTAGATTTCTGTGAGTTCAAGGCCAGCCTGGTCTATAGAGCAAATTCTAGGACAGACAGGGCTCTTACAAGGAGAGACTCTGTCTTGAAACACTAAAAAACAAAACAAAAAATCAGACTATTAACCAGGAAGAAAATGGGAGAGAATAAGACCAGAAAATACTCAGTACTGTAAGTAGCTTCAAAAGCCTCATTTGGGCCAGCAAGATGGCTCAACAGCTGAAGGTACTTGTGACCAAGATTGATAACCTGAGTTTCTTCCCCAGAACCCACATTGTAGAAAGAGAAAAGCAATTTGTCCTCTGATCTCTACATCTGTACTATATAGCATGTGTGTAATTACTGACACATGCACACACACAAATAAATTTACTTAACTTCAAATAAGTAAATAAATAAAATATGATTAAAGATAAAAGCCTAATTAAAAAGTTAAGTGTAAAGAATTTATTTTTTGGCATGGCTTTATAAAGATAGAAGTGATTTGGCATCATGATGTAGTCAATGAGAAGGTGGTGTTTTGGGAAGAAGTCTTTTAAGGAATGTTTGGTTTGGTGCCAGAATAATAAGCATGCTTCTGTTAGATACTTTAAATGACTATTTTCTTTTTCCCTTTGTGAAATAGCTAAACTCTGATGTTTTCCTGCAGAAAGCCCTGGAGACCTAGCCAGAAGCCCAGAAATGGATAAACTCAAGTCGGTAACAAAGTGCTATGCTTATATAGAAACATCCTCCAACCCTGCAGACATCTACAGGATGACAAATGGAGAAACATCATCCTACTGGCAGTCAGATGGTAGTGCCCGCTCACACTGGATACGGTGGGTAGTACACGTTTTACTTTTTAAAATCTTCCAGGAGGTACAAACAAAAATCTTTACCTGTTTACTCGTTTTTTTTTTTCCTCCATTTTTCAAGATAGAGTTTCTCTGTGTAGCCTTGGCTGTCTTGGAACTCATTCTGTAGTCCAGGCTGGCCTCAAACTCATAGAGATACACCTGCCTCTACCTCCCAAGTGCTGGGATTAAAGGTGTGCACCACCACTGCCCAGCTGTTTCCTCTTAGCTCACCTATAAATGAGAGGTACACTCAGCTTTTTGAATGCAGTTTAGAATTGCTTCTTGGTTAGTAAAAGGATTTTATTGAAATGTTTATGTTGTCCATTCCTGCTTATACTAATATCTTAAAAGGAAATATAAGATTAGCCTAACAGAATAGCTTTGAAGAGATTTAGGAAGGCCATACATACAACTTTTTAATGCATTGCTAGCATCTCAGGTTAGTCCTTTAGAAATCCATCTTAGCCAAGTGGTGGTGACACATGTCTTTAATCGTAGCACTCAAGATGGATCTCTGTGAGTTTGAGGCCAGCTCATCCTACAGAGCAAGTTCCAGATCAGCTAGAGCTATACAGAGAAACACTGTCTCAAAAAAAAAAAAAAAAAAAAAAAAAAAAAAAAAAATCCTCTTTTACATATATTAAATGCAAGGTCCAGAGATGGGACTTGTGGCCCCACCAGTGCTTAGGCCATGTAAACATGGGTGGTTTCTGTGTTCTGTTTTCCAGTTTGAAGATGAAGCCAGATGTTGTGCTTAGGCATCTGTCCATTGCAGTGGCTGCCACTGACCAGAGCTACATGCCACAGCAAGTGACAGTGGCTGTGGGAAGGACTGCCAGTGATCTGCAGGAAGTACGAGATGTGCACATCCCCAGCAATGTCACTGGCTATGTAACACTGCTAGAAAATGCCAACATCAGTCAGCTCTGTGAGTCCAGTAGAAGTGGGTTGTGAGGGAAGGGATGGTAGGGATTTGTTGTAAGCTTTAAGAAGGTCTCTGAAGTTTTGAGATTTGATTTGCTTTTGTTACACCCAGAGGGAAAGCATCACTACTTTATTTATTAAGTAATTCTAAATATATAAAAAATTATAAAGCTTTTTTGTAATTAAAAGTATATTGTTATTTCTTACTGGAAAACTAACAACTATGGACAGACAAAAACATATCCAAAATCTTAGGCCACACAGGTTGTCAAGTCACTGCTGCTTTGGTATGGTTCTTTCCAGACCACTTCTTATGTTTATGAATTTGTGTGTGTGTGTTTATATATGCACACATATAAAAAGATAGAATTTTATATATTTGCATATACATAGCATCTCCCAAAGATTATAATATTCTGCTCACATTTTTTTTTTTTTTTTTTTTGTATTTTCATTGTTTTTGTTTTTGTCTTGAGATAGGATCTCACCATCTAACTCTGGCAATCCTGGAACTCTCTATGTAGTCCAGGTTGGCCTCGCACTTAAGAGAGATCTACCTGCCACTGCTTCCCAAGTGCTGGGATTAAAGGTGTGTGTCACCAGGGCAGGATCTTATGTACTTTTAATGTGTAGACATCTCATATAGTTGTAGGTGGATTTTTCTGTCCCTTAACCAGCTCCCAAGTCATGACCTGGGGACTTACTAATTATGAAAGCAGATGCTTAGGCTTGTCCTACTAGCTCTTCTTTTTCTTTCTTTTTTTTTTCTTTTTGGTTTTTCAAGACAGGGTTTCTCTGTGTAACAGTCCTGGCTGTTCTGGAAGTTGCTCTGTAGACCAGACTGGTCTTGAACTCACAGAGATCTGCCTGCCTCTGCTTCCTGAGCACTGGGATTAAAGGCATGTGCCACCACAGCCCAGCCCCCACTAGCTCTTTTAACTTAAATTAATCCATTTTTATTCATTGACATGTTGCCATGTGACTTGTGGCATTTCTCTGTCCTCCTGCACGTCTTACCCATCTGGCTGGTGACTCTGCCTTCTTCCCAGCATTCTCTCTACCCTGAAAATTGTGCCTAGCTCTTGGCCATTTAGCTTTTATTAAACCAATCCAAGTGACACATCTTCACAATCTACAAAAAGATTATTCCACAACATAGAATGATGATACCTTTTTTTCAAGAGTTGTAAATGTCTCAATTCTAACCTACCCTTTGTTCTTGGACATGTTTTCAATTTTTTATATTATAAAATTGTTGATACATAGCATTTTGGAAATAACGGTTTTGAGATTTTTTTTTTTTTCTTGCTACCCTTGTTTCATTTAGGGAGCCAGCATGCTGCATGTCTTGTCTCATTTCTTTTAATACTTTGCTGGGCTAAAAGTGCTTTTACTTTGCTCAAAGGAGCTGAGCAGTCCTACACAAAGAAGTAGTTACACTTGTAGAATAGAAGCTTTCTACCTTCGGCTGTGGCAATCTTTCCTCTAAGTTGTGTCCTTTTAAATGTCTTCCCTCCTTCAACCATCTAAGCATTTATGATGTCTGAAAGTGAGTCATGTCTGCATCCTGTATTTGGACTTGGTTGTTAAAAAGACCTTCTCACAACTGTCTATAAGTCAGATACTGACTTAATAGATTCTAGAAACTCTAGAAAGAATTCTAGAAATGTTCAAATTTCTAGATGTGTGGAAATTTATAAAATTCTATATAGTTTCCAAGATTCATAGGGTTCTGAAGAAGCTTTATTATATACCACTCCTAAGTTTACACATTATTCTTACAAATTGTGATTCATCAGTGCTTTTGTTACAGGTTGTTTCATCATACACATTTTATTTCTGTTACTAAAATATATCTTTATAATTTTTCATTTTGCTTTTAGTTGAGAGCCTACCATTTGCTGACCCTTTAAAGACATTAATCTAATGCTGAACTTGTTTGTGTTCAACAGATGTCCAGATAAACATAAAGCGTTGTCTTAGTGATGGGTGTGACACTAGGATTCATGGTCTGAGGGCTATTGGCTTTCAGAGAGTTAAGAAATCTGGAGTCTCAGTCTCCGACGCCTCTGCAATATGGTACTGGTCTCTGCTGACATCTCTGGTGACAGCTTCTATGGAGACAAATCCTGCCTTTGTCCAGACAGTGCTGCACAATACTCAGTAAGTCACTCTGGTTCTATGCTGTCACAGTGCATTTCTTCTTCAGCCTCCAGTTTGCATCCTGACTACCCTGCCTCAGGCTCTGCCCCATTCTGATTGATGTTCTGACTTTGTAGACTGAAAAAGTGTCTGTTCCACCTTCTGCCCTGCTGACACAGTTCCTCCAGTGTCTTTCTCTATTAGCTTGTTAGTTCCCTGACCTGAAGCTATCCATGCTGTCTCTGCTCCACTCCTTATGCATCAGGAACAGTTATTCATTTCTGTAACATTTACTATGAGACAGAGCATTTTCAAATGCTGGCTCTTGTTTTGCCTGTAGACACTGAAGTGCTCTGTAAGTCACCCTCCTATTGAAGGTGAGGATCTAGTTAGCATCCAGTCACACAACCAGGCAGAGATGAGTCAGTTAGGACCCAGGTCTTTGGACTAGTGAGTTAAATTTTCAAAGATACTAAACTAATTTATTCTCTTGTTGAAGGGTCCCCACAGTCAAGTAGCAACATGTAGTACAACAGCTACAGCTCCCTCCCAGCACTGGAGAGGTGTAGGTGGGATTGCTACAAGTTTGAAGTGAGTCTGCTCTTTATGGCAAGTTCCAGCCAGACAGGGCTACTTAGTATGACCCTGTTTTTCTTAAAAAAGGTTGTTTTTTAGTAATGAATTGCTAGTGTATTGTGTGTGGGTTCAATAACAGAATGCATCATTAGTATAACTCAAGTATGGGCATAAAGGAGGCATCTGATATTTATTCTCCTGTCCACTTTTGAGATTAGTGTTGTTTAGTACAACTTGTCAGCAACTAACACTACTGGCAATACTGAATCTGTAGGGAAGGTGTTGCCAACCCCTATCCTTCAGTCCTATCTTTAAATCATTTTTATTGCTGGGCATGTACACATAGTGTACACACAGACAAACAGGTACACAAAATAAAAACAATTTTTTTTAGCCTTATTAAGAGTGACAGTGGTGCATCCATTTAATTCAAACACTTGGAAGGCCAAGACAAGTGGATCCCTGAGTTCATGGCCTGTTTGCTCTACAGAGCTGATTCCAAAACAGCCAGGAGTACACAGAGAACCTCCATCTCTAAAATCATGTTTAATTAACCCTTTTAAACTTAGAGAAACATGGTAAGAATAATCAAAGAATATTTTGCCCCCTGCCATATGATAGTAATTTGTTACCCTGTTGTTCCCAAATACTTTAATAATATGTTCCCTATAAACATGTTGTGAAACCACCAAATGAGGACATTAATAATGTGTAACCCTAAAATTCCATTTGGGTTTTCAAGTTGTCCCAGGGAAGTCCTTTAGCAGGAAGATCTAGTCCTGAGTTAGATTTTGCATTTCGATGTCATATCTCTTTAGTTTCCCTGAATCTAGAACAATTCCTCAGCCTTTCCTTGACTTTAATGATCTTGACTATAGAGAGAATTCCCACAGAACTTGCAGCTGGTTTGATTGCCAAGTGTTAGTACCTGGCTTTGATCTGCCTTTTGAGTCCTGTACCTTCTTTTTAAAGTATGTAAATCTTACCTGAGAGTTTCCTAAAGGTTCAAAGTCTATGTAAAACTTGGTTGTAGGAGGACTCAGAAAACTTGAGATGCCTGGGAATTGCTTTGGTATCTGTCCCTTTGGATAAGAGGTTTTGGGATGTGGAAATAGATTTGCCAAGGTATAAATTATAACAATAAAAAAGCCTTTCACAAAGCTACAGTCAATCAGTTCACCAGAAGCTGCAGCCACAAAGGGTATAACCATCTAAAAGTGACCCCATTTCTTCAACAGACCAGTGTGAACCAAACACCCGACACAACACTGACCCCTCTGAAATTACAAGTCAGCTATTTTGAAGAGTGCCTTGTGATTCTGGTGCATCAGATGTTTCCTCCCAAGCAGATTTGGAATTTTTTTTTTTTTAATTTCATTTTGCTTGATTGAGAGAGTCTTACTATGTAACTAGACTGGCCTGCAACGCACAATCCTCCTGTCTCTGCCTCCCAAGTGCTTGGATCCCAAGTGTGTGCCACTAGGTCTGGCTGTTTTGTATCTTGAGCAGGAATGTCATAGAAGTGGTACTAAGCTCTCATTGCATTCCATCTGGTGGCACAAGCAGCAGATTGTCCTATTCTTAAAGCTGCTGGTGTCAACTTTGACCTTTGCTAGATTTTTCAACTCTAGAATAATTTTTTTCTTTTATAATCAATTTTTTGATAAGAAGGTACTTCATGGCCATGTAAACCCCACCCCCATCAAACTTTTTGTTTACATTAAGGATTTACAGACCCCTATATTATTTATTTATTATTTTACATATTGATCCCCAGATCCCTGTTTTATATACTGGCATATAGTTAACCATTTTTTTTTGTTTGTTTGTTTGCTTGCTTATTTGTCTTTCAATTTTTCAAGACAAGGTTTCTCTGTATAGCCCTGGCTATCCTGGAACTCACTCTGTAGACCAGGCTGGTCTCGAACTCGCAGGGAACCATAGGCCCTTGCCTCCCAAGTGCTGGGATTAAAGGCATAGGCCACCATTACCCTTAACCACAGTTTTTAAAACACCTTTGTTTTTTGTGTGCTTGTTTGTCTATGTGTATACCACATATGTACAGTGCCCACAGAGGCCAGAAGAGATTCTTGGATCCCTTGAAACTGGAGTTGTAGGCAGTTGTAAGCCACCCACTGTTGGTGCCAGGAACAAAACTCAGCACCTTGGCAAAAACAAGTGCTTTTAACCCCTGGACCATCTCTCTAGCCCTCCCTAACCACAGTTATGATGCTCACACAGTCCCTGGTTTAGTTGGTAGCAACCCCTTCACTCTGCATTTTTGTGTCCTTTTTTATTTTATCTGTTTATTTCTGTCTGTCTGTCTAGCTCCTCATTGTTCTTTAGAATTGTCATTACAAAAATAGTTCCCTTTCTTCCTTTTTTTTTTTTTTTTTTTTTTTTTCTTCTTTCAGACAGGGCTATGCTCTGTTACTGCCCAAGCAAGGTCCTTGAAGAAAATTATTTTGAAACTCAGCTCATTATTATAAAGTTGTTACTTCGCCCAGGTTCTTTCAGTAGACACAGCCAGCAAACTCACATTTACATCAAAATAAAAGATAGACACATGCGTGTATTCACACCTGTATTTCTGCATCTCTAATACTAAGAATGAAGTTTATGTGAGTATTTCCATCTCCAATTCAGCAGCATGGGATCCGTTCTAGTGTTCTCTCTGATGTGTCCTTTCCTTCTCTGATGGTAAGAAGTGACTCCTGTTGTTTTTCATGCATCATCTTACTTATTTTCCTAGTCTTCCTTTACATAACCAGGGTTCCTTGCCCCTGCCCTTGCAGAAAACCTCCACAGAGCCTTCCTGCTCCAGTGCCATTAATAGAGCCACTGCTGTAAGCACCCTTGCCCCAGGTCCCTTTTTGTCCCCCAAATTCCTATACCCCGTGTCATGCCACCCCCTCATTCTAATTGGCACTTTCATTCCATTACTGGTCTGTCCCTTTGTGTAGCTATCTATCTCACTCTGCCCAGGCTCCATACCCAAGCATAGGCCACCCACAGCTCCACCAGTGTGCACTGGGTTTTCAGGAAGCGAGAGGGGAAGAGCTTCTATCTCAGTTTTTGTTGTTTTTTTTTTTTTTTTATTTGCTTGTTTGCTTGTTTTGAGACAGGGTCTCTCTACATAGCCCTGGCTGTCCTGGAACTTACTATGTAGATCAGGCTGTCCTTGAACTCATAGGGACCTGCCTACCTCTGCCTCCTGAATGCTGGGATTAAGGCTATGGGCCACCATGCCTGGCCCTGTACCTTAGTTGTTGTTTTTTGTTTTTTTGATGATGTACCAGTTTATTGAAGAATATTTTTGCCCCATTATCTTAATATATATGTAATAGTACTTTTACTTCTCCTTATTTATAAAAGATCAGTTATCTAAAAGTATTACAAAATAAAAACTGTGCTTTGAGGAGAAATAATTAAAAATATATTTATGGCAGAGTGATTTTTTTTTTTTTTTTAGGGCAGAGTGAGTGTTTACTTGTGTGAGAGAAAATGAACCCCACTGATCCACTGATGACTATGTGGTTTTGCCTTTATTGACACTTGCATCTGAGCATAGTTGCTAGCACAGCCCCAAATGACTGGCAGGCAGGCAGAGAAAACCAGAGCAGAGGGGAAGCTGATGTAGTGTTAGGTTGCTCTATTGTCTGTATTTTAAATGCAGAAATTGTCAGGCATGGTACCATACACCTGTAATTCAGTACTCATGAGGCTGGGGCAAGAGGAGTGCCATGAATTGGAAACCAGCCTGGACTATGTAGTGAGTTTAAGCTCAGCCTGGGCTACATAACAAGATCCTGTCTCAAGAAAAACAAAATAAAGGGCTGATACTCTGCCTAGCATGTAAGAAGCCCTAGGTTCAATCTCTAGGACTGCCAAAAACCAAACAAGCATATAAAAACCCTCTATCCTAAATAAATAACACAAATAGTAATAGACTAGAGAGATGGTTTAGTGGTTAAGAGTGCTCTCTGCTCCTACAGAGGACTGTTGGTCAGTTCCCAGGACCCTGTCAGGGAGCTCATAGTCACCAGTAACTCCAGCTCCATGGCATCTGATACCCCCTCTGGTCTTCTCAGGCAGTGGTCTTTTTATGTATGAACACATGCAGATCTCAATTTCTCTCATATACCTGCATACATATTCATGCACAAAAAATAAAAATGAAAGCTATGGTGGTGGTGGTGGTGATGATGATGATGATGATGATGATGATGATAAAGGATGATCAATTCTAGAATTGGGTTCTTTATTTGAGACAAGGCCTCACCATGTAACCCAGGCTGACCTCAAACTTGTGATCTTCCTGCCTCAGTCTATATAATTCTGATGTGAGCTATCATGCTTGGTTTAGGATGTTTTTGTACATTCCTGGCATACCTTCAAGTGTTTCGTGGTACACTCGAGTACTCAGTGAACAGTGAGTACCCAGTAATCACATTAAGTTGAAAAGGCCAAAAGACCACAACAGGCACAGGAAACATGATGGTGCTGATCTCCCCAGTAATCAATAAAATTCATGACACCTCTTTAGATACAATAGATACTAATGTTCTGGTACAAAACAGACTTTGTACTAAACCCACACAGTACTACCATGGGGGCAGTTTTCATGAGCCTGCGTCTTTTATTCTTACCACTTAACATGAGTTCCAGGGAGTCAAGGAAGTTTTTACACAGTGGGATAGAACTCTTCCAAAAAAGGAAAAAAGTGAAACCCTACTAAAACTGTTTATTATGTGACTCCTAAATACACAAGTTCAGTTTATGTTGTGCACAAGGCTCCTCACAGGAATACTCTCACCTAGCTCAAAAGAGTCTTCAGCATAAGATTTGATGGTGCGCTTTTGTCTACTGTCATGTCTGGCTTTGCTCTGATTGTACACATTGCTTCTCTAGGAAGGCCCTACAGCACATGCCACCACTGTCCCTCTCACCAGGATCTACAGACTTCTCAACTTTCCTGTCTCCCAATGTTCTGGAAGAAGTGGACAGCTTCCTCCTAAGAATAACTAGGTAAAATCAAGGGTGCTGAGGTGAACAACTTGTGTGGGGTAGAGGGCATATATGCTCATTCAGTTCTTAAGAAAAGTTTGTAAGAATGTTTCCACTAAAAATGATTCATTTTTAGTAACCAAAGAGGAAGTGAAATAATCCATCCTAATTCAATTAACACTGGTAACCTCCAGTATTACCCAGCTTTAAGAATTGGGGTACAGAGGAAGTTAGCCTCTGATTTCTTTAGAAGAGATGTGTTCAAGTCTAAGATGCAGGCCTCTTAATTCATTCTTCTCCCCAGCCTGTAGCCTTCAGTCAGCTTGCTTCCATATAGGACAAACAAGCCTACTTGCCTATAGAACTGGGAAAGGGTACCTTGATAACTTATGGAATACTCAGTGTGAAGACATTTGACTCTCTATAGCAAGTCCTGAGACATTAACCATCCTGAGGTACATAGATAGCTTTAAGTTTCCGTTATGGTGTATTTGGAAAGGCAGAGAGGTATAAAAGGGGTGGATCTGGCAGTTCTCATGCTTCTCAAGTACTGCAATGCACCCTAGCTCTGTGTCCAGCCCAGTTCATCCCCAGGAGTCCTGATGGAGACTGGCTGCAGTAGCTTATTTATTTTGGCTTAATAAATTACTTTGTATTATTAAAGTTTCAGAAGTGAGGATTTAATTTTCTGGCCCTTGGGTTGATTCTGATTTTCCTTGGGTTATTTTAAGGATTTTGAAACTACATTTCTGGTAAACATTTAGAGAACACATAACAGGTTAATTTTATTTACAGGGACTGACTGCATAGGTTTGAGCTATCTGGTTTTCTTGTGTTTAGGAAGTGAAAAGTTTTTTGCTTGTTCTTTGTAGCTGCTGTTCTACTCCAGAGGTAGAACTGACTCTTCTGGCTTTTGCACTAGCAAGAGGAAGTATTGCCAAAGTGATGAGCTCTCTGTGCACCATCACTGACCACTTGGACACACGCTATGATGCGTCATCCCTCATTTCATCCATGGCATCTGTCAGGCAGAACCTGCTCCTGAAATATGGTAAATGACCTGGGCATGATGAAAATGCTAGCAGTGGACAAATCATAATGCTACCCTTTCCAGGTGCCCTTTGGCCTCTTTTGGTCTTTCTGGATAGTGTGTAGACTGGGTTGTAATAGTGGTGCTATGATCCCTGGATGAACACATCCTCTGACTATTATTAACTTTTTTCTGGAATTGGTAGGAGAAAGAGGGTGTCCATGGGTCATTTATGGCAGGTTGGCAGAAAACATCCAAGTGTCCCACAGTGGGTCTTGGATTTTCTAGTACAGTGACGGGTCTGGTAGCCATTTTGAACACAGCCATCTTTGGTGAGGTACAGGTATGTGTCATCATGTAATTAGAGGGAATTGGGAAGTTAGAGTATTTCTCATCTGGAGGGAGGGGCTCACTGAGACCTGGTGCAGAGGAATCTTTTCCTCAGAAGCTTTCCTCTGCATCCACATCATAGCTGCTCAGGAACATATGTGTATACCGCCATTGTTTTCACTGCCTAGGTCCATCTCAGCACTTTGTTGATGACCTAGCAGGAGATCCCCAGTACATCTCAACCCAATGCCAATAAAACTGTTCACAATGGTTGCAACCTGGCTGTGAGAAACAACATATTTGCCATGCCAGCCTCTAGTGACACAATTTTCTTCCATTAAGTTCAGTGATTGATCTTATCCTCTTCAGCATTTCAGGCATTACTAGGATATTCCCGCCATGGTGTTTGTACAACATAATACAGCTTTGCAGTTTATTTTATGTTTAGCTTTTAAAATTAGACAATTGTCTTACGAATCCAGTTTCTCTCCACACAAGCAAAGTCTCTGGAGAAACTGTGGGCCAGAAACAGGCATGGCTGGGTGGGAAGTTGAGGTGGCACCTAGAAGCTGAAGTGTTCTCCAGGAATATTCACCATCCATATTGGCGTTGTTGGGACAGAGAACAGAGGAGAGATGAAGAATATGGCAAGGAATGCACATGACTAACAATGGTTAGTTCTGGGCTGTTCTAGAGGCTAGTGGGTATTTACTATTTATTTACTTTTTTGTTTGCAGACAGGGTCTCACTATATAGCTCTGGCTGGCCTGGAACTTGATGTGTAGACCAGGCTGGCCTCAAACTTACCTGCCTCTGCCTCCAGCATCCTGGGAGTAAAGGTATGCACCACCACATCCTGCCTGTTATTAAAAACAATTTTTCAGTTTGCTGTAGCAAAATTTGATTTTTTTTTTAATCTCCAAACTTTAATGTTATTGTATGATATGAGGATGTGCACATTTGCCACAGTGCCTGAATGGAGGTCAGAGGACAACTTTGGGGAGTCAGTTCTCATCTTCCTCCATGGGTTCCAGGGATTGACTTCAGCTCTCTAGGTTTGCACCATTGAGCCATCTCACCACCCTCCTGCAGATAATGTATAGAAAGAAGATCTAAAACATTATATATTCAAGTACAGATTCAACAAAACTGATTTTTTTACTTCAAACAGTATCTTAGAAATCTTTCCATATGTTGAATCTATAGTATTAATCTATATATTGTGATGTGCTTTGTTTCTGAAAAGTGACTTCTTTAGAGACCACTCCTTACTCCGAGTCATAGGTTATACTTTTTTGTTTAAGAAAAGCACATAGTGGTAGTATTGACTTTTGTCTATTACCATCCTACTTGACCTTTTTTTGTTTAAAATATTTTAAGATTTATTTTATTATATTATTCTTTAATTATGTGAGTGTAGTGTATGTTTGTTTGGGAATGTGGACATGAGCACAGACACCCTCAGCATCCAGAAAGAGTATCAGATCCCCAGAGCTTAGTTATAGACAGTTGTGAGCCACCTGATGTGGGTGTTTGGAATTGGGCTCAGGTTCTCTGGAAGAGCAGTATGCACTAACTGCTGAGCCATCTACAAGCATCTCCTCCCAATTTTTAAAAAGTGTGTGTGTGTGTGTGTGTGTGTGTGTGTGTGTGTGTGTGTGTGTGTATGTATGTATAAGTAAGTCAGCCATATGAAAATAAGGAACTTGAAGGAGTCATTTCTTTCCTTGCACTATGTGGATCCTAAGGATCAAACTTAGGTCATCAGATTTGGCAGCATCTTGCTGGCCCCTATTTTGCCTTTTATACAGGTAAATATTAGCAATCTGACTAGCATGGGCCATACATTGCTGCCTCTGTTTTTTCCTTTCTTCTTTCCTTCCTTCCTTCCTTCCTTCCTTCCTTTCTTTCTTTCTTCCTTTCTGCGAACCTAGCTTAATACTTTCCCTATCTTTTCTTTGGTCAGGTAAACCTCTCCAGTTGACTCTTCAGGCTTGTGATGTCAAAGGAAAAGAAGATAAGTCAGGACCTGAAAACCTCCTTGTGGAGCCATGGACAAGAGATGGTAAGTGCTAGATGGTCTGTTGCTTGTATGCACAGGAGGCAGCTATGTGAACTCATACTCGACCTTGAAAATTTTCAGATGTTGGTGCTTTGGGTGTGTGTTTAAAAATAAAAATTTTAAAATGTGTAGTAGTGTTTTGCCTTAGTGTACCTATGTGCACCATATGTTTGCTTAGTGCCCTAGACCAGTTTGAGGGCATCCTATCTCCTGGATGTCCTCTGGTTGTGAGCCCACATGTAGGTACTAGGAACTGAATCTAAATGCTCTGTAAGAACAGCAAGTGCTGGTAACTAAAGCCATCTCTTCTGCCCTTATGTTAGTGGATTTTGTTGTTTTGAGACAGGGTTCCATTATGTAGCCCAGGCTAGTCTTTAACTCAAGACAGTCTTTTTGCTTCGGCTTCCTAGGTAGTGAGATTATAATCATGAGTCACCAAAGACATTAGTCTTCACCTCAGGTTGGCAGCAGCATTTTCTGTACCTTGTCTAGTTCAGCTGTTGTCTAGATGGGTAGTGACCTGTAACAGCATTAATATTTGACAGCCTGAGGCTATTTAAAATTGAAGTTTTAAAAAAAGCAAGGGCTGGCTCCTTTTCTTGGAACAGAAAAAGTGACTGCATTTAATTTTTTTTTTTTTTTTTTGAGACAGTGTTTCTCTTTGTAGCCTTGGCTGTCTTGGAACTCATGCTATAGACCAAGCTGACCAACTCAAGAGATCTGCCTGTCTCTGCCTCCCAGTGCTGGATTAAAGGTGTGCATCACCACATTTAATTATTTATAAGTTTAGATTGACTTTCTGTTGAGTTGGTTTAAAATGTTGAGAAAGGCAAAGGGTCCTTAGCCCCATGTTTCTGAGAGAAAGAACGTTCCAGCTGCTCTGGCATCTGATGTGTTGTAAGAAACTTCTTCACCTGCAGCACAAATGTATGTTTGTGTGTGCTTTGTTCTTCTCTAGGCTCTTTTCCCCATGCAGGTGTATTTGTGAGCCTTTTCCCTCTCTATCTTGGTAGCCACTTGCTTGTGTCTCTTTTCTGTTCACTATGCTGCTTTGAATCTTACTGATTCAGTAAGGTGGCCTGTTGCAGCTGCTGTGAACACTGGCCTGGCCTTCCTGCTCTGGATTTGCTGTTGTTTCCCTCAGAGCCTGCAGGCTCTGACATCTTCAGCATAGCCTCTTCCCCATCCTGTTTCCTATGTTCATTCTTGGCACCAGTGAGGCTCCCAGTTACACCTCTTGTCCTTGATGACCTCTTAAGCAATAGACATTGCACAAGATGGTTCCTTACACTTCTGAGGCTCTCAGCTTCCACAAAGAGCTTTTCTTCATTGCATCCATATATCTTCCACACTGAAAGCCACAGCAGGCCATTAACTTACCTCCCTCCCAAAGATGGGGGTGCAGTAGGATATTGGAAGGAAGTGGTGGCAGCCCTTTGCCTCTTTATCATTCCTTCACCCTACAAAGTCAAAAATGGCTTTGCAAAGGATCCTCTGCATTTTCCCTCTACTCTAAAGAATTGGAATTTTTGTCTCTGTTACATGTGGGAGTGTAATTTTCTGGCCCCAGAATGTGGACTTTTTGGCTTAATTTTGTTTTGAGAGAGGATCTTACTATGTTGCTCAGGATGACCTCACATGTTTTACAGCATCCCTCCACCTGCTTTACAGCATCCCCCACCCCTGCTTTACAGCATCCCCCACCTGCTTTACAGCATCCCCCACCTGCTTTACAGCATCCCCCCACCTGCTTTACAGCATCCCCCACCTGCTTTACAGCATCCCCCCACCTGCTTTACAGCATCCCCCCACCTGCTTTACAGCATCCCCCACCTGCTTTACAGCATCCCCCCCCCCCCGCTTTACAGCATCCCCCCACCTGCTTTACAGCATCCCCCACCCCTGCTTTACAGCACCCCCCACCTGCTTTACAGCACCCCCCACCTGCTTTACAGCATCCCCCCACCTGCTTTACAGCATCCCCCACCTGCTTTACAGCATCCCCCCACCTGCTTTACAGCATCCCCCCCACCCCTGCTTTACAGCATCCCCCACCCCTGCTTTACAGCATCCCCCCACCCCTGCTTTACAGCATCCCCACCCCTGCTTTACAGCATCCCCCACCTGCTTTACAGCATCCCCCCACCTGCTTTACAGCATCCCCCCACCTGCTTTACAGCATCCCCCACCTGCTTTACAGCATCCCCCCACCCCTGCTTTACAGCATCCCCCCACCCCTGCTTTACAGCATCCCCCACCTGCTTTACAGCATCCCCCCACCCCTGCTTTACAGCATCCCCCACCTGCTTTACAGCATCCCCCCACCTGCTTTACAGCATCCCTCCACCACCTGCTTTACAGCACCCCCCCACCTGCTTTACAGCATCTGCCAAACTGCTGTAAAGTATTCCTCCACATGCTTTACAGTATTTCCCACCTGCCTTACAATGTGGGCTTTTAGCACTGTTCAGTCTGAAAATCTGTGCAGGCTTCCCTTGTCTGTAAGACACATTTGCTGGCTTTGTCCTTGCCTGATTTGAATACTTCCTTATTCTCCCTGGATCCTTTGCCAGCCATCTTCTCTTCCTACTTTCTTTACCTTGGATGGAAGAACTTTTAGATTTGGACTATGGAAGGTAGATTTTCTGTTTTTGGTTGTGGTTTTAAATGTGGGGTGTAGACAGAAGCCCACTATTTCTCCTAGACACTCCTCACACAGCTCTAACATTTGAGACAGCTGATGTTCCTTAACTTCTGAATGAAAGTTATTGCCACTAATGCTTGCGTCTTTAAAGAATAACTGAACAGTAGGAGCTGGAGGGACAGACGCCTCAATCTTTCAAGTCTGTGGCAGGTAGGGAGCAACTGACTAGTCAAGGTGATACACACCTATAATCTTAGCATTCAGCAGTGTGAGGCAGTAATAGCAGATGTTCAAGGCTAGCCTAGGTTATATAGTGATAGCCTTTCTCAGAAAAAAAAAAAGTTAAATGAAAAGGCAAGGAAACACAGAGTTATTTGTTGTGTGTGTGCTTCTACATGTGAGTATGAGTGTATAACACAGGTGTACATGTGCCATAGCAGGCCTAAGTTAAGACAGCAGTTTACTTCAGCCTATACAGTATATTCTTTCTTTAAAAACATAAATTATTTTGGGGATGGAGAGGTGGTTTTTCAGTTAAGAGTACTTTCTGCTTTTGTAGAGGACTTGAATTTACTTCCTAGCACTCATATCAGGTGGTCTTAGATAACCTGTAACTCCAGATCCAGGGAATCGGATGCCCTCTTCTGGCCTCTCTAAGCATCTGTATACACACATGTGGCACACATAAAAAAACATAAAAGTAAATTAGCAAATAATTTTAAAATTTCAAAGTATTTATTTTGGCCTAGTGTGGTGGCACACCTTTAATCCTACCCAGTAGTGGGGAAGCAGAGACTGAGTTTATGGCCAATCTGTTTATATAGTGAGTTCCAAGCCAACTAGGCTACATAGCTACATACTCTCTCAGGAGGGAAAGAAGGACAAAGGAGAGAGGGATGGAGAAAGGGAGGGAGGAAAGGAGAGTAACAGAGAAACCCTGATTCTAAATCCCAGAAAACAAATATCTTTATACAATAAATTCCCATAAGTAGGTTCATCTAGGACTCTGGGAATGATTAGGATTGTCTGGGTGTATTAATCTTAAAATATAGTGTGTGTTTCTGGCACCATGCTTTCTTAAAATTGTAGAAAGAATTGCTGTTTGATAATATCGGTTATAGTTTATGGGGTTTTGCCATTATACTACTTCTCAGCCCTAATAAAATCGAATCATGTGATGAATTAGTAAAGGCTCCCTTGGGTTCATGTTCTTGGTCTTGGTGATAAAATTTTCACATTGTCTTGTGGAAACCTAGTCTATGAATGTATTACTAAATTCAGGGTGGTAGTGGCACTCACCTTTAATCCCGGCAATTGGGAGGCAGAGGCAGGGAGATCTCTGTGAGTTCAAGACCAGCCTGGTCTACAGAGGGAGTTCCAGGGTACCAAAGTTGTTATACCAAGAAAACCTGTCTCAAAATAGCATTATATCTAATACAGCATCTCAGTGTGTTATTTGGGGCTGGCATTGCTGTGGGACCAGGCTGGCGGGAAAACATACTCATAACAGCTGAGAGAGACAGAGACACAGACCGGGGTGGGGGGGTGGGGGGCGGGGGATATCGAGGAGAACATGAACTTTATTTCAGTGTTCTGATTTTACAGGAGAATGGTTGAAAGCAGGTCAGGGTCCCATGAGCAGTGTTCATGTAGCACTGACTTGAGCATGTCTTTGCATTAATCACTGTTGTACGTTGTGTCTAGCAGTAATCTTTTTGTTGAGTTGAGAAACAAAATGCAATCAAAAATGTATATGACCCTGGTACAACTACTGTAAATGGATACATCAGACTTTTCAATGAAGGAAGGAATTAATAAGTTACTATCAACAGTAAAAAGGAAAATTCATAAAACACACAATAACCAATAGGAATGTTAGAATTTGCTTACAATTAGTACCCAGCTATATTTTTATGGAATTTTTATTTCTTTGGGCAAAAATCACTTGCATTTCCTTCAGCATTCAACTTAAAGAATTTAGCTTAGAGACAGGAAAAAGCTGGTGATAACTCAGAAGGTGTTAGACAAGACATTCTGTTATCCCCCTCCCATTTCATTGTCTTTTGTAATCTTTCCTGACAGAATGTTCTAGAAGCTGGCTAATCTTTTTCTCAGCTGCTAAAACTACATGTCTTTTGTCAGCCCAGTGAAACATTAGTCATGGCTTTAGGGGTGGTTCAGGAAGATGACTGATCCTGCAGTTTTCTGCCTCTTTGATTTAAAATCCCAGTCTGAGGAGATTGCAGCCTGTGTGTATGTGTGCAGGGATGGTACTTAGCTAGTGCTCTTGTTGCCTAGGACTTTTTTTTTTTTTTTTTTTTTTTTTTTTGCAGGGGTGGAGGTGTGGGGGAGGGAATCATATCTGCCCAAAAGGAATTGTTTTTCTAATTGTCACAAAGGTACCAGATAGGCTAGTCACCCTTGTTTTTGTTGATTCTTGATCTTAGGACTATAAAAATGACTCAGACATTCTGTCTTTTTCTTTTTTTCCTTAGGTTTTCTTACAGAGACTGGAAAGACCAGAGCAAGTACTATTTTTTCTGCAGGAACTGAGTCTGCCTTCCAAGTTACACAGATCAGAATTATGGTAATTTTCCTTCTATCTTCTTTAAATAGTGGTCTTGCTTTTAAAAGTGAATTAGGGTGGGGGGGGTGGCTTTGCAGTTGAGAGCCCTGTCTGCTCTTCCAGAGGACTTGACTTCCATTCCCAGCACCCATATGCTGACTCACTATGTGATATCAAGCATGAGTGTGAGTTCTGGGACAACAAGTGGGGGGGCTGGTGGTGGTTTGGGTTTATATTTCCAGAGGTCCTTGCCTTTCCTTGGGTATGCAGTGATTATTTTCCTTTATCTGTTCTCTAGCAGAGGGCAGGAGCACAAATTTGGATCCAGTTTTAAGTCTTTGAATGGTGTGACTATAAGGGTGGAAAAAGTCAAGCTAACATTTTGTAGGATAGCTCTTTCCTTCTAGGACATAATGTATTTGAATATTGCTTCATTGGTTTCACTGTGCTGTAAGCTGTTGGAACTTAACCATACATATCAACTGGAGCTAAAATAGCCACAGAATTTTTGCCTTTGCTTCCAGGTCCGCCGTGGTGGCATCGGTGCTCAGTGTGGGCTGGTATTTGCCTATAACTCACCTTCTGCTAAGTTTCATGCAGAAGAACACTTCAAACGGTTTGAAAAATACGACAAATGGAAGCTCCAGGAACTGAGGCAATTCGTAAAAAGCAGGTACAGAGCCAAGGGAAAGTCTATGTCATTAAGAATGTATCTGTTCTCCTGCTGGGTGTGGCTTTTCACCCCAGTGTTTGGGAAGCAGAAGCAAGTGGACTGTTGTGAGTTTGAGGTAGCCTGTTCTACATAGTGATTTCTAGGTCAGCCAGCACGACATAGTAAGACTATGTCTTTTCAAAGAAATGTGTGCTTATTATGAAATTATGCTTATACAAAGGGTAACCTACCACAGAGGCCAGAGGCCTTTGTTACTTTCTAAAAGCATTTGCAAAGAGGGGTGTTAATTTGTATATAATTTCTTATTTGACCTTTTCTGTGGCGAGGATCTCAGGTCTTCAGAATGACTGGGGCATCCTTCTCCTGCCATTCAAGCTTTAAAACATTTTTTTAAAATTCTTTTTTTCCAAGTTATTTTTTATTATTTAATATTTCTTCTTATTTTACATATCGATCCCAGTTCTTTCTCCCTCCCTCCCTCCCTCCCATGCCCCTCACCAACCCCCCCCATCCCATCTCCCATTCATTCCCTAGGGAGGGTGAAGCCTTCCATGAGGGAACACCAAAATCTGTGAAGTCATTTGGGGTAGGGCTTAGGCACTCCCCCTTGTCTCTAGGCTAAGGAATATTCCTCCATGGGGAATGTGCTCCCACAGTCCATTCATGCACTAAGAATACATCCTGGTTCCACTGCCAGAGGTCCCATAGATTGCCCAGGCCTTCTAACTGAGACCTTTGTTCAGGGCTTCTGGGTTGGTCCTATGCTGGTTTCCCAGCTATCAGTCTGGGGTCTTTGAACGCTCCTTTGTTCACATCAGCTGTTTCCGTGGGTTTCTCCAGCCTGGTCTTGACCCCTTTGCTCATCACTTCTCCCTTTCTGCAACTGGATTCCAGGCGTTTAGATTTATTTATTTAATGTATAAGTGGTTTTTGGCATGTATGCATATGCACCATGTGTGTGCCGGGTGTCTGTGAATGAAGGTCAGAAGAACACTTTGGATCCCTCAGAACTGGAGTTAAGAGTGATTGTAAGCTACCATGTGGTGCTGGGACTGTGTCTTCTGGGAGAACAGCTGCCATTCATTCTGAGCCTTCTCTCCAGCCCCTCTGTTTAAACTTTCATTGGAAATATTCATTAGGCATTCATTATGTGCCAGGCCTGATGCACTGAAGGTCCTGTAGTGGAAAAGTACTAGAGGGGGCACTGTAGTAACTATAGAGTGTGTGAACTGCAATGAGTGCAGTGCAGGAGACCTCTGGGAGCAGACAGCAGGCCTCACTTGATAGGAAACATAACCCTGAGCCAGTGAGCAGTGCTGAGCTGTTTCTGAAGAGTAAGCTCACACTAAGTAGCTGCTTGAAGAAGTAACTGGTGGCTTGAGCAGAGGAGCAATAGGCACCAGGGCCCAGAGGTGGCATATGGCATAATGAAGGGTCTGGCGGCTATGTGATTAAACTGCACTGTCAGGAAGTGGTGAGGGACAGTGCTGGAGAGCAGGGAGAGATCAAGTCCATAGAAGTGTCTTTGTTTGTTTCAGGTCTTAGTTTATCTTTAAAGTACATGTGTGTGGTAGGGGAGGAAAGCAGGCAAAGGGTAGAGCATGTTATCAGGGAGTCAAGAGGTAGATGAAGGAGGTCACATTTCTTCTAGAAGAATTACTTGGATGTGTGCTGCAGCACCATGGATAGAGGAAAACAAGCATAGAGGCAGGGACTGGGAGGAAGCATGCTGCCAGGAAGCTGAAGGTAAGAGGGGCCTAGACCAGCACAACCACCTCTGTAGCAGCAGCAGTGGAGCAAGGTGGCCTGATACAGCAGGGTCTGGGGATGGCTGATAAAAGCAGGAGAGGAAGGAAGGCTTGGGCAGCACCTCCCTACGGGCAGGTGGGGAACCTGGTAGTGCCGTTCGTTCTCTGACACAGACAGTGCTCCAGGGAAAAGCAGGTTGTGGGAAGGTGGTGAGTGGGGTTGGTCCTGCTGGGAAGACTCTGATGTGTGGCAGCCAGTAGGACAAACAGTTTAGCAGCCTAGGAGAGAGACTCCTGTAGGGCCAGACATGACAATCTTTGACATGGTCATTAAAAACACTGGACCCAGGTGTAAGTGCCTCATACTTTAATCCCAGCATTCAGGAGGCTTAGGTAGAATTGCTGAGATTTCAAGGCCAGCCTGAACTACAGACGAAGGCCCTGCCTCAAACAAACAAAACTGAGGGAACATGTGGGGATAGAAGAGATGGCTTTAGAGGACTGTGGACTAGGAAGACATAGGGTCCCTGATGAGCAGTACTAGTTATGACACAACAGAAAATTCAAACACACAATATGGGGCAAGCCAGGCTATACCCTCAGAAATTAGGGAATAGGAGTGGCATTGGTCGTTAAAATGAAGGCTTAAAGTAGATGTAGCCACAGAGGCCTTTGGTGACCCTTCAGATAGTGTTGCTAAAGTTAGAACTTGTGGATTAGAGCCTTGGGCTTGTTGCTGTGCTCCTGTATTTCCTGAGGTTAATAGCAGTCTTAAAATACTGCTCAGTGTGTGCTAATTAGGCATAAATGTGCATATAGATCACCAAGGGATCCTGTGAAAATACAGATCTGTCTGATTCAGTAGTGATGGGAAGGAATTAAGACTTCTTTCCCTTCCTTTCTTTCTCTTCCTCCCAACCCCCTTCCTTTATTGTCTTTTTGTTGTTGTTTTGTTTGTTTTTTCAAGACAGAATTTCCTTGTGTAGCCCTGGCTGTCCTGGAATTCATTCTATAGATTAGGCTGTCCTTGAACTCACTAGGAGATCTTACTGCCTCTGCCTCCCAAGTTCTGGGATTAAAGGTGTGTGCTACCACTGTCTGGCTGTTGGTTTGTATTTTGAGACAGTGTCTTATTAACCTGAATAGCCTAGAACTCACTATGTAGCCCAGGCTAGCCTGGAACTTGTAGCAGTTTTACTTCCTCAGTTTCCTGTGTGCTGGGCTTATAGGTAGGTGTCTACTACCATACCCAGCATAAAATTCTTTTTTAATAATGGCTACAGGTGCCACCTAATTTTAAGGAGCCATGATCTCACTCTTGGGATATTAAAATAGGTCTTTTCCTCTAAACTTTGTCAAACAAGGTGTTTCATATCTTACACAGGATGAATTTTTTTTTTAACCTAAATACAAGCTTATTCATGAATCCCTTAATGATTTGATCTGGTTCTAGCATGAATTATTCTTCAATATAGGCCAACTTAGTTGGCCTACATATATAATCAGTTTTTCTCCAGTTGGAAATAAAAATGTCTTGCCTGTTTGGTTGCTTTCTTTTTTTCTTTTCTTTTCTTTTTTTTTTTTTGAGACAGGTTTTTTCTGTGTAACCACTGTGGCTGTCCTGGAACTCACGCTGTAGATCAGGCTGGCCTCGAACTCACTGAGATTCACCTGCCTCTGCCTCCCAACTGCTGGGATTAAAGGTGTGTGCCACTAACACCAGTTATTCTACATTGCAGACTTTCTTGAAACTTTCTGCCAGGCAGGGTGGCAAGGAAATAGGATGATTGAGAGCTCAAGGCCAGCCTGGGCTACATAGCCGAGGATGGAACTAGTTTCTCACATATTCTAGACAAACACTATGCCACTGAACTATACCCTTAGCCCTCAAAGAATGCATTTAAAATTCCTCACACATGTATTATAGATGAGACTCATTGACACTTAGAGCTTAGCAAGTTCTCCCTGTTCTGCTGTGGTCACTTGTATCACAAAGCATCTCTATCAAGAAAGACTGATGTGAGGAAGAGAACATAATTTTCCCTTGTTCCAGAACCTATTTTGGATTTTCTGTACTTTTCTTTGTAGTAATCTGTGGTTGCTTGTCATGCTTATACAAAACACTCCTGTGCTGTTAGTATGGTAGTTGAGTCACAGGCCAAGTAGTGTGAGGTTTTAAGAATGGAACTTGAAGCCAGGCACAGTGGCTTTTAATCTCAGCATCTGGGAGGCAGAGGCAGGCAAATCTCTTATTAGCTCAAGGCCAACCTGGTCTGCATAGTGATTTTGAGGCAACCAAGGCTACATAGTGAGACTCTATGTCAAACAAACAAATGGACAAAATGAGTGATATTTGAAAAGAATGCCTGCTCCTTAATCAGTTACTTAATTCCTAAAGAGGGGGCAGCATTTACCCAGCCTTTGAAGAGCAGCATGCAATTATCCTTTAGTTTTAAGGATGGAATGGTTCCTTTGGAGGACTTGCTAATCAACAGAAACCTGTGAAGGCTGAGATTTTCGTGAGAGCTGCAGGATCTGAAGCAACTACCTTTCAGCTGTTTGTACATGGCTCAAACCTCAGGCTAGCCATACACAAGTTAGCCAGACCTAGGGGAGGGAAGTCACCCCTGCCTCTCCCTCTGATTACCAAAAGTGCCCATCTTGGGGTATCACTCCTGCATCGAACTGGAAATGCCTGACTTGAATGTCATTTGGATAAGGCCTTACCTGTCAGGCTCTGAAGCTACTTAGAAGCAGGACAATGTTTATGATGACACTTGCATTCACAGGATTGGTTGCTCATCTGATGACCTTGGAGAAGATGATCCCATTGGCTGGTTTGAGCTGGAGGAAGAGTGGGATGAAGCAGATGTCAAGTTGCAACAGTGCAGAGTTGCCAAAGTAAGCAGTAGTCAGTTCACCTGCTCTCCCCTTGTATAAGCCTTGCTGACTGCACCAGCACTGAACCAACAATGGAACCTTAGAGGGCATAGAGAGACAGATGTAATATAGCTTTTACCAAGGGAGATTTAACTCAGCTTGGGGTTCACCAGAGAAAAGAGGGTGTAAAATCATGCCAAGTGCTGGAAGAGGATTGGACCATAATCTCTGGCATGACTAAGAGGTGTCAAAAAGGCCTACTACAGTGAGTAGTAGTACACAGGCATAAATGCAAGCGGGATGGTTTTGTTCCCCAGCTCTAAGAGTAGTAACTGCCTTTCCATGTAATTTATTTTTCTTAACTTAAGAGTAAATCTTAGAGTAAGTAAGAGAATTCAGAACTTTCTTCTGAGTTCATACATAGTGTGTGCTCAGTACATATCTTTACAGTTGAGTGATAGATTCAGAAAAGACTTTCTTACCAGTGAGGTGGCTCAGTGGGTAAAGATGCTTGTTGCCAAGACTGAGACCTGAGTTTGATCCCTGGGACCAACATGAAAGGAGAGAACCAACTCCTCCCACTTCTCCTCTGACCTCCACAAGCACACTGTGAGATGCCTGTGCCCACACACATGAAATAAATTAATAAAGTGTAAAACTGTAAATGAGGAAAGACAGCAAGGCCTTTATGAAAGGAACTTTCCCTTTAGGAAGTAGTTTGCACCAAAGCTGAGCTTTCGAAATACCTTTGCTCTGTTTGCACAGACAAAGCCATTTCTTTACTTCCAGTGTATAAATTGCACATGCTGGTTGAGAACTTGAAGTGATTCCATATAGCATTGACTGTTTTCATCAAATATCTAGTTTGGTTTTGTTTTTCCTCAAAACCACTGCCAGAAAGCAAACCAAGTTCTGTCTCTTGTACTTGATATTTGTTTTTCAGAAAGCCATTGCTCTTAGTATGATCTTTATAAAACCTGACTTACCCGGTGTTTGTGTTCTTTTTTTTCTGGTGGCTGAATATACTGAACTTATTTGTGTCCCCAGTATTGGGCATGGTAACACTTTATAAAATACTTACTAAAACCAAGAGGGAATTTCCTAAAAAGGTCTGTCAAAACTTTCATTGCACATAGGGATTCCAAGTCCTTTTCTTAGGTCTCGTTTATCTTTTCTAGTACTTGATGGTGAAGTTCCTCTGCACCCGCCAGGAATCAGCAGAGCGTTTGGGTGTGCAAGGCTTAAGCATCAGTGGGTACCTCAGGCCTGCAAGGACAGAAGCTGAACAAAGCATCCTCTGTGCCCACTGCAGAAAGGACACGGAGAATATCTATGGGGCTACCTTGCTCCTCAGGACCCTGCAATTCATTCAGCAGCTCGCCCATGACCTGGTAGGGTTTTCCCCATTGTTATACAACACTCCTGTGGGGGAAATGAATGACAATGCTAAGGGAAGTAGGCACCTTTAAAACCTGGTATCTCTAAGCAATGACAGTACCAGTGAACACAATAGCTCTCATACTACATGATAATACAAAAAGGCTGGGGAGAGTGGGCTCTGTGGCACCAGTCTATGGAACACTACATAGCATGAGGCTATTGTTGTGAGGTACCCTGGAGTAGACCTGCAGACATGGTTCTACACCTACCTGTGCTTATCCAGGGGCAGCAGACAAAACAGCATAGCAGGGTTTATTCTTTTTTAAGTCTTAGAGTCACTTCCCAAGTCTGGAAGTGAGTTTTGTTCATTAAATGGACCAAGTGTTAGAGCTTGCATTTGAAATATTTAGGGATTTGATGCTGGCTTTTGCAATTGCTAGTAAATCACAGTATCAGTTCACTCAAGGCCTGGAGTCATACTGTGGAGTACTTGTCTTCCTAAAGGGGAGCCTCTTCCTAAAGGGCAGCCATTGTGTGTGCAACCGTGTGCACCTTAGCGTTCTGTCTCTTCAGTGCACAAGGGGCTGTTGAGCCAGTTGTGCATATGGCATTTGGGTCTCTGTCAGCTAAGAACTCTTATCACAGCAAAGAAGAGATAAAGGCCTAGGAATAGTAGCTAGGTTACAACCGAAATGCAGCCCACGTGTAGGGAAATCAAATACGTTGCAGGACAGTCCTGAGCATCATTATCATGTAAAGCTTGATGTATGTATTATAAAGTCAGAGAACCTGTGTGGCTGTGTGCATGTTAGTGTCACAGTTATTGATGTATGCATACACGAGTATTATTGAGTTGTGTGGGAGTTTCACTCAGGTGGGTCATCTCACTTCTTTACCATGACAAGTTAATGAGATATCCCAATATTTCTCTAAATATATTTTTTAATTTTACTTTTTTCCTGGTCTTTATTATTTTTTAGGTGCAGCAGAAGGAAAGTGGCTTAAAATATAAGTCTTTTCTGGACTTCACAGGTCTTGATTTGCAGATCTTCTGGAATTTTTACAGCAAATTAAAGCAAAAGTAGGTCAAAATTTTTAGAAAATGACAATCATAAAACTGAAATGGGTATTTTTTTTTTTAATTTTTTTCCCTGTATGATTCTTATGCTTTGAAATATTTTTTGAAAATAGTACCTCATATTTCTATAAAATATTTAGAAAGCATTTCCTTATTGATTCCTATGATAAACAGGTCAGGCATTATAAAGATACAAGTTGAGTATCTTTTATGCAGAATCCCAAAATTGGAAAAAATTTATTTGCCACAGGTGGAAAATTCCACATCTCACTTCATATCATGAATCACAGTCAAAATGCAGTTGAACTAAAAATATTGTATATCTGGGAGTCATAGCTCAGTGACATAGCACTAACTTAGCATGCACCAAGTTCTGGCTTCAGTCCTAGTGACATAGTACTTGCTAAGCATGCACAAAGCCTTGGCTTCAGTCCCCAGCATCACAATAAAAGGAAAAAAAGTTGTATGCAAAACAAATTAATTTCATATTTAAAAAATTATTCATATGAGAGAGAGAGAGAGAGTTGATGCTCATGAGGCGGGTACATGGACATGTGTGTATATGGAAGCCAGAAGAGGGCATTGGGTATCACATTTTCTTAGCTAGGTTGGAAGCCAGTAAGCCCTAGAAATCCTTCTGTCTTGTCTGTGGTCCCCCACCTCCTCCTGGAACACACACACGAACACACACACATAGGAACACACACCTTGGAGCTGGGTTACTGCATTGCCAGGGATGTCAAGCTTGTTACACAAGAGCTGAAATCTGAATGCCAGTTCTTCAGCTCCATGAATTTCATATTTAAACTTAGGTCCCAATTCCAAGAGAGCTCCTTCCTCTTCCCCTCTTCCCACCCTCTTCTTCTTCCTATCTTCTCATTTCCCCTCCCCTTCCCTCTCCTCCTTTTCCCCTTCTTCCCTCTCCCTCTCTGATGATGATGCATTTGCCAATATTCCAAAAATTTTTTTTTAAAAAAAATCCAAAGTTTGAGGCTCTTCTGTTCTGATCCCAGCTTTTTAGATAAAGGACATGATTTGTCTCCTCATTTTACAGGTGAATAAATAAATCAGAAATATGCTTCCTTCCCCAGTGGGCAGTCAGACAGGGTCTGTTTCCAGGTATCTGGTGATAGCTTACTCTGGTTTGGTGTTCCCTTTTGAACCTGATGTCTTGAGGCAAGTCCTTTGTAGACAGCTATAGGACTTTGGAGGTTGAAATGAATCTGCCCTTCTGCTCTCTTGATGTTCTTTCTCCTTCTCCTTTCTCCTTCTGAAGCCCAAGGGAAGAATGCATCTGTGCGCAGACTCTGCTGCTGCAGCTTCTGCAAAGCTGCTTCTCAGTGTTGCAGAGTGACCCATCAGTTGCTTCTGAGGAGGAGAAGCCTGCAGCACAGTGCCCTGAAGGAATGCAGGCTGCCCAGGAGCTCTACACACACCTATGTGATGGTAGGGACTGGGGTGTGCCTTGAATGTGTCTTTGTACTGGTGTCCACTTGGCTGTAGAAGTGTGAGGGGTCCAGTGATCATGTGAACCAGAAAGAGATTACCAAAAAAAAAAAAAAAAGAGATTGCCACCATGGGACATGAACCTACCTGCCTCCCTTCTCCCTCCCTTTTTTCTTTATTTTTTCCTTGAGAATGGGTCTCATGTATCCCACATGGCCTCCCACTCACTAAACAATTGAGAAATGACTTTGAACTTCTCATCTTCCTGTCTCTACCTCCCGGGTACCAAAATTATAAGCAAGTGCCTCTATACTGTTGTATGTGGTCCTGGACCTCAAACCCAAAGCATCACAAATGCTGGCAAGTGCTCTGCCAACTGGTTTACATTCCTGACATAACAGGAGCATTTTGTTTGATACCTTTTAGGTTACTGTTTTGAGTTGAGGGTTTTCTCTTTTACAGCCAACTTTCTGCTAGGTTCAGATACAGTTCAATTATATTGAGGGTAATTACTATCACACTGTTCAACCTTGACACTGGGATGAGGCCAATAGATTGAGAGCGAGAGATGGTAATTACAGATTGAAGATGAAACACATGCTACATTTGAAAGTAATTTTAAGGCTTTGCCAAGTAAGTGTGTCTCAAGAGAACAAACAAGTAAAAACATAAAAACTTGTTCATATAGTCTTTGTTTTGGTTACATGTAAACAAAAACTAAATTATTTATACTGCCTAACCTATACACAGAAATAGCTTACTATGATACAAGGCACAACATGGAGAGTAGTCAATTTGTAATCAGTTATAGCAGGTTAGTTAGTGAATAGATGAAATGTGGCAGAAATGATTGATTCATTGTTCTTTTTCATTAGTGGTAGATAGAGCTGATGGAGATTCCATGCCCATGGAGATCCTAAAACAAGAAGTCAGGAACACCCTGCTCAATGGGGCTGCCATCTTCTTTCCAGATCGACAGACCCGGCGGAACCAACTCTTCACCATGATGGTAATTATGTTCCAAAATGTGGATTCCGTGACTGAGTTAGTCTTTATTCTCTCTAAATACTTGACAGTGTTTTCTGATGCCATCACTATCTGCAGATCTTTGTGTGAGCTTTTGAAGGACATGTACTGTACTCACCTGGATTTCCAGCCTGTCCTCTTCTTAGTCACAGTGACAGTGTAGTTTCCACCCTTATGACTTGCCTACAACCAAATTTTCTTTCTTTTCTTTCCCAAGAAGAAATTAAGGTAATTACAAGAAAAAATAAAAGTGAGAATATAGTGAATCCTTATTACTCAGGCTAACCTTGTTCCATCTGTGATATACCTCGCTTACTCTCCAGTTCTCCCACCCACCCATTGTCACTTTGAAGTAAATCCCTGATCTATTTCATTCATAAGCAGCTCAGTATATGACTGTGAAGAGAGTATAACTAGGTTTTAATCTTCAGTTGGTTCTTCTTACCCTCCTAGGGCCCTTCTCCATGCTACTTAGATTCACTGCTGTGGTTAAAGGTGCTTTTTGTAGTTAAAAGCACTGTACTTCCAAATGGAGGATTTTATACCAAAGACTCCTCCATTTGTTTGCTGGAAACATTCATTAGGTAGCTGGAGGAATGATTTGTTGTTGATGTTGACAGAGTGTGTCCCACATGAAACAGGAAATATCTGACCACTTGAATGGTGTGAATGTCTGTTAGCAAAGCAGCCTTGTCTCTCTGTTCATCCCTTCAGAAAGGGATCGGTTGCTTTTTTTTCCCTTCAAACTCTGGTACATTAAATAGCACTGCTAACTTTTATGTTACCAAACAGTTCTCTTCAGGTAATTGTTCATTGTAACCATCTCTTACCTTCCCAACTATTCTGTGCCTAGCAGAGGCCTAGGTGTTAAATCCTCTGGAGTCTCCCTCAGTGCCTTACATAGAAATAGGTGTTCAAAGGCTGGTGATCCCTTGTCAATTTGACACATAAACATATCACTATTAAGCCACACATTTCCTTTCTTGTTTATCTCCAAGATCACACATGAATATCAATATTACAACATAAGAATTTCAAATTTAAAAGTCCCAGTCTTTTTAAAAATTCGGTCTCTAAAATATTCAACCCATTTTAAATTCAAGTCTTTGTAAAATTCCAAAAATCTCTTTTAAAAGTTAAAAATCTCTCAACTGTGGGCTTTTGTAAAATCAAGAGTAAGTTAAATACTGTTTTACTTCAAAAGGGGAGAACCAAACACAGTCACCATCAAAACAAAGCAAAACCAAACTCCAAGTGTATAAATAACTCAGCGTTCAATACAGGTGCTCACTCACAATCTTCTGGGCTCCCCCAAAGGGCTTGGGTCACTTCTCTGGCTCTGCCTTCTGCAGCACACACAGCTTGTCTCCTAGGTTCTGGCTGGCTTTGCCCCATTCCTTTTGCTGTCTTTGATGGTCATCCCACGGTTTTGGCATCTCCAAAATACTGGGGTCTCTTGTTGCAGCTGGGCTGTACTTTGACCACTAGCCTCTCGTGGACTCTCTTCATGGTACCAAGCCTCAACTTCTCTCCATGACCCTTTAATTCTCGGCCTTCAACTGCTACTGAGGCTGCACTTTCACCAATGGCCTCTTCTGGCCTCTCACAGTACCAAGCCTCAGCTGCTCTCTATGACTCCTTCATGCCTTCAAAACAAGCATCACCTGGGTGGCTCTTACATATTACCAAGTTTGGTTGCTGGTGTGAGGTACAACCTTGGCTCCCTCTGGAGCACAGCTTCTGTGTACTGACTCTCAGGAAACACTTCCCAGATTTCACCCCAATGATGCTATCTCTTCTTAATCACTGCTAATTTCTTAGTTCCAGGCGATCAGTGTCAGTTCTTCAGGAAAACAGCAGTTTTACTTTAGTGTTTCTGATCTCTTGTTAATCACCACTGATTTGTCAGCATAGCTAAACAGACTCCTAGATTCTTAATTCAGAATATGCAGTGGTCCTAACAGAGTCTTTATGTGACTCAAAACTCCCCTCTGGAACTTCACAAGCCAGGCCTCCAATGTCTGCATTTCTCTCAACACTCTTCTAAGCTCCCATAGAACATCTCACCAAGCTTTGAGCACTCAGTGGCTTTTTGTAGCCCAATGTTCCAGAGCCCTTCTACAGTCCTCCCAAAAATTGTGACATGGTCAAGCCTATCACATCAGTACCCCATGACACAAGTGCCAATTCTTTCTTAGTGGGGGTTTCTGTGTGTTGCTATGTGACCAAAGCAACTTGGGGAGAAAAGGGTTTATTTGGCTCACACTCCCACATCACTGTTCATCCTGAAGGAAGTCAGGACAGGAACTCAAACAGAGCAGGAATCTGGAGGGTGGAGTGGATGCTTACTGGCTTATTTGGATGTTATGAGATGGTCCAGTGGGTGGTGGTGTTCTGTGGTATTCTGTGTTGCTCTAAGGTCTCAAGAATGTTATGGAATCGATTTTCTAAATGTACATTTCTGATTTCCTAGAAGAATGTTACTGAGCATGAACACAAGCAGTCTCTGCAACTCACTTTCCGTTCACTCTGCACATATTTTAGGTAAGTTTATTTCTCTGTATTTTATGAGTACTTTGAATCTTTGCAAAATTATCATTATCATCATCATCATCATTATTTTAGCTATTTCTTCTCATATGCTTTGTCTGCTAATCTAAAAGGATCAGTTTCTGAAGTTAAATGATTAGAATAGTGATGTACCCCAAGTCCCAGCCATTATAAAACTAGTTATAGTTGGATCCTTTGTTGATTACTTTCTGAGTGCTTCAGTTTCAAGGGGAATTTTAAAGACAAAAACTGTAACTAAAGGAGGTTCAGGTCTTATATTTAAATCTACAGACCCAACTACTTAAAACTAACTGCAACCCAGTGTAGTGTCACATGCCTGTTATTTCAGCATTCAGGCAACGGAGACAGGAGAATCTCTGGGAGTTTGAGGCTAACCTGAGCTACATACACAGTGAAGTAAAGGCCTTCCTAGGCTACATAGAAAAACCCTGTGTCAAAAACATAAACAAGCCAGGCGTTGGTGGCGCATGCACGCCTTTAATCCCAGCATTTGGGAGGCAGAGGCAGGTGGGGGATCTCTGAGTTTGAGGCCAGCCTAGTCTACAGAGCCAGTTCCAGGACAGGCTCCAAAGCAATACAGAGAAACCCTGTCTCGAAAAAAACAAAACAAAATCCTCCAAAACATACACAAAGGCTGGGGAGATAGCTTAGTTAGTAAAGTGTTTGCCTTGCAAAAAGATTTGAGTTTAATCTCCAGAAGCCACATTTTTAAAAACAGGCCAGGAAGGCATGGTGGTGTGATTTGTAATCCCAGTGCTGGTGAAACAGAGACAAGTGGATCCCTAGGACTTGTTGGCCAGCCAGCCAAGGTGGCAAGTCCTTGGTCAATGAGTGACCCTTTCTCAAACAAAGTGGGCAGTTCCTGAGGAACAACACACAAGGTTATCTTCTGGCCTTCATACACATGTACACCACACATATGCACACACATAGAGAGACACAAGCACAGAATAGTAATTTTCAGAAAGAAGAGAAGCAGGAATGGGGAGGACTTAAAGATGTGTTGTTATCGAAGATGCTGATGGCTTTGCATACAATATAATGGACCATGCAGCTTGTCCTTCAGACCCCTGACTTTGAAATCTGGCTACATTCTTTTTTGGAAACTTCAGGGTAGAAAGCATAAATCTTCCTCTATAACCAGATGTTTGATAAGTTTCTGCCCTTTCAGTGATAAGGATCCAGGAGGTCTTCTGCTTCTGCCTGAGAAAAGTGACCTGGCCAACATGAACACCAGTGAAGTCCTGGCGGTCATGAACACCCTCCTTTCTGTCGCTGCTCGAGAGGTACCTAATGACAGCTACCTGTCGTCATTACTTCCTGCTTTCAGGGTCATGGTTATGCTGTTGTTTTGCTTTTCTGGTAGCCTTCTTTTGCATATGATTATACTTTGATATTGACTGCTTCACATGGACACAGAGGTTTCCAGCCATCCCTTGCAAACAAATCAGGGGATTTTTGTTTACCTCAGCAAGAAGTGAAAATTGTAAGAGTCATCAAGTGCCTAGAATACTGGTCAGTGAGCTCAGCAAGTCTGATTTTTAACTGCCTTGACATTTTTAAAAACTTAGGATCAGTTCATGAATTTTCAGCTCTATCACTATGTCCATATGATCTCTTTATCTTGTACTGGTGACATATTTTGTGCTTCTCAGACTGCAGCCCATGCTACTAACAAATAAGCATTGCCTGACAGAAATATGGCTCCCAGGCCCCGCCCCAGGCTGCTGTTTTCTAAACATTGGAGCATTTTTACCAAGCACTCCAGGAGACTCTGAGATGGCCTCCCTAGCTAGCTCTAGGAACCCAAGACTTCAAGGTGTTCTCTTAGAAGGAGGAAGGTATTTGGAAATGTGAACTTCAGAATGACTTATTTTGTTTCTTGTGGTTGAGTGCCTTCAGGTAGATTTGTTATTTATTTGTTAGTTTTGTTTTTGGTGCTTTGGGTTTTTTAAATACAGTCTCATCTATCCCAGACTAGCCTACCCAGAGTGACTTCAAGGACCGTGATTCTTCTGCCTTCACCTCCTGTGTACTTTGACTATAGGTGGCATGTGCCACCATCCTCAGTTTTTACAATGCTGGGATGAATTGCAGGGCTTCATATATGTTAGGCAGGTGACATATCAACTGAGCCACATCCCTGGCCCTGATCTCCAGTTGTTAGTGCTTTCCTGTTACCAAGTTGCCCATAGAGCCACCTGCAGCAGTGGGCTAGTGAGCAGCTCCTCTTACTTCTCTTATGGAGAGAAGAGCCCTTATAAAGCATGTAGGCTAACCAAGTCACCCGCGGTCACAGACCCACTGAGGCTGACCACTCGCTACCTACAATGTCTTCAAACTAGCATGACTTCTGCATTACATTCACTCTGTTTTTGACTTTGTGCTTCCTGTCATGTTTCTAGACTCTTTTGCCCTGCTCTGAATCTTCCTTATAATGCTCACTCTAACTCCTTGTTACCGACCTGTGCCCTGTAACCCAGTTGGCACTGCTCATTTTAGTCTCCATCTGTTTCTGCCATTTCCATGCCTTGAAGCTTATCTCCATCCTGTATGTTCCTCAAGTGGGAGTCTTTCTAAACTCTCCCTGGTTCCTCTGCAGTCACATACTGAGGTAGAGAGCTTCGGGATCCCACTGGACTTCACTCTTGCTGACTGGGCTTCCTGTGGGAGGAGTTGCTAAATGCAGGAGCCAGGACTAAAATCTGGGCCATTCTGTCTTGTCCTCTTTCTTATGTGCAAATGTTTGTCTCTAGAGGTCAGGTGACACCCTCACAGAAAGTTTCAAGAACAAAGATGATGATTAGATAACCATAGAAAGATGAACAACCTTTTCTAGGGTAGGAGAAATTTGATCAAATACTTGGGAAGACCCACAGAGAGAGAGAAGAGATATGAAGATATAAGAGAAGGAAGAGAGGTCAACAATGGGATGGGTTCCTTCGGGTGCAGAAATAGATGTCCTATGGAGGAAAATCTTTTGTAGAGGGGAATCTTCATAAAGCCATCTTGCTGGATTTGCTACTAGATTGACTATTCCCATGTGCATGGTGTTCTGTTTTGTTTTTAGTGCTAGTGGCTCCGGTAAAGATCTCTCACTGTGTTCTCTGAATAGTCTTGTTTGGACACTTTTCTGCTTTCTTGCAGTGTGAGTTGTTGATGCTCAGCCGGGCCCATGGGGAAGTTGGCTCTGTGCTCTTCTCCCTGTTCTGGTCTGTGCAAGGCAGCCTGCTCTCCTGGTGCTTCCTGCAGCTCAAGAGTTCGGACACTGCTGCCAAAGAGCTTGCCATGGATCTTATTGAAAAATGTGAGTGTCAGCGACCCACTGCCACAGATAGGCGCCTGAGTTTGACCTGGCAAGAATGCCCTTTCTCAGTAACTCATGTACTTACTTCTCAGGTGTACATGTGGCTTCCTGTATCATGGCCCTGTAATAAGGCTGATTTTTATCTTTCTTTTTCTTTGAGATAGTGTCTCATTACTAACCCAGGCTGACCTCAAACTCATAATATTCCTGCCTCAGCCCCATAGTGCTAGGGTTACAGGCATGTGCCTCCATGACTGGCATAGCTTCACTTATGGAAATGTTATCTCTATTTCTCTGAAAAGTAACAAGAATAAAGGCATTGCTCACTTTAATGGCAGCCTTTAATGAAATCTACACTGCTTTCCCCTCCCAGAAGCATTTGCACAATGACTAACAGTCTCATGTGATACAGAACCCCAACTTCTGTATCCCTGTATAGCTGTGGTTCTCAACCTTCCCAATGCTGAAACCCTCATGTTGTGGTGACCCCCAATATTAAAATTATTTCATTGCTACTTCATAACTGTAATTTTACTACTGTTATGAATTGTAATGTAAATATCTGTATTTCCTGATGGTCTTAGACAACCCTGTGAAAGGGGTCATTTAACCCCCAAAAGGGTTGTGATGCACAGGTTGAGAACCACTGCTCTGTAGCTTCATCTTTGGTGACAATTAAGCAAGAATGTTTCTTCTCTATGAAATATTAACTACTCTCTTTATGTTTTGGTAGATGTGGGACAGTTTCTGGCAAGCATGAGAGTGATTTTGGAATCCCTTTTGTCACAGTATAGTGGAAAGACCATAGTAGAAAAATTATGTAATTCGGTGTTTTCCATGGCAGCTCGTCAACTGGTAAGAGAAAACTTGGGAGCTGTTTGTAAATAAACTGGGAGGGTGCTCAGCCCAGAGAGCCTAAAGGAGATGTTAAGCCCTCCATTCATCCTCCTGCAGGTCATCTTCCTGCTAGACTTCTGCACTTTAGATGTTTCCCACTGCACACTCCTGAGAGAGTTCAGCACCCTCACAGAGCTGTTGAAGAAACTATGCAGTGACCCTGAAGGAGGCCTGAGCAAGGTGACTCAAGGTGGCCCTTGAACCTGCACTTTCCTCTCCTGGGAGAGAATGACTGCTCTGACTGATGACTCCACATGTAGATCAGTTCTTCCAACAAGGGTAGTAAATGCTGACCCTAGTAGATTTGTCATCATCAGCATCAGAAAAGAGACCCAAAGGAAGCCATGCAATTAATAGCGTATGAAATTGTATAAAATTCATCGGCTGAAATTTAGAAGACTTCAAAGGCAAATTAGGTTTGGTATTTAAAGAAGTCTCTTCTTTATTTTTCAGTAAACAGTTTCTAATGGCCTGCATCCCACAGTAGCCCCATGGTAATAGAAACGGCATATACATTTAATAGGCTTAAAAGAGAGTCAGGGAAGAAGAGAGAAGTCTCAGATTTCCTAAAGTCCCAAATAAGAAATGTTAATCCTTGTTGTTTTGTTAAGTCTCAAATTCAGTTGTTTTGTTTGTTTTTTTTCCCCACTGAAAAGTCGTACTTGTAATCACTTGTAAGAAATAGTTCTTGCATGGCTAACAGACAGAAGCTGGTCACAGCCCCAGGAGTGTATTAAAAACAGGTGTGTGCTGTCCTGAGTGATAAACAGGTGTTGATGTCTGTTGTCAGGCATGCGTTTTAGCACCACCAGTGACTTTTGAGAGCCGCCAGAGCCTTGCCCCTGCAGCACATACAAGCACCCTGTTTTATCAGTTGGGGTGGAGTGATTTGAGCTGTTTTCTCTGACTCATTTGCTTTCCTAGATGGATGTGGATACCTGGCAGCAGGAACAGCCTGTGGTATTGCATACATGGACTAAGGAATCCACCCACAACTATGAAAACAATTGCCATGAAGTATCTGTCTTTGTTAGCCCAGGGGCAACTTATTTTGAGGTAGAATTTGATGAGAGGTGTGAAACTGAAAAAAGGTGAGACTTGGGTTCTTTCCTCAAGCAACAGTGGGTCAAAGGCAAGAGAAGGAAGTAACAGGGACTGTGCTTTCACAGGTATGATTATCTGGAATTTACTGACTCTAGAGGTGGAAAAACACGCTATGACACCAAAGTTGGCACTTATAAATGGCCCAAGGTGAGTGGCATATTCCCAGAAGTAGGTAAAGTGCACCTTTCTGCAGTTTTTCTCCTTTCATTAGTCCTTGGGACAGCAGTAAATCTAGGAGGAGGACCCAGAATCCAGCTCCCAGTTAGTTCTGCTTGGTCTTGGGGCTGCAAGTTAGGAGCTGCCTCTGACTGTTGACAGCTGCTGTCAGGAGTCTTGGTTGAGAACAGAGGCCTATATATGCATGATGGCTGACTGGGAAGGTTGCAGACAGATGACCACCCAAGGTTTGCAAAGACGGGAAGCCATTTTTCTCCTCATTTTGCTTCTTTGGGAACACAGTTATAAATTTTGGAGCTCAGTTGCACCTTTGTACATTTCTCCTTTAGTAGTTTGAATTTCTAGAAATAAAGACCCCCTTCTTGACCTTAAATGTTTTAAGTTTTAAGTTCTGGTTGACTTCCTTGGTGCAGCCTCCTGCCATCTCTTTGACTGCATGACTTTGTTTGTTTCTAGAAAGTGACCTTTAAGGATGGTCCTCGGCTGCAGTTCCTCTTTCATTCTGACAGCAGTAATAATGAGTGGGGCTACAAGTTCACTGTCACTGCGTATGGCCTGCCTGATGTTGCTGTGTCTTGGGGTTTGGACTTGCAACTCCTTGTCTCTCGACTGATGGGGCGTCTTGCTTCCCAGTGCATGGCACTCAAGTCAGCACATCGTAAGTCCATAGCCCTGACTCCTTCCTTTTCATCAGAACCATGTTAAAGAGCAAGGTGGGGCTATCTTCTAGGTGGTCCTCATACAGCATCAATGCAAAGTATTGATAACACCCCTGCCCGTTTCCATTGGCACCGCTGTCAGGAAGTTTTCTGACTTGGGCTTTGGCCCTTACTTCAGAGGGTGCCATGGAGTCCTCTGTCAATAGAGGATTAAGTGAATGATAAGCCAGGTTTTAACAAGCATGGTGATTTTTATTTTGCAAATAGATTTAGGTATACTCCAGCAAGAGGGCGGAGATATAGAATCAAATAACTGCATGTCCTGTAAGTGAATATTCATGTAGTCTGCAGATGTAGAAATACGGCTTTGTCTTAAAATAATTTAGCTTGTTATTAAACTCTTCAAAGATTTGAAATAAAACTTTATAAGACTTGCAGAATAAATCTTTCTATTTTCAGGCCTGGTGGTGCATGCTTTAAATTCCAGCACTCAGGGGGCAGAGACAGGTGAATCTCTGTGAGTTTGAGATCAACCTATTCTATGTAGCGAGTTCCAGGCCATATAGTGAAACCCTGTCTAATTATTTTTTCTGTTTTATCCTCCTTCTATATCATTTCTTAAGTTTTTTTAATTAATTATAAGAGTAAAATATAACAGAAAAATGACATATGGGAAAACGAAACAAAGACCCTAGAACAATAGAAACCTCTTCCACCCTAATATCTGGAGATGACTGCTCAGCACCTTTATGTCTCCCTAGTCTTTGCTTCTGTATTATTTATACCCAGGGTTTAATTATTTTGTGCAAAAGCAGCTTTGTAGATTGTAAGTGTTTTTCCATGATTAGTATTCCCATTTGGCACTATCAGGCCTGAAATGTGGCTCTGACTCTTACTAAGTCTTTCTGCACTCTGCCCATAGCAGAGCAGAGAAGTCAGAACTGAGGCGTCAGGTTGATTCATGGTGTATGTTTATGAGCTATCACAATCCATTCTCAGAATCGTAGATGAATTCCTCCAAAAAATGATTTTTTTAAACTTTTTTTTTTTTTTTTTTTTTGGTCAGCTCAAAGAGTTTTGTGTACTGAATTAAAAGCAGAACTCTCATGAGCTTTTTTTTCTACAGAATTAGGCAGTAACATGGTGGTATCACAGGCAAAACTGGCTTCAGTCCTGAATTCTCCGTTGTGGAAACCTGTCTTCCGGCATCAGATTTGTCCAGAGGTAGAATTAGAAGCAAGCTGGCCCACTCACCCACACCAGGATGGGAAGGAGGTATTTACTCTTCTGTCACCTTTCTGTTTATATGGAAACTTACGACTTGTATCTGTTACCTTACCTTAAACACATTGTTTATGTCTTATCACCTCTGCGGGGCTTGAGACTAAAGCTGCCCTCATTTTACCCCCTGAATACAGTGAGTGTTCACACGTGTGGAATGAGTGACTGTTGAGATATAGTCAGTGCTTAGTCAGTCTCTTGGTATTGCCACACAGACAGTGGCCTGTGCTTCTTGTGCCTACAGGGTCACACTTTAAATGACTGTGTTGTCTCCTTTGTCTTCCCCACCCCTGTCCCGAACTGTAGCACTTAGTTTAGCTATAAAAAATTTTAAAACCAAACAAGTTTGCCCTCTGTCTCTACTTGTCCTTCTTTTCCCATCCTTCTCTTTTCCTTCCTTCTTCTCCACTTTTCTCTTTCTCTCCCAAATTATCCCGTGGTTTATTTCCAAACCCAGTGGCTTGCTCTTCTAGTCTCCATTCTCTCTGTTAAATATATCCCTCTTCAGGCCATGTCCTTCTGTCCATGATAGTTGAGTGTCTTTTCTTACTAACTGTTCTTTCTCCCTCTTTGTTGCCCTTTTCCCCTCCTTCTCTAAAGGGTAGGCTGTATTCAGGCTTCCTTTTCTTTCCCATCTTCTGTCCTCTCTTACTGTCCCACCTATGGGAATAATCCCATAATCCTTCTGGCCCTAGTTCATCTCCAAACTCCAGCCTTCTCTTAGGTGTTTACATTTCAACATCCTGCTTCTCATAAAGTCCTAAGTGTGAAACCAGAATGTCTCCCCAACGGACCGTTCAGTAGTCATTATTTGCCCAGCTCTCAGTCATTGCTCCATAGCTTTCTTCATTCCTATGCTGTTCTTGCCCTTCCTATGCAGTCAGCTACAAGCCTCATAATCCTTGCTTATGATGTGCATCTCTGTCCACCCCTTGGTCTCCATCTTTACCCAAGCCCTCTCTTTGCACCTCATTATTACATCAGGACCTACCAAGGGTTTTTTTGTTTTTGTTTTTGTTTTTAATCACTGCATTATCTTGTCATTCCACTGCCAAGCACCATTAATGGCTCCCCATTGCTCACAGGGTGAAGTCTAAACTCCTCAGTGTGACAGTCAAGGCTCTCTACAGTCTCCTTTCACCTTACCTATCTGACTCTAGTTCCCACCACTCCCCAGCTGAGACTTCAGGCCAGGTCAGTCTCCCCGCTGACTCTTAACCTCTGCAAATGGTTGTGTCTCAGGGCCAAGGCATCCCTTCCTTCAGTGTCCATCCCTAAGCCTGTGTTCTTCAGGAGGCTTTTCTTAATTACTTTGACCTGCCAGGAGCTCTGTGAATTCTCAGCACTGGGTATCCCTCTAGGTATTTGGCACTGGGTAATTTTTTGCTTTATGGTAGTGCTAGTTTTAATGCTCTTAGGTTTTATTTGTGTTTACTTTTTAAACTTATACATCTGTCTGGTCTCCCAAATAGATTTAAGCTTCCTGAGAGCAGCATGCACCATGTTGTGTTTTTTCTTCGCTTTGTTTTAGTAGGTGCTCATTGAATTTTTTTCCTAATGAATGTGTTAAATGTGATGGTTTTCCTCTTGTTCCTAGGTCAAGAACATCCCTGATGATCCCTGCCGCCATTTTCTACTTGATTTTGCCCAGTCAGAGCCTGCTCAGAACTTCTGTGGGCCATATTCAGAACTTTTCAAAGGATTCATACAGGCATGTAGAAAACAGGCCCCAAAGACAGATATAGTTGCTGGTTCCACTATTGATCAAGCTGTGAACGCCACCTTTGCCGCTCTGGTGTATCGCACTCCAGATTTATATGAGAAGCTGCAAAAATATGGTAACTCATTACAGGGAATATGTTTGATCTGAAGGCTAATTGCTAAGTTTTAAGAAGGCCCATCTAAGTGAGGATCTAGAAATACTTAAAGATATTAGCCCATGTCTACCACTTAATCTTTTCAGTTTTACTTTGCCAGCCAAGAGATTAATGGTTAATTTACAGTTAGCACTTAGCAGTTTATAGTATGTGTCAGGTAACCTTGATCTACAGAATTAGCAGGTACTCTATCCAGAACTCCCATGGAAAACTACCATGGAATTTAATAGAAAGAAAACACAGCTCCTAGCCCTAGGTTCTTCATGCTTTGACAACCTTTCCTCGGTGTCCACAGAGAGGGAGGGTCTCTATGTTCATCTTTATTCAGGGAAAAGCACTTCAAACCCTGCATAAGGCTGAGGTATGGGTTCCCCAAACACTTTGGCAGGTACATGTTCTTTAAATTGCAGATAAAATAAGTAGAAACAGATGCTTCCCCCATATTGGAGCAGGTGATTTGGCTCCTATCATTTTTACATATTATGATCTCTGTAACCTGTGTGGCTCAGCCCTCTAACTCTCAATTTATTTCCTGTTTGCCAAAATATCTCAGTTACTCCTCAAATCTTGCCTGTTTTTAAAAAGCGATGCAAATAAAACTATGTTAAGACATGAGTGGTATGTGGAGGAATATATCTTCACTGAACAGTGAGGGAGGAGTCACCTTCATGGATTTGGGAAAGAAATTAATTAGTATGTGTTTTTGTAGTCAAATTATGGTAAAGAAGTTGAACTATCTTTGTTTCCTGAGGGAGGGACTTTTTGTTAGATGGATAAAGGCCTCATGGATCAAAAGCTGAACATAGAAGATATCCTGGTAGGGAAGTGGTCAAATCATATATCTACCTCATGTTTATTTGCAATAGAAACACTTGATCAAACAAGGGAACAAGAAGTATCAAAGTATACAAAGTTATTTTAGAAATACCTTCCCTTGTTTGTTAGTTTGGTTTTGGGGGAGCTAGGGATCAAGCACAGGGCCTTATAATGTTAGGCAGTAACTCTACCACTAAGCTGTATCCCTAGCCTGCCTTATTAGTTTGAAAGGAACAAGTTTGTCTCAGCGCTTTCTGCAACTGTGTGTGTGTGTGTGTGTGTGTGTGTCTGTGTGTGTCTGTGTGTGTCTGTGTGTGTGTGGTGTCTGTGTGTTTTAAAGACAGGGTCTCTCTATTCAGCCCTGGCTGATTTGTACCTTTCTGTGTAGACCAGGCTAGCCTCAAACTCACAGATAACCGCCTGCCTGGGCAGGTGCCACCACTCCTGGCCCTCTGCTGTTGTCTTTATTATACATACACCACATCCAAGAGTTCTTCAAAACTGAACTATATTGAGAATGGCCTTTGTAACTGTTTTCTAAATTGTGAGTTATTACTAATCCTTTGAGTTGCCTTAATTCCATGATGTTTTGGTGTGACCTCTCTAGAGTCAGGAAAATGAGTGATTTCAACTCGATTATAAGCCACATGGGGGCCGGAACCAGGTCTTTTTCCCAGCCTTGCACTCCTGGTGCCTGATGGAGAGCCTGCCTCACCATGTACTACGATATTAGCTTTTGGTTTTGATGAGGAAAAGGGACATGCTTCAGAGATTTTTTTTTTCTTTAATGGGGGTTGGTATTTTTCTAATTAGAAAGATTATATTCATTCTTATAAAGGCTTACAAAGTAAAGGAAAGATTAAAGTAATTATGAACTATAATCTTATTATAGTGCCTTTTCTACATATCTGCTTCACTTTAGATATATTCATGTGTATATATTTACCCATCCTTGTTTTAAAGGTAGTCTTTTAAAAAATCAGATCATTTATATACTATTTCAAAATCTGCTTACTTGTCAGTGTACCATAAACTGCTTCCCATACCAGAGTGCTTTTCTTCTCTTCTAACTCTTGTCTAAGCTGGCTGGCTAGCTAAGAAGCCTAAGGAATTAGACTATTTCATAAATTATTAGCTTGAACAAAATTAGATTGAAATGACATGGAGAACCTAACTAGGTGTTGTGCCTTTCCTCTTTTGCCATCCTCAGTGTGTGTCAGAAAGGGTGCTAGGATTCAGAGGCTTAATGCTGCAGTAGTGAATTCTGCCAGCCGAATGTAATCTTTTCCTTTCTTCTTTCCCTAGTAAACAGCGGGGGCAAGATAACCCTGAGTGAGGAGTTCTCTCAGGTGTATTCCCTGGCAGATGGGATTCGAATATGGATGGTAAGATGTTCCCTCTCATGAAGTTGTGACATGCCTTAGATTTTCCCACTGGAATAAACTAAACTTCAGAGTCATGAATAGATGTGAACTGTTTTAGAGCCTGTGGATCATAATTTGATTAAGTGTTTTAAAAAAATGCTGAGTAAATGAGGTCCTATTGGGCCCTCTCTATTTCCTTTTGTAACTCTGAAGGCCTCTTTATGGATAATGAAGTGCCAGTGCCTATTTCAGGGAGAGGAAAGGTCCCTGGCATATTGCAGAAACAATTCTGCAGCAGTAACTTGGGAGAACCAAATGTCTGTTTGTTAGTGTGTGTTTGTCTTTACTTTTTGAGACAGAGGTTCCTGTTGCCCTGGATGATCCCAAATTTCCTATGTAGCTGAGGCTGACATTGAATTTTCTATCCTTCTACCTCTACCTCTCAAGTGCTAAGACTATAGACATGTGCCACCATGCCTGATTTATGTGGCACTAAGGATCAGTCCCAGGGCTTTATGCATGCTTGGTAAGCACTCTAAGAACTGAGCCACATTCCCAGCCATGAATAACTACTATTTAATACTGTGTCTCAATGTAGTATGACAATGTGATATTATATTACAATAAAAAAATGAATGAAATAGAGCTACGTATATCAGTAGAGGTCACTCTCACAGATTTGATGATGAGCTCTTCCCCTGAAAGCAGATTGCAGAAGATTTATAAGTATGAAAGGCTTATATAAAATGTTTGTCTGTCTGTTTACGTGCTAGGGTTTCATATATGCTAGGCAAGTGTTATACCCCTAAGCTATTATGCATCTTAAATATTGCATAGTAATTGGGAAGAACCCTTAAATAACAGGAAAAAGTAGGCAATGAAATTGACAACTGAAGCTTTGTCTGACAGCTTGTTTTGCTCTCGTCATCTCCCAGTTAGAGATGAAGCAGAAGTCTCTGGTGAGCCTGGGGAGCGAGGCAGAAGAAAAACGTGGTTTGGAAGCTGTAGAGGTGAATCCAGAGAGCCTGGGTGAGTGTGCCAATACTAGCTACCATGAATGGGCCATTGGGTTTCCTTTCTGAACCTGGGAACAGGTGCCCCGCCTTCCAGGTTATCTTAATTGAGCTGTGTTGAACTAGAGAAGTAAGAAAGGAAATGGAGAAGATGTCAGAGAGGAGTTACTGTTCACCCCCATGCTTCAAGTGGAGCATCTTTGTAATGGCTTCTCTCATAGGAGATGTTAAGTGCTTTTTGAGCTATATCTTGTTTTGTTTCAAAGTATGTGCACAATGACTAGCCATAACTGCGATTATTTTTTTTAAATGCTACCATGATTGTTATTATTTATTTAATAATATATATTACAGTTTTTATTTTTTAATAGTGTGTGTGTGTGTGTGTGTGTGTGTGTGTGTGTGTGTGTGTGTATGTGTATGTATGTGCACATGAGTGTAGTGCCCATGGAGTGTTTCTGATCCCCTGGAACTAGAGTTACAGGAAGTTGTAAGCTGCCTAATATCATCTCTGGGAGTCAAACTCTGGTTCTCTGCAATAGTTTTCACTCTTAACCACTGAGCCATCTCCAGCCTGGTTGTACTGTGTTTTAAAGTGATAGTTTTAAAAATATTTACAGATGAAAGTGCAATGCCTGGAAGCTGTATAGAAACCATCAGGGAGAGGGAGTAGGGCATCAGATTGGCTATGAGTTGGCAATTATTGAGGCTGAGTATTGGCTGTGTGGTAGGGTCTTTCTACTGCTAAGGCTGTATGTGTTTGAAATGATCATTTCTGTAAAACTTGAGAAAGTGCGCTATACTCATGGCATGACCCTGACTTGTACAGTGAGATAAAACCTGACCGTTCTGTCAGTGGATGCACACGTCACAGCACTCATGAAGGCATTTCTTGCCAGAAATCATGAAGTTTAAATGGATCATTTTTTTTTCTCCAAAAGTGGATTATAAGTGAATTTTGACTTCTTATTTTCCTCATTTGTTTTCATTTAGCAAAAGAATGTATTCAGAAAAGTCTCTTATTACTGAAATTTTTGCCCACAAGCAAAAATTCAAAAGAAAACTGTGATAAATTGGTACCTGTTGATGAACCTGATCATCTCCAGCCACTTGACAGACGTCAGAGGACAAGCTCTGTGGTGGAAGAGCATTTCCAGGCTTCAGCATCTCCTACAGAAGCAGCAACCCCAACTACAGGTGACAAGAGTCCTGGCTTGGAGATCCAGCCAAAGCTACCACCCAGCAGTGGCCCCTCTGTTGCGGAAGTGTCCACAGCTGAAGAGCCCTCATCACCATCCACACCCACACGGCGGCCTCCCTTCACCCGAGGGCGACTTCGGCTGCTCTCTTTCAGATCCATGGAGGAGACCAGGCCAGTCCCCACAGTCAAAGAGAAATACCCGGTGCTGAAGGATGTCATGGACTTCATTAAAGATCAGTCACTCTCACGAGAGAGGTGAGCTAGTCACTTTCTTCCAGCACTTTCCCTTTACAAGCTCTAGGTAGCCCCCCTAGTCAAAGACTTGAAGTTCATGTTTAAAATGAACAAATAAGGGATAAGGGAAAGGGTACAATCAAAAGACTGTATAAAAACTGTAAATAAAATAAAATGAACCAATAATATTTAGGGTACATCCAGACTTGTTTTAGAATATTCAGGATAAAAAGCTTGGCGGTGGTTTTTGGTTTTGTTTTTTCTCCTTAAGGAAATTCTAAGATTGGTACACTGTGGGTGTTGATAAATCTCAATGAATAGAGTGCTCACTCAGCATGAAGAAGTTCTGGGTTTGACCCCTGCACTATGTTAAAACTTTGATAGTAGTGATTCTGTGATCCCTGCACTTGGGAGGTGGAGCACAAGACTCAGAAGGTCATCCTGAGTTCACAGACACCTGGATACCTGAGACCTGTCTTAGCTGGGCAGCTTTTTATTTATTTACTTTTTGTTTGTTTGTTTACAATTTAGTATACAGGGTCCTATCTGCATGCAGGCCAGAAGAGGGCACCAGATCTCACTGCAGATGATTATGAGCCACCATGTGGTTGCTGGGAATTGAACTCAGGACCTCTGGAAGGCCAGCTAGGGTTCTTAACCTCTGAGCTATCTCTTCAGCCCATACCTAGGCATCTTAATGTACACCTTTAATCTCAGTGCTTGGGAGGCAGAGGCAGGCAGATCTCTGTCAGTTCCTGAACAGCTGGGGCTATGTAGATAGACCCTGTGTCAAAAAACAAAACAACAACAACAACAAAAAAAAAACCAAATTGTGTCCTTCACTGTATATAACATGTGTCTTAGTAATATATGCATAGATCTTTTAAAATAGAAGCATTTCCTTCCTTCCTTTTCTTCTTTTACTCCACCATCTCTTCTTCCTCCTCCTCTTTCTCCTTTCCATCTTCTGTTTTTTTTTTTTTTTGAGACTAATGTTACTCTGTAGCCCAGACTGACCAGGAACTCATAGCAATCCCCCTGCCTCAGCTTCCTAAGTACTGCTATTATAGGCATATGCCACTACACGTCACTTAAAAAGACAATACCACTCAAAATTTTTTCATATTGCAAGGGATAAATTTAGGATTTGATATTTTCTGAAAAAATTATTTGTCCGTAGGCCTATGTCAGCCTTTCTATCCTTAGGGGAAGTAAAGATACCGACATCCCTTTTTAACCATTTATTTTTTAAAAAAAAAAAAATGTTGCATTTCTGCATAGTTGGTGCACACTGGTTTGTGGTTTGTGGTGGGACTGACTTTTGTTCATGTGGCTTCAGAATATGGGAAAAGGGTTTATTTTCTAGGCATTCTTGACTTGAACTGTCTCTCCAGTGTTGTGAAGGTTCTTTCTTTGAGGAAAGCCCAAGCACAGAGCATCCTTGAAGTCCTGAGGATAATTCAGTATTGTACAGAATCCCTTGGGCAGCCTCACTGCTTCCATCCACCGTATATACTTTTCCTACTGGAACTTCTCACCTGCCAGAAAGATTTTACAAAGTAAGTACAAATATACCAGAAAACATGCAAAGGCCATTTTATAGAAATCCTAATTGGCCTCTGTACTGATAACTCCATAATTGCCATATATGATGCAAAATTACATTTTTTTTTTTTTTGGTTAACATGTTCTCTCATCTCAAGAAAAAAATAACTTATAACCTTTTAGAAAGAACCAAGCATGTGATTATTTCTCTTATGACTTGACCTGCCTTACCTGACAGTAACAATTGTGTTCCTTATGTGCCCACACTCTCCTAAGGCTTCTAAAGGGCTAGGATTAAAGGCATGTGCCACCATCGCCTGGCTGCAGTGTTTATTTAAAGTAATGACCATGACCTTTCAAGGTAGTTGTAACCTTCACTCAGCTTTTTTTTTCTGCTGTGCCAGACACCTTTCTAAGCATCATATATACAAAAGTGAAGCGAAAATCAAGGCCTCTTCCTAATGGAGCCTTGTGTTCTCTTGGAGAGCAAGAGAGAACATTCAAAATAAATAAGTAAGACAATCTCTGATAGGCATATAATGTGTGATGATTCCATGTACAGTGACCCAGTTTGGGTGGTCAAGGAATGTGAACCAAGGGAATGGCCTGTAAATCAAGAGATGAATGACTTGCTGAGACTAATAGAGTGCTAAGGGCAGAAGGAACTCTTGGTGGGGAATCAGGCCAAGGGACAGAGAGAAAGAGCATGGCTGAGTGAGAGGGAAAAGTGGGTGAGCCAATCAAAGCATGAGGCAGGACCCTATCATACAGGGTGTTTGCATTTTATACTGAGCTGCAGGTGGGAAGCCTTGGGAGATTGTGAAGCCCAGTAGGAGCAGCACAATAGGTTTACACTTATGAAAGATATATTTGGCTACTCTGTGAGAATGTGGGAAAATTAGAAAAGCAGTTAGGAGATTGTTAGAGTAATGCACGTAAGAGAAGATGGTTTGGACTAGGGAGAAGTTTAAGAGATGGAGAAAAAGAGATGGCATTCAGGATTTGGGAGATGGAATTGTGTAAGACAGAAGATGAATGAAAGATACTGGAAACATGGGGAAGAAACTCTTAGGGTTGTGTTTGGAGCAGTTGTGTGGATGGTGTCACATATCACTGAGAGAAGGGATCTTACACAGATGAGAACAAAATTTTAAATTCTGTTTTGGCAATATGTTTGAACTATTTATCTTTTTTATTATTATATTATCATTATTATTAATTTGAGACAGGGTTTCTCTGTGTAACAGTTCTAGCTGTCCTGGAAGTCACCTTGTAGACCAGGCTGGCCTCAAACTCAGAGATCCACCTGCTTCTGCCTCCTGAGTGCTGAGATTAAAGTCATGCATCACCACAGCCTTATTTTCTTATTTTTATTTTATGTGTATGGGTGTTTTTATGTATGCCTGTGCATCCCTGACCCCAACCTCCATTTGCATGCCTAATGCTATGGAGGTCAGAATCGAACATGGATATCTTGGAACAAGACTCGTGGAACTGGAATAAAATACCATGTGGGTGCTGGAAATTGAACACATGTTCTTAACTGCTGAGCCATCTCTGCATTCCCTGTTTTAATGGCTTCTTTGATATCCAAGTAAAGATAACAAATAAGATGAGGATCAGAATCTAAAGTACTAGGAATAAGTCAGGACTAGGGAGGGAATTTCTTTATCATGAACACTCAGATGCTATTTAAGCCATGGACCAGATGAAGCCTAGACAGACGAAGAAAAGCAAGTAAATATGGTGGCTATTGGAAGAGGATGTGGGCAGCCAAACGTTGTATTGTTTTGCAGTGCAAGTCACTGAGACAGAGCCTTGCTCAATCTCAGCACATGCTTTGCCACAAGGCCCGCACCTGTGGGTATAAAGATACTAAAGCTGGGGCTCACTAAGATTAAAAAAGGCTGTATGGAAGGCCATAGTAGAACAGGACAAGAGATAGTAGGCAGGCTACCACGTCCTGAAGTCTTCACCTGATGATAAGGTTAAGGAAGGACCATCAAACTGGGCTAGTTATGGAAATGGAAGTGAAAATCCTTGGCAGTGAAGTGGACAGAGAAGAGAGAGAAAAAGAAATAGAGGCATCATTCGTATGGATGCTGAAGCCACTTGTGTAGGTGGAGTTTTCTTGCTCCCAAATAATCATTCAGAAACTTAATATTATGGTAAATGTTTGGTCAATAGCTCAGGCTTGTTACTAGTTAACTCTTACATTTAAATTAACCCATTATTATTATTTTTTTAACCTACGTTCTGCCACGTGGCTTGGTACCTCTTCTTAGTACAGCATGCTCATCTTGTTTTTCCCTCCATCTGTCTGCTTGACTCTTCTGACTCCACCCTTCTTCTTCCCATCATTCTTAATTTGGCTCTACCACCTAACTTTATCCTGTTCAACTATTGGCCAGTCAGCTTCTTTATTAAACCAATCATAGCAACATATATTCACACAGTGTAAAGGAATATTCCACACTTAGGTGTGAAAAGCCAGTAGTGAACCAGCACTTGGAATGTAGAGGCAGGTGAATCTCCTCCAGTTCCAGGACAACCAATAGTACACATAGAGAGCCTCTCTCCCTAAAAGTAAACAAATAAATAAATAGAATAGAAAAAAAAAAAAGAGGAAGGAAGAAAGAAAAATGAAAAGGAAAACTTAATACTAAAGTTACCAGTGAAAGAAGAACAGATTGGGGGCATGGTGGTGTAGAGAGAACTAAATGAGGTAACTTTATAGAAAGCATGTGGCATATCATGGCACACTCATGCAGTGAGGACAGGTGCTTTGTTTGATTAGCAAAGAGAGATTAGTAGTTGTCATCTTTATACTTCTGCTGGGCTGCTCTCTTGACCCATCTGGACTTGCACTCAGAAGTCATTGTGCCTTTTTTATTCCAGTGTCTGCACTGCTTTGCCCAGTGCTGCTTGCTTATTTTGTGTGTGGGATAAAGATTAATAAGTCAAAGTTGTCCTGGATATTAAGCTGGATATTCTCTGTTTCTAGTTACTTTGGACACTTGGAAGGCTGTGGTGCTGATCTACACAAAGAAATCCGAGACACCTACTATCAACTTGTTCTGTTTTTGGTCAAAGCGATCAAAGGATTTAATAGCATAAATGACAGGTACTGGATAGCCTTTACATTTCTTGAGGAAAAATGTATTCTTATGATTATAAATGAAACACATATTTGATGTTGAAAATCCAGAAAAGCACAAAATTACCCACAAATATTCACTTACTCATGTGTTTCTCTCTCTCTCTCTCTCTCTCTCTCTCTCTCTCTCTCTCTCTCTCTGTGTGTGTGTGTGTGTGTGTGTGTGTGTAAAATGTGTGCATTGGATAGGTTTTTGGAAATCTAAGAGTTTATAGCCTGTTATCTTCAGTGTTTGATGTATTATGTGCAAATTAAAACTTGAGTACAAAGCAGATTCCTGTCTCCCGTGTAGTAAGTTATTCAGACATAACCCTTAAATCGGATGGTTCTTCTGTGACTGTCTAACCTGAGCTAATTTGGGAGTGCCTTGATGTTGTCCCTCGTCAGTGCATGACTTCACTGCTTACTCCCTTACTGTCAGGTGCTCCAAACTCACTTTTCACCTTTCCGAATTGTTGTAGTCTTTTGTTTTGGTTTTCTGGGTTTTTTTTTTTTAGCTTCAAATGATATTTGTGTAGAATCCTTCCTTACAAATTAGTACCAAATCAGGCTGCCAACTTATACTGGTTGGCAGATTACAGCTTTGATAATTGTCACTTGTGTGATCTCTTTAGGTCTCTGCTCCCTGCTTTATCCTGTGTCCAGACAGCTCTGCTTCATCTTTTGGATATGGGTTGGGAACCCAGTGATCTTGCCTTCTTTGTTGACATTCAGTTACCAGATCTCCTCATGAACATGTCACAAGAAAATATCAGTGTCCATGACAGTGTGATCAGGTGAGAGCACAGTCCTGCCCTTTGCTCTTCTTAGAGTAGGGGCATGGGTAGAGTGGGGGTAAGGGAATGGGCTTGGCAGCAAGTCTATAATATATCCTGGCTTTACCACATGTGAACTGGGTGATGCTGCAAGTTTGTTTTTCTTTTTTGGTTTTTGTTTGTTTGTTTTTTAACTTTTCTGTTACTCCAATTCTTCGTCTTTAGAGCTACCTCTGAGACTTATGGAAAATGTGTAAGTTCCACTTCTGAATGTCTAGGACAGTGCCTGGTACATAGTAGGGCTGGGTAGTTTGGCAGCAGTAGTATGGTGAACATGGAAGATGAGAATTGTCTTCATTTTGGGGGGATCCTAATAACCTGTAGAATTGGATAATCCTTTATTCTTTTCTTTTAATCCACATTTGTGTTCTGTTAGCCTCTATAGTGTTCTGCACATTGTAAGGACTTAGATTACAATAAAAAGTAGTACACAAAACTTACCTGGCAGGGAGACACCATAATAACCATAATCAAGGAGGTGATTTTCCCAGGGGGAGGCTCAACCATGACCCTTGGGATGTGCTGACCCCTGCTATTTCCCCAAATATGAGAAATTTGATTATAGAATTTGTGATAATAGGGGACTGTGTTTATACTCTCCCCTACATTAACAGAAATTAGTATGCAAAGTTTTTAAAAATAATTTTTGGTTTCGTTATAAAACAAAGTTGGTAGTTTATTGAGGCAATGTTTTAATATAGATTTTAGATTGGGTATTAAGAGAGTGGGGCTTAGAAAAGAACAGTATCATACGTCTCTGAGTCGATGTGGGCCTCTCAAGAAGGAGGGGCTTCATTCCACTTTGACTAATGTGTGTCATGCTCAAGCCCACTTATCATTCATGACTTTGTATAGAGAGGAGAGAAACAGAAGAATAGGTGTTAAGAGAAGAATTGGGACAGAAACATGAGACAGCACTCACTATTTTCACTCTCAAAAGAGATGTTCTGAGAAGGTAGGGGCAATTAAAGCTGTCTCCTTGGGCCCATGAGGTAGCTTCACAGATAAAGCTATCTCTGTCCCTTGATCTGCTTTAGAGGGCAGATGGGGGACACAGCACTGACTGACACCTGGTTCTTCAGCTGTCAGCCAGCCCAATGTTTCAAGCTTTTCAAGCTCCTGACACCTTACTCATGCTGATTGCATTGGACTCTTCTAACCATGTCCACACAGAATTTGTTTTAGACAAAGTTGTGTTCAGTTCAGACTGTCCTCAGGTATTCTATATAACCAAGAATTGCCTCTGATCCTCCTGCCTAGGGTTAAAGGTGTGTGATGTTAATGACATACATGCTGGATGTTTCTTCCTTTCTGCCAACTAGGCTACATCCTCAGCCCAAACTTTATTATTATTATTGTTGTTGTTGTTGTTATTAAGACAGGGTCTCACTATATAGCCCTAGCTGGCTTGAAACTCTCTGTATAATTCAGGTTGGCCTCTTAACTCACAGAGATCTACCTGACTCTGCTCTGCCTTCTGAGCATGTGCCACTATGTCTGACTTAACTTCTTAAAATTATCATATTTGACTTCAGTACCTGGCACATGATAGGTTTGCCCTATTCAATGTAGTCAGCTCAAAAAATGATTTATTTATTTATTTATTTAGGGTTTTGAGCATAAATCTATGAAATAGTAGATAAACTTTGAGGCTTTGAAAAGCAATTCCCTTCATTTCAAAATGCCCAGTTGTTAAATTTACAGGACATGGCATCTGCTAACTAGCACTTCTTTGGCTATTGTAAGAAGCATGCTTTTCTCTCATTACATCCTTCTTTCAGCCAGTGGAGTGAAGAAGATGAGCTCGCTGATGCCAAGCAGAACTCAGAGTGGATGGATGAGTGTCAGGATGGCATGTTTGAGGCCTGGTATGAAAAAATAGCTCAAGAGGATCCAGAGAAGCAGAGGAAAGTAAGACCTCTCAACTAGAGCAATCTGGGTGACTTGCTAGGAGTTTAGAGAGGAGGGCATCCCTGGGGTGCACTTGGATGATGTCTCCCAAAAGGCTTCTGGGAACATTGAGGACCAGTGTCCAGTCTTCATCCTGATATGATCCACCACAGTGGCTTACATCCATAGAACTAAGCCCAGAGTAGAGTGTCTCATAAGGCTGATGTATGTTATTAGATACCAGTGTATTCATTTAGTGAGAAATGGAACTGCTGAAGGGTTTGGCCTCTCTTGTTCTGGGCTGGAACACTATCTTCCTGTAGGCAAGCACCATTCCAATTACAAGGTTGACAATCAGGTGAGCTTGGAAGCAGCTCCTGTTTATCTTTGAGAGTTAGGAATCAACTTAGATAGCCTATCTGTTTTGTGTAAGGTGTCCCATCTGCAACTACTACATGTATCAGGCATCTACTGCTCGAAGCCACTAATTTTCCCCATATTAAGTACCTTCTGTTTGCCAACCACTCTGTCCGTTATAGTACATACCTTTGTGGTGCTTATAAGGGATACACCAACTGGGACTTGTGACTTCTGTCTTGTAAGTTCACGTCTGAATGAGAGCAACCTGTAGTGCTCAGATGACCTGGCAGATTTCATCTTCTACAACATACTATCTACTACCAAACAGTGACTTTCTGGCTTGGTTTCCTCATACGCAGACTCTAAAATAACTGCCACCAAGTACTTTCCAGTAACCGGATAGCTTGCTCATGTTAACAGTCTTACAATCTGCTCCCAAAAAGGAAATTAGCTAGCTAATAGAAAGTCTGTTGGCTAGTTGTGTGGCTAGCTAGTTAGTTAAACATGAAAGACTTATATGATCTGAGAAGAAACCAGAGTTTTGTTTGTCTGTTTATTTATAGAGAGGTCCAGACTGGCCCAAAATTTGCAATCCTCCTACCTCAGTCTCCTGATTGCTTTTTTAATGTGCCAGAAACAAGAGTCCTCTTTTGATGTTTGTTTGCACTGCCATTGTCACACAAGCACCCAGCCAAACATCTGGATGTCATTCTTGATAGTTCCTTTATTAATTTGGTCACCAAGGCTTCTCACTCTGCCTCTTTAATACTTCTCGAATCTGCCTGCTTTCCCTATCTATTTATGACTCAGTCTTTGCCCTTATGGAGTTACTTAAACAGCTATATCATAGTCAGCTTCCCTGACCCTGGTCTTGGTTCTATCAATCCATTCTTTGCTCTGCAACCAGAGGAACCTTCAGAGTGCCCAAATCTATTGCCATTACTTTTCTGTTTAAAAATTGTTTAAAAACAAGTGTTTAAAAACATTTGCAGTTTAGGCTCCTTGAAATTCACCTTTCTGACTTCACCTGGGTATTCCTCCTCCTGCTATACATACTATATTATAGCCCATTTCAAAAGCCCTGAAGCTAGAGAGGTGGTTTAGTGGTTAAGAGCACTCCCTGTTCTTCCAAAAGACCCAAGTTTGGTTCACAACCCCCCATAACTCCAGCTCTAGGGAATTCAATGCTTATGTCTACAGGCACACACACGAACATAAATAAAAATACAACTTTTAAGAAAGCAAACCAAAAACCCCTTATTTTCTTTCTGTTTTTCTGTGCTTGTACCTGCTAGGCAAGTGTTCACACACTCAGCTACATTCCCAGCCCATGTTGTGCTCCCTTTTTGCAGGAGCAAAGCTTTTGTAGACATTGTTGTTTCTTCTCTCTGTCACCTTTATCTCCACCCAACTACCATCTCTTTGTTTTTGGTTTTAACTGAAGAATTATCTTCCTTGAAAAACCTTCCTTGATCATACTGATACCTTTGATAATGTCCTTGTGTTCTCTAAGCTTCCTGAATTTGCCTGTCAAAGTATTCCCCACACTGTATGACCATCATCTGTTTGCTTGAGGGAATTCCTAAATGGGTGCTTGCTTATCCAGGTTCAAATCCTAGCACCTGGTACAAAGCTTGAGTGATCTTAGGTACCTACTGAGTGAATGAATTGATTAATGAACAGTGGCTGCAATAGAAAGTCTGTTGGCTAATTGTGTCCATTTCACCTTACAGATGCACATGTTTATTGCTCGATACTGTGACCTCTTAAATGTGGACATCTCCTGTGATGGATGTGATGAGATTGCCCCCTGGCATCGCTACCGGTGTCTGCAGTGCAGCGACATGGACCTCTGCAAGACTTGCTTTCTTGGTAAGCTTCAAGGGGAATGAATCCATGTCCACAAGTAACAGTCATTTCTGCTTTCTATGATTTTAGCATTTTTAAAATTCATTGTAGCCCGACAATAGTGGAGCACACCTTTAATCCCGCACTGAGGAGGCAGAGGCAGGCAGGTGGATTTCTGTGCGTTTGAGGCCAGTCTGGTCTACAGAGTGAGTTCCAGGACAGGCTCCAAAGCTACATAGAGAAACAGTGCCTGGAAACACCTAAATAAGTAAACAAATAAATCTCAGTGTGCTAAATAGAGACATTGTCTCTGTTCCAAAGCTTACACAGAGAAACCCTGCCTCAAAAAAAATCTAGATAGATATAAACAGACAGACAAACAGATAGACAGATAATTGTCTCCAGTTCATTGTGATGACCTCCACTACTCCTGTTTGACATCCTTCCTTCTCCCATTCTGCTGGGGAGGCACTTGATAAACTTTTAAGACCAATGAATACTGGCTCAGATAAGGTTTTAAGAAACTTTGCACAGGTAAAAATTTAAAAGTGTGAGATCAAGAAAATAGAGCAGAAAAAAAAAATGAACTTTGATGGGAGATGTCATTCTGTAAATATGTTTCTCATACTGGTTAATGAATAAAGCATTGTTGGCCAACAGGAAAGCAAGATAGGCAGGACTAGGAGACAAGGAGGATTCGAGGAAGTAGTAGGGAGGAGTCAACATGTAGAGACTGGGGAGAACAGAGGTCCGGGCCCACTCTCCGGTAAGATGAGACCACATGGAAATACTTAGATTAATAGAAATGGGTTAATAATTAAGACAGAGCTAGCTGATAAGAAACTAGTAACTGGCCACCAGCATTATATCAAAAAAAAAAAAAAAAAAAAAAAAAAAAGAAAGAAAAGAAACTTTGCTTCTGAATCACACAATGCTTCTAAATAGCAACATGTATGTACAAGCAAAATAAACTTGAAATGTTCTTTAATGTACTTGACTCATGGGTGCTATGGCAGAGCCTTTCTGTAGTAGTGAACACTGGAGAACTCTGTGTATTTGAAGCCCAGTAGTAGAAGACACAGTTCCTCCTGTCCTGGAAATACAACCTTATCAGTGAGAACAAACATACACACATAATGAATGCATATGCTGTTATAAATGAGCAATACAGAATATTTCTGGGAAACTTTGGAAATACAGCAGCACTCTATAGGGAAGACTTGTGGAGAGGAGATAGGGTAAAAATTGGTCTTTGAAGGAAGTTTGAACTGGATGACATTACAAAACTCTGAAGATAGCATTACCATCAAGAGCAGAGCAAGCTCAGGAACAGGAAATAGTGCTTTCAGTGAGTTTAGATAGATACACTCCAGTGTCTGTCTAGTTAAGTGATGGTCTAAGACAGATAGGGTCCAGGTTGTGGGACTCTGAGATGCTAGGCTAAGGAATTTGAATAATCTGAAGACAGTCAGGAAGGTTTATAGCTAAGATGTTACTGTGATCAAAAATATGCTCAAGAAATACTGTCTGTCATTCTCCTTTAGGAGACTCTAGTCACAGGGTGTTTGGCCCTATACCAGGTCCACAGCACTGGGAACAGAAGTGGCCACCTACAAGAAGTATTGAGCAAGGACCTAGAGAGATCAGAATGGCCTGTCTTGTTCATGTCTGTTATTCTCTTACTCATCAGTCCTGGGATTCTGAAATCTCTTTCCACCTATAATTTTTCAGTAACAAAGTAGAACAGAAACTTGATCCCTGGCCTTCTCCATAGGCACATGCCAGTGGTGCATAACTTCTGTCAAAGATGGGGTGTAGGAGACAGCTCACAAAGTACATGGGCCTATTTCTTGCAAATAGCAGTCATGGCAGGATTTGACATGTATTTGATCTGATTGTGACACTGCAGAATTGAGATCAGTCAGCTGACCATTGCCAAAGCATTCCATGCTGAGAATATCATTGATATACTCATAGCTAGCAAGGCATTCTGGTCTTCGAAGGAACCCCTGCCTTCTGGAGTAGTAAATGAGAAATGCCTGTGGTACTGGGATCAGTTTGCTGGCACTCTGGGAGACCCTCTACCACATCTGCCTCACACTGCTGGTTTTTCTACAGGTGGAGTGAAGCCTGAGGGCCATGGAGATGATCATGAAATGGTCAACATGGAGTTTACCTGTGACCACTGCCAGGGTTTAATCATAGGCCGGAGAATGAACTGCAATGTATGTGATGACTTTGATCTTTGCTATGGATGCTATGCAGCAAAGAAGTACTCCTATGGGTATGTCACATGTCCTGCCACCACCATGACCTTTTGGGGTATATGTCTTCACTTTAAGGGGGTGTCTTGCTTTTTCTGTGGTGCTAGGAACTGAACCCAGGACTTCACAGATGCTAGGCAAGAACTCTATACCTGAGGTATACTACTAGCCTTCCTTACTTTTGAAATTGTTTATTGTTATTAAGGGCATGTGCATATGTGTTTGCATACATGTGTGTGTACATGTGGAGATCAGAAGACAGTTTTGCAGGGTCATTTCTCTCTTTTCTCCTTTCTGTGGGTTCCAGAGATTAAAACTCAGGTCACCAGGTGTGCTAAATGCCTTTACTGGCTAAGCTGTCTTGCATCCCTTTCCTTACTTCTTTAAAGAAAAGGTTTTGTTTTGTTTTTTTAATATAATTTTTTAACATACTTAAAAGAAGAGAGAGTGGTGCACTGCACCCTGTGTTCTTGATTCATCAGTTAGGGAGATGGCGTCATGTGTGCTTACTCCAGCTCTTTTACCTTAAAGTATTTAAAGCACATTTCAAACCTTAAGTCATTTCTTTCCTATACCCTGTAATTTGCCTTTTTAAATTATAGGCATTACCCTGCATTACCAAACTAATTAGTGCTCCTTCAGAATTCTCTGAAATCTCTCTTCCTTAGCATGGTTTCTATGTGCAGGCTTTAGTTTGTGCTGACATGAGATGCCCAGTGTTTGTGCTTGTTTTTCTCTGGGGAAAGAGTTAGTACTATTCTCAAATAGTATCAAAGAATAGCCACAACCTATTGGTGACTAATGCCCAACATGATCAAGCACATACTTCCCTGAAGTCCAGGGATCTTTTTCAGAGTCTTACAAATGTTATAGGCCTTAAAACTTTCATGTCTTTGCAGTCATTTGCCGACCCACAGCATCACAGCCCATCCAATGGTGACCATCCGGATCAGTGACCGGCAGAGGCTCATCCAGCCCTATATCCACAACTACTCCTGGCTGCTCTTTGCTGCCCTGGCTCTCTATAGTGCTCACCTGACCAGCACAGAGCACATGGATGGGGAGCAGCTGGAACCCCAGGCCCGCAGAAATGCTGCCACCCTGCGGAGCCAGTGCATGCAACTGGTCGGGGACTGTCTGATGAAGGCCCACCAGGGCAAAGGTAACTATTCCTTATGTAGGACCCCAGGCCCTGCCTCTGCTTGCTGTTGGACAAAAAGCCCAGACAGCAATAAAAGTCCATGCTTGACTTAGAGGTAGTACACGAGAAGAATTCAGCTTAGCCTGGGACATAAGTCCCAGTTTCTCTTGAGAGGACTGTTGGCATAAAGTAGCATTTAGTTAGTAAAAGTGTTTCCCTGACAATGCTGTGCAGTAAAATCAAAACCCTGGAAGTCCATGCTTCTTTTTTTTTTTTTTTAAACCTTTAGTGCAAATCTGCATATCCTAGATGAAAGCTGCTTACAAATAATGGTATTTCTGGCTGTGACCATGCACACCCAAATCCAGTTCTAGGGAGGTTAGATGGGGCTACATAGATGCCCTGTCTTAAAATAACAAAATAATGAGGTAATTCCGACGTCACTGAAGGGTATTAGTAGAAAAATAATGTAAATGTTAAACTTCTGAGATGTTTAAGTTTCTCTCAGATGATAGATTCCCCATCTAATTGACATCAGGGAATTATACTTATGTTAGGGAGGAGAGTGATATCTCTATCTGCCAGTAGGAATTTAAAAATCTAGTTGCTAGCCAAGCTTAGTGCAGTACATGCCTTTAATTCTAGTGTTCAGGCAGCTCTGTGAGTTCAAGACCACCCTGGTCTACATAGCAAGTTCCAGGCAAATCAGAGATACATAGTGAGACCCTGTCTCAAAAATAAACTAAATAAATAAATAAACAAACAAATTGCTTGGCACTGCCAGAAAAATGTATTTCTAATTTTCAAAACAACCCTGTCACCTGTAGCCTCAGTAGTATCTTCAGTGTTTCATTGTGCTTAAAGTGCAGGTTCCCTTTGCTGTTGTCTTCCCCATCTGAGATCAGGAGTGGAATGGATGTGGGCTGCCAGGGATGCTGCTATATAGTTTGTGTGACCCCCCAGCCATCTGTTTCTATACAGTGATTAAGCTTTGTGGCACTTGGGAGAGATATTCCTTGTTGTGAATGGTTACCCATGTCCTTGTTTCTTCCCATTCCAGGTCTTAAAGCTCTAGCTCTTCTCGGTGTATTGCCAGATGGTGACTCTACCTCAGAAAATCAAGCCCTGCCAGTCACAGTGTCCATCCAAACATCAGGGGAGCAGCTAGAGAAGAAAACAGTTCAGCTTGCTGAGGAGCCAGCAGATGCAGGCCTGTTTGTGACCTGCAATGTAAGTGTCTTTACCATGGGGTCACAGCTTGCATTCAGGGAGCCAGTCACACAAGGAGGCAAAACAGGGAAATTAAGAACATAAATTATGCAACTGAAGATTTTAGTTCCCAGCTTTGGTTTATATTCGGTCAACAAATAGTTGATACCAAAAGTTTACTGTTTTAACAGGCAGACACCATAGTTTACAGGTAGGTGTATGGACAGAAAATCCTTTATAGGTCCAAGCACGATCTGTGTTGGTGGCACACACATAAAGATCTTTTTGTGAATTTAAAATATAATTAAATAACTCAACAAAAGATTGCTTTTGTAGAAGTTTGCCTTCAGAGCTTGAATGTATGCAGTGAATGTCCCCACCTTTGCTGTAGGGACCACTGGCATTTCTACTGTAGCCTCATCAAAGTACCAGGTCAGTATAACCTCAAGCTGCCTGTCTCTCAGCATCAACATTGTTGCCTACACAACACAATTAACCTGCCACAGATTACCTTACACAGGAGGGAATGCAGTCAACCCATCCAGTCAGAAGGGATAGCAGTCTTCACCTCTGTTCCTGGGACTGTCTATATTTGTGAGCCCTCAGCATCTTGTAGCAAGCTGCCCACAGCATTGTGGTCCCTGTCTGTTAATATATTCATTTATTTACATGAAAATGGACTTTTTTTTTTTATTTGTTAAAATCGTAGTCTTTTACTTTTATCTATTTTGGTGCTTAGATTGACCCTGTGTTTGGCCCAGTGGCTACTTCCTGCTTGGCTTTTGTATTCTCTCTCTGTGTATGTCTGTCTGTCTGTCTGTCTGTCTGTCTCTCTCTCTCTCTCTCTCTCTCTCTCTCTCGTGTGTGTACAGGTGCAGGTACATTTTATAAAAGGGGATGGTAATGACAATGACTGTAACACACAGTTATTGTAGGAATTATGTACTGTCCACATGGGGAAGAAACTTGTAAAGTACTTAGAGCGTGCAAACAGTAAGCTCCATGTCAGAAGAGGACATTGGATGTTCTGCTCTATTACTCTTTGCCATATTCTTTGTCCATTTTCATGTGTATGTTCATGTGTGTGGAAGTCAGAAGTCAACATCAAGATTCTCTCACTCTTCACCTTGGTTTTTTTTTTTTGTTTTTTTTTGAGGTTCACTGAATCTGAACACTAGTTCAGCAATAGTAGCTGGCCAGTAAGCTCCAGGGATCCTCCCATGCTAGGATTACAGGCACTCCCTACCACACCTAAGTCTTACATGGTTGCTAGAGATCCAAATTTAGGTACTTGTGCTTGCATGGTGTGCACTTTACTGATTGAGGCATCTCCCAGCCTGTGTTTGTTTTTCAACCAAAAAAGGAAAGTATGTAATGATGATCATTGTATTGTACTAGAGGGAAATCAACAACTTTATCTTTTTCCCAAAAGAAGAATGTTCCATTCTTGGCTTTGGGAAGCCAAATGAAAAGAAAGCTAAAGATTTGGTATGAGCCATTGTTTATGTCACCTGGAAGCTCTGATGGCTCTTCAGAGATGATCAGGGGCTGTGATGTGAGGATTATCATCATAGAGCATTGGTTTATTCTAAGAAATTAGTAGCATTTTTCTAAAGAAATTCAAAAGATTTTTAGTTTGTGAAAGACTAACAATTGTATACGGTATATATGGAGTATATTTTTGTTATTCTTTTACACTTCTTGTTTTTAGGGAAAGAGAGCTGCAGATAAAGAAGTCAGACCTTTGGATTATAAGCAGAGGAAAACGGCAGATGAAGGACTCTCCTTAATGAAGGACCCTTCATGCCAGACCCAGACTTCAGATGCACCTGCAAGTGCTCACGTGCCTCCAGGACCTCCAGGTCAGGAACCTATGGCCATTAACTCCATCTCCTTCCTTTACAAATGCACATGTCATCATGCCTGCACTGTCCAGTAACTGAATGAGGTTTCTCCATTCTGTTCAGCTGTGGCTGGTAACTTTGGATCATCTATCCTTTACTTTAGCTCACCTATGTGTTTACCAAGTGCCTTCTCTTTGTTAAGCACCATGCTGGATCCCAGGGATGAAATCTACCAACACAGACAAAGGGACACATGGCCTCTGCCCTCCTGGATCTCATGATCCAGGAAGGTTTCAGACAGAGACACAAATAGCTGTCATTTGAGGTGGCCTGTGATTCTGGCCTCAGGGGAAGGGTGACAAGTATTAGTCCTGATCTAGAGCAGATTGTATCTGTATAAAGTCATGTAAAAGGAGAGATGTAAGGAACCTTGAATGTGCCAGGATATGCAGAAGGGACTGACATTTGGGCAGAAAGCACTGTGAAAAAAGGCTTCTTGTAAGTTCCAGAACTATCATGAGGAGAAGTTCTCATGCCAGGTGTGCAGGACCAGAGCAGAGTACTGGAAGATGATACAGAAGAGCTACTGTAGTGCTTGCTGCATGCCTGTGACATTCAGACCTCAGTCTGTCAGAGGAAGAAAGTGTTGGGGTCAAAGCTGGGATTTTGGAGGACGGAGCAGTAATGCTGGGTTACAGGAGATGCTTCAGGCAGCCCAGGGAGTCAGGTTCTATCCTTTGGTTGTTCTGTAATAGAAGTAAGTGGGAGTGAGTGTATTCTGCACCATCATCAGGGCCAGCTCTCAGAAACAGTAGACACTCCACAGCATGCCATGTCCTCAGTGTCTACCAGAGTCAGATTCCCCTGAGGATCAGCATTTAGGTTCATAGACAACAAGTATCTATCAGGTACCCCCATGTTTTGGGACATTGCTAAATGCACAAAAGAGACAAAAACCAAAAGGGTACATGTTAAACAGCAAACACAGATATGCAGAATGTTAACGGGTAATCAAATGCTTAGAGAACAGAGAGAACGGTACCCTATTCAATTAGGGAGCAGGAAGGCCTCCTTGAGAAGGTGACTGTAAAAAGTGTTCAGCGTAGAGTTTGTTATTGTTCTGGGTTTTGTTGTTGTTTTAAAAAGAGTATATCATGTGTATAGGTGTTTTGTCTACATGTATATCTTTGTACCAAGAGTGTAGTGTACCTGGTTGAGGCAGAGGCCAGAGAGGAAGTCAAGTCCCCTGAGATTGGAGTTACAGATGGTTGGGAGCCTCCATGTGGATGCTGGGATCAAACCCAGGTCCTCTGGAAGAGCACTCATTGCTCTTAACCACTAAGCAAACTTTCCAGCCCCTTTGTTCTTTTTAAAACAAAACCTTGCTGTGTAGCCCAGGCTGACCTCAAACTCTTGATTATCTACCCTGTTAAGTTCTAGGATTCTAGGCATGCATTACCATGCCTGGCTTCGGCAATAGGATATTATCCAGCTTCCTTCTGTAGGAACACAAGGGTAGTGTCATAGCTTAGTTGCCTTTTATGTGTGTAGAACCTGGCAAAATCTGACAGTGGTGTTTCCCCACACAGATGCTGAACATCCAGATGTGTCCTCTCAGACACCAGTAAAAGAGAAGGCAATTACTCCAAACCCTGAGCAAGTGTTTGCAGAGTGTTCCCAGAAGAGGATTTTAGGATTGCTGGCAGCCATGTTACCTCCCATCCACTCGGTAAGAGGCAGCCAGAGTTTTCTTTGTGAAAGAGTGGGTGGTTGTGTTCACAGAAGAAAATGGTGGTAAGATGTAAGCAGAAACCATCTATTACCAACAGCTCTGTGTCATGAGGGAGGGAATGACTATTAATTAAAGTTACTTTCTTCTTTGAATTTACATTTTGTATGAATTCAATTGACTTTTTTTTTTTTTTTTTTTTCCCTATTTCCTCAAGACAGGGTTTCTCTGTGTAACAGTCCTGGTTTAATTATTATAGTTACTTTTTCTATGTTTTTATTTTGAAAGTTTTTAACCTCTTTGAAAATTTGGAAGTGCAATGAATGAAGATTTTCACATAGAATACTAGTGTTGTTTTATGTCTGCTTATTTATATGTTTTATTACATTTTTTTCTGAAATTGAAAACAAATTGAAAGCTTATAGGCACATCATCCTTGGTTCTCCTAAAAGTGTGATCTTCTCAATACCATGTTACTACCATGTTAAACACTCAAGCCTGGTGACTCACACTATAGACCCCCAGCACTTTGTAGGCAGGAGGTCAAGGCCATATTGGATTTCAGAGAGAGACTATAGATATAGATATCTTTTTTAAAAGTTCAAGTAAACTAATAAAAAATTAATACTGGTATAGTAATTTTATCTCATACAGAGCAGAATCTAGACACAGATTTTCTCAGTTTTCCTAGCATGCTCTGTAGATCAGGCTGGCCTCAAACTGACAGAGATCTGTCTGCCTCTTGCCTCTGCCTACCTAGTGCTGGGATTAAAGGCGTACGCAGCCACCACCAGGCAACAGCCACTATTCTTTGAAGAATATTCTCCTTTTCCTCTTTGGACTCTATTCTGAGGCTCTCCCAACCTTAACAGCTCCTCATCATGACTGTCTTTACGCCAACTCCTAGGTACCCCCATTACATGGGAACTTGCAGCCCATACCACACCAGCCCTTCTCTGCACACTTTCCTTGTTCTTCATGAACTCCAGAAGCCCTATCAACCATAACTTCAAGGGAATGCCTTCCCACGATTCAGTTTTTATTGCTAAGAGCTTTTGTACTTGCTTTGTTTTCTAGTATGTGTACAGTGCCCTCTTGAATCACACTCAACTGTACTAGCTCACAATTATTAAAGAGATTCTTCAGTTTTGTTTTTTCCTATGAAAAAATTATAAATGGTTTAAGTGTGTAGAAATATAGTCAGCTGTTTTCTAAATGGCATTTTTAATAATAAAGCACTGGAAGCCAAGTAAAATACAGACATACTTTAAAAAAAGAAAAATAGAAAGAAAAAAAAGAAAGAAAAATAGGCTGTGTGGTGCATGCCTTTGGTCCCAGCACTTGGGAGCCAGAGGCAGGCAGGTCTCTGTGAGTTCAAGACCAGCCTGGTCTACAAGAGCTAGTTCCAGGACAGGCTCCATAGCCACAGAAAAACCCTGTCTTGAAAAACCAAAAGGAAAAAAACAAATAGAAAAGTAGGGCTGAGAAGATTACTTGGTAGGTAAATTATTTACAATGCAAACTTGAGGATCCCAGAATCTACTTAAAGTTGAATATAGTAACATGTGTCTCCTCATGGAGAGGTGGGGCAGGTGGAGACAGAAAAATCTCTGGAAGCCCATAGGCAAACTAGCCTGGCATACACAGAAGCAAACGGAGGACCCTATCTCAAACGAAGTTCAAGACAAGGACTAACATTGGAGGTTTTCCCTTGGCCTCTGCATTTGCTGTGGTACACACACACACACACACACACACACACACGCACGCACGCACGCACACACACACACACACACACACACACACACACACACACACACACACACACACACACCACTGAAGGAAGGAAGGTAGAAAGGAAGGAAAAATAATTTACAGGTATTATCTATAAATGTGTGTGGAGAAAGGTTGACAAACTGTCCTTCCAACGATTAATAATTGTGACTTCTTTGACACTGATGGGTTGGAGGAGGGCCATGATAGAAGGTCTGAATTTTATATAATTTTTAGTTCTTTGAATTCTTTATGATGAACATTATCAGGAGAGGAAGAAAAGCAAGTGCTTGCTACTCTTGTAGAGGACCAGAGTTTGGTTCCCAGCTCTCATGTGCATAGATAGATTCAACATCTCCCATAACTCTAGCTGCAGGGTGTCCAACACTGTCTTCTTGGCTCCCGAGGCACCTGACTTACATGTGCATAATCACACATATACACACATATAAAAATTAAATTTAAAAAGTAGGATGATACCTGAGCATATTTATTTTATTTACAGTTGATTGTACACATGCCATTTTTGAAACTGAAATTAGGCAAGTTGTAATACATGAATGGGTGGCATGTGTAGATGATGTGGCTGCTTGGATTTTGTAGTAAGGAGATCTCCCTTCTCTGTTGACAGGGTCCCACAGTCCCCCTGATAGACCTGGAGCACGTCCTCCCACTCATGTTTCAGGTTGTCATCTCCAATGCAGGCCATCTGAATGAAACCTACCACCTCACCCTGGGTCTCCTGGGCCAGTTAATTGTCCGTCTTTTGCCAGCAGAGGTAGACACTGCAGTCGTCAAGGTCCTTTCAGCCAAACACAACCTGTTTGCTACAGCAGACAATGGCATTGTACCAGATGGTTGGAAGACTACCCACCTGCTCTTCAGCTTGGGAGCTGTGTGCCTGGACAGGTAACCTCAGCTTCCATATACCCAACCTCTACAACATCCTTAGTGGTACTCACTCACAACAGTGGTCTAGCTGTTGATGAGTTCCTGTGTGCTATAGTGCTGAGGCTCTTCTGTGAGAATTCACCTAGTAATTCCACACTAAAATAGCTGAGAGCCTCAGCAGCACCTGCCAGTCGGCGCTGATGAGATCTATTCTGATAGATCTGTCCTGGGAAAATTATGTATAGGCATTGTGGTTGAGAAATCTGTTTTTATTATAAAAACAACAATCAATACCAAATTGGAAATGAAGAAGGAAAAATGACCTTGACTTGTACCATATACATCTCTAAGCTCCTTTCTGAGCATGGCTGTGATTATAAATGTATTTGTCAATATATGCATGTGAAGATGACATTCTAGAGCAGTGTTCTCAACCTTCCTAACCCTGCGACCCTTTAATACAGTTCCTCATGCTGTGATGACCCCCAAACATAAAATTATTTTCATTGGTACTTCATAATTGTAATTTTGCTGCTGTCATGAATTATAAGGCAAATATCTGTGTTTTCAGTGGTCTTTTTTTTTTTTTTTTTTAATGTGCACTGGTGTTTAATATGCACCGGTGTTTTGCCTTTATGTTTGTCTGTGTGAGAGTACTTGATCCCCCAGAACTGGAGTTCTAGACAATTGTGATCTGCCATGTGGGTGCTGGGAATTGAACCCGGGTCCTCTGGAAGAGTTGCCAGTGCTCTTAACCTCTAAGCTATCTCTCCAGTCCTTCAAATGGTTTTAGATGAGGTTATGACCCACACGTTAAGAACCACTGTTTTAGATTTGAGAGCATAGTTGTAGATCAAGTTTCTAGGCTGATTATATAAATAACAGATTTTGATTTTGTTTTTTAACTTATCTTTATGTGAAAAGCATCATTCTGGTAGTTTTTAAGTAATGTCTGGTTCTTTGCATGAGTCTGACTCTTCCTAGGACAGTTGGGATATTTGTGAGGGTATAGCCTCACATACTACCACCTAACATTGAGGCTCTTGTCTTCTAGTCGAGTGGGCTTGGACTGGGCCTGCTCCATGGCAGAGATCCTTCGGTCACTCAACAATGCCCCATTGTGGCGAGACGTCATTGCCACCTTCACAGACCACTGCATCAAGCAGCTACCTTTCCAGCTGAAGCACACCAACATCTTCACCTTGCTGGTGCTTGTCGGCTTCCCCCAGGTACAGCATCTGAAGTCCTGTTCACCCAAGTCTCTGTAGCACATACATACACACACATATGTATGTGCCTTTAATAGTTTTGAATTTTTTTTTGTTACATGATTTGCTTTTATAGTCTTGGTATATTTTCAGAACTGAACAGCTGTTAGATTTGCATTGTCAACAGTTAGACATTTGATTCATTTTACTAGCTTTGAATAGTTGGTAACTATAATGTATTTGGTTTACAAAGAACTTCAGAGACTGTTATCTTTCACTCTGGCATTCATGTTGATCTTCCTCATCTGACTGGGATTAGGAGCTGTAAAGCTATGGCAAGCACCTAAACTAATTTTGTGCCAAGTCTGCACCCAATCCTTTGAACCTAGGGATGAGAAGATACCCCCCCCCCCAACCCATCCATGTGTGCTTGTAGAAGAGCAAGCAAAAGGGACTGGGCTTGTGCCTAATGAAGTGCCTCTTCCTGCATCAATGCTCTAGGTCCTCTGTGTGGGAACGCGCTGTGTTTATATGGATAATGCCAATGAACCCCATAATGTGATCATCTTGAAGCACTTCACTGAGAAGAATAGAGCTGTGATTGTCGACGTCAAAACCAGGAAAAGGAAAACAGGTCCTAAGCATAATTATGTCCTCTAAGAATGGAAGAAAATATTCTAATCCTTGCATGCTATGAAACCATTGAAGATGCCTTAGTTCTTTTTCCTGCATGTGATTGTTTAATTTTTTAAAATTACATGTATTTATTTGTGTGTGAACACATGTGCTCATGTGCATACACATATATGTGGAGGTCAGAGGACAACTTGTGGGAGTCAGTGCTTTCATTCTACAACCTGAGGCCCTACAGATTGAACTCAGGTTATCAGGCTTGGTGGCACATGCCATTATCCATTGAGCCTTCTCACTAGCTCAACTCTTTACAATAAAGTGGATTTCTTTTTTTTTTTTTTTTCCCCAAGGATTTATTTATTGTGTATACAATGTTCTGCCTGCATCTATGCCCACAGGCCAGAAGAGAGCACCAGATCTTGTTACAAATGGCTGTGAACCACCATGTGGTTACTGGGAATTGAACTCAGGACCTCTAGAAGAGCAACCAGTGCTCTTAACCTCTGAGCCATCTCTCCAGCCCTTAAGTAGATTTCTTATTCATTGCGTGGTGGTACATGTCTATAACCTCAGCACTGAGGCAGGAGGATCACATAATCATGACCAGTCTGATAGCGGTTTGAGGCTAGTCTGGGCTCCATAATGAGATCCTGTCTCAAAATACAATAGTAATAGCAATTAATAAACATAGTAAACACATAAATTGATTTCTTAATAGCTAATATATAGTCAGTCTTCTTTTTAATCCTATGACAGTCTCTTCCTTTCAATACTTATTCAGGCATTTTGATTGATTAATTCTGAAGTCTCCTTGCTTACTTTCCATTTGTCTCTGCTCTCGGTTCTTTTTTCTACTCGTGCCTTCTTGTAGATTAATATTTCTTATTTTCTAAATATTAATTTGATGTCTGCTATTGGCTCTAATTGTAACTGTTGCTGTGGTGTGTCACAGTAGCCAGTACTTTAGTCAGCACTCGGGATATGGTCCTCAGGTTTGTTCTGCACACCTGTGACTGACTATCTGGCTTTGAAATTTTTCTGTCTTTCTCTCCCAAGGGCTGGTATCCCAGATACACACTACCATTCCTGGCTTTGACTCTGTCTTTGAGAGATTGGCTTTCTGGGGCTGAAGATATGGTTCCCCAGTTAAGAACTCATGCAGAGGACACATCCAGTGCCTCACAACCACCTGTAACTCCAGCTCCAGGGGATCCAGCACTCTCTCCTTATCTCCATTGGCACATACTTACATGTACAAATTCTCACACTGACAGACATGTATACACATAATTAAAAGTAAAATCTTTATGAAATGTAACTTTTCTGGATAAAAACAATCCTGAGAGATGTTTTAGTATTTGCTGTTATACTTTTCTCTCTTCCCCCCTTCTCTCTCTCTCTCTCTCTCTCTCTCTCTCTCTCTCTCTCTCTCTCTCTCTCTCTGTGTGTGTGTGTGTGTGTGTGTGTGTGTGTGTGTGTGGGTGTGGGTGTGTAGATCTCACATAGCACAGGCTGACTTGAACTTGCTATATAACTAAGGATGACTTTGATGATCCTTCTGCATTTTCCGTGAGTGCTGGGGTTACAGGTGTGTACCATTAGGCCTTGTGGTTGTTAAGCAAGCAGCCTACCTTCACAGCTACTCCTCACCTCCCAATAGTTTTTTCCTTAGAATTCTTTAAAGATGTTCTCTGGCTTGCACTAAGTCTGTTGTGAATTGGCGTGAGGCCTGCTGTTGTTATCTTTGTTGTTGTTTATAATATAACTTTTCTCTGGCTGCTTAGGGATTATTTGAATACCGTGATGGTGGGTGAGGCATTCTGTAAGTCCATAGATGGTGGCTTTGGCAGAAGTATTACATGTACGAAAGACAAATACATCACCAGAATAAGTATTTACTTCAGAAAGGACAAAGCATTGTCATTTCCACAGATGAAGTGGTCTGATGTAGTCAGCCTGCCCCCTGGTGCTCAGTGTTTGTCTCTGTTGAAAGATCTGACACTTAGCCGCAGTATAACCAGGTCAGCCTTGGTGATTGGAAGTTCATGTTGTTGAGCCCATGCATAACCTCCATCTCTCCACCATGGCCACCTTGTTCATAGGCCAATTAGGCAATAACAGAGATGGCTGGGAAAAAGAGGCTGACAGTCCACAGAATGGGTTATCCTACCTACTTGATTATTGAACTTCTCTGCTTAAGTCACCCTTCAATGAGTTACACGACTTACTCCCTTAACTTACATGGGACATGAGTATTTTCACATCCTTCTTCCATTGGGAGAGATCTAGCCACACATTTCTTCCTCAGATGTGTTTCTTACCAGTTTCCCAATCTTGCTCTTTCTAAGTTCCTAGTAATTAATCACACATCTGGCTATTTCTCCTTCCAAGCAAAATGTATGACCACACATAACTACCCAAAGTTCTGCCCCCGTAAAGATTTCCCCTCACCAGTATGTTTCAGGGTTATCCCAGAAAGAAGTTATAACGCTGTAGCTGTCTGCTTCTGGGTATTGCCTGCATAACATGCAGAACCATGAGTAAACCAGGCTCTAGTCTTCTCAGTCAGCAGATCACCTAGGCTCTAGGTGCATGCTTGGCACAGTATTGAACAGGAGTAGAAACTGTAGGCATTTAGGCAACTTCTTCATGCAACTTGCTTGTGCCTTCAGGACCTGCTCAGTCATGTATATACCACTTCCATTTGATAATGGACTGCTGATGTGCACATCCTACTTCATGGCTTGGTGGGTCAGATAAATCCTTCACCTTAGAAGGAATATCTCTGCATGCCCCACACCACTGAACTCCTAAGAATTTCACTAAAGTAGTCCTTGAATTTTGGTAGGATTTATTTGCCATCCTCTGATGTACATATGTGATATTACCAATAAATCCAAAGTGGTTGCTACCTCCTACTTACTTAGACCAATCAACATAATGTCATCAATATAGTGCACCAGTGTGATATTTTGTGGAAGAAAAAGATGATTAAGATCCCTTCTAAGTTATGACACAGTGCTGCAGAGTTAATATATATTGAGGTAAAACTGTAAAGGTATACTGCTGGCCTTGCCAACTGAAAGCAAATTGTTTCTGGTAATTTTTATGGACAGGTACCAAGAAAAAGGCATTTGCTAAATCAGTAGCTGCATACCATGTACCAGAAGATGTGTTAATTTGCTCAAGTAAGGGCACCAACCACATCTAGTACAGCAGCTGCAATTGGAGTCACTACTTGATTGAATTTTCCACATCAGCTGTCATTCTCCACGATCCATCTGTCTTCTGCACTGGACAGATAGGAGAGTTAAAGGGAGATACGGTGGGAACCACCACTCTCACCTCCCCTCCCCATACTCCCCCCCACACACCCTGCATCTTTTAAGTTCTTGATGGTGGCACTAATTTCTGCAATTCCTCCAGGGATACAATACTGTTTTTGATTCACTATTTTCTCTGGCAGAGGCTAAAGGCTTTCTCTAAAGGCTTCTATTTAGCCTTTTCAATGATAATAGCCCATACTCCACAGGTCAGGAAACCAATGTGAGAATTCTGCCCCAATTGTACATTCTGGAACTGGGGCAATAACCACAGGATGAGTTCAGAGACCCACTAAACCTACTATTGAGTTTGATTTCAGCCAAAACTCTAATAATCACCTGACCTCCATAAGCCCCTACTTTAACTGGAGAGCCACATGCTTCTTGGGGGGGGGGGTCTCCCAGAATCAGTGTCAATTCAAAACCAGTATCCAAAAGACGCTGGAAACTCTGTTTCCTTTCCCCCAGTGTACAGTTACCCTTGTAAAAGGCCATAGGTCCCTCTGTGAAAGGGCAGGAGAGAGGATAACCGTAAAACTTTTAGGTTATTTCCTCCAGGGAATTTGGCAGTGCCTTCACCCAAGGGGTTCTGGGTCTGCAAACTGGCTCTTCCAGAAATTGGTTTATGGGCTGAGAGTCCCTTTTGCCACAATCCAATGTAGCCTTTCATTTGTTTGAGGTTCCCCCCCCCTTATACAGATCAAACAACAGTGTAGTAGGCTTCTTATCTATTTCATGCATACCTAGAACAACATGATTGGCTAGCCAGTATCAAAGGTCCATATAAGTCATGCCACCGTAAAAAACATTTTGTGCTGCCCATTATGGTAACTACAATCGCCTTACCTTTGGTCACTCAGCACTGCCACCTGGCCCCTGCTACTTCAAGGGCCAAATTAAACCTATTACATTTGATTCATCCAATTGGGCAGCAGCATCTGCAACCCTAAGGTCTTGGCACAGGGAAAAGGGCAACAACAAAGCTCTTCAAGTGTGCTGGTGCCCCTTCACCATTTAACATCTTACAGGATTCATGAAGGGCATGTTTTCTAGGCCTTCACATTGTGGAGGATTAATTTTTACACAGTATATCCACTCCAGCATTGCAATTTCCCTGAGCCTTAAAAGCCTTTCATCAACACTAAGACAAGGGTTAGTAGGCATCTCCAACTCCTCCTCAGTAGGCCATCTCTTGACAAATATTTCAGCCAACCATTGAAACAAACTTTAGACACCTTTTTTAATTGTCTGAGCATCCATATCAAACCTAGGTTCTTCACTCAGTGGGCCTTATCAATAAACTCAGCCTGATCCAGTTTGTCCTTTCCACCGTTATCCCACACATGTTCCCAAGACTTCTGCTTGATTAAGTTAGCAAACTCATTAGGCTTTTTGGTAGTATAATGCCCCTCCTGTCTAGGAGCCTACTTAGCCTTAAGTCTGGTTATAGGTTTATCGGCAACTATTGGTGGGCCCTGAAGGACATCAGGGTTTCCTTTCCTGGCCTGGTGTCTTCAGAGAAGACCACTACTGGTTTAACAGCTAGTGAAAGATTAATTTCCTCAGTCAAGTGTGCAAAAGGCAATATTTCAGGGCTGGAGGTGAAATCTGCTGTGGGTAGAGAGACTACTCCCTCAGGTGAGACAAATCCTTCTGAGGATTTAAAGTTCTCAGCTTCATTAGGGTCCTCCCACACAGCTGTATCCCAATTACAGGATCCCATGTTTAACCAATTAATGTCCTTACTTTAACCACCAACACCCTCTGAAGCTGGGACTTGAATTTTTGCTGTAATTCAGCTAATCTTAAAGTGAGGGCTTTGGTTTGATTTACTTCAACAAACTCTTTGGCTGCTGGAAAGAAAAATCTTTACCAGGGCACACTTAGAAACTTCTGGACTGCTTATACACCTCTGGAGCTGGTCCTTTTTTTTTTTAATCACCAAGGTCCGTTCATTGTTGTCCTTCACCATATCTTGAGATGCTAGAAGCTGATTAATATTATCTCGGAATTCATTCTTTTTCCATTGTCAGTTTATACAGAGATGCGGGAGCAACAAACCAGGACCATCACTTTCCTTATTTTTCCACAGATTGTCAAAAGTTGCCTTTCACGAGATAATCAAATGTATTTGTCCCCCAAAGTTTGTAAAATAGTTCACACCATAGGCTTTTGGTACTCTGAGCTTCTAGGAGAGGCTTCAATAATTGAGGTATTGGCAAACTGAAAAGCCTATTCCAGATACTTAAAACATTCATCTCTATACTTCTGTTGCTCTAGAACCACTGATGGTACCAAAATATGCATTGATCAGGGTTCTCTAGAAGAATAGAACTGATAGGATGAATTGAGGTGGGGCGAATTTGTGAGAATGACTTACAGGCTGTGGTCCAGCTAGTCCAACAGTGGTTGTCTATCAGTAGAAGGTCCAGTAATCCAGTAGCTGTTCAGTCCACAAGGCTGAATGTTTCAGCTGATATTTAGTGTACACCAGAATCCTAAAGAAGCAGGCTATTGCCGGTGAAGGGATGATGAACTTGCCCAGGAGTCTGAAGGCAAACAGACAAAAAGAGCAAGCTTTCTTCTTCCATGTCCTATATAGGCTGCCAGAAGAAGGTGTGGCCCAGATTAAAGGTGTATCTTCCTACTTCAAAAGATCTGGATTAAAAGTGGTTCTTCCCGCTTCAGATGATTTAATTATGAAAAAAGCCCCTCACAGGTGTGCCCAGCCATGTGGGTTTTAGTTAATCCCAGCTGTAATCAAGTTGACAACCAAGAACAGCCATCAGAACACCTTTGGCTTTGGCTATGACCTGCTTGTGCACAGTAATGGGAATTTTGCATTATGACTTGTCCCTCTCAGTTTCCCCATGGACGAGTGGCTCTGTACCACTTTTGTGCTCACCTGCAAACTGGGCCTAAGTTGGCTACACCTGAGCCTAGGAGACTTATTTCTGAAGTCCTTGCTTTAAAATAGTAAGGTCTGTAGAGAAACCCAACTTCAGAGAACACTAACTGTACTCTTTGTGCCTTTCTTTTCCTCTTTGACATGATGCTATAGTGAAGGACTACCAACTGGTCCAGAAGGGAGGAGGACAAGAGTGTGGCACCTCTCAGGCCCAGCTGAGCCAGTACTCCCAACACTTTGCCTTTATTGCCAGTCATCTTCTGCAAACCAGCATGGACAGCCATTGTCCCGAGGCAGTGGAAGCAACCTGGGTCCTGTCCTTGGCCCTCAAAGGTTTATATAAAACACTAAAGGTAATGGTGTGCCTCTTCCATGTGCACAGACCTACCTATGATTTGACATCTGCAGGGGATTAACAAGGAGGAAATGCCATCTGTTTTGGATGAATGGTTAACAATGGGTTGTTTTTAAAAATGCTTGAGACCTTATACAAGGATAACTTTAAGGACGAATTTTCCCAGTGTTTTGAGTCTGTTTTTATTTTGTTTTGGTTTTTGGGGGGGAGGGTAGTTTTGGTTTTGGGTTTTATTGGGAGGGGGTGTTGTTTTTTGTTGTTGTTGAGACAGGGATTTTCCTTTATAGTCTTGGCTGTCCTAGAACTCACTTTGTAGACCATGCTGGCCTCAAACTCACAGAGATCTACCTGCCTCTGCCTCCGGGGTGCTCGGATTAAAGGCATGTGCTACTCCACCTGGCAGGTCTCAGTGTTTTTTGTTTTCTGTTTAATACTGTTTCATGAACTCTGGTACTGTGGCTTCATGGAAACATAACCCTGTCTTGGGGGAAGAAAACTGGGCTGAAAGTTTTTTCACTTCATGCTGAATGGGAGCTCCTCTAGGTTATCACAGGAATGGAGGGAGGAATAAAGGAAGTTAGCATCCCAGGGAGCTTCAAGGGATCAATCAGTGTAGCTTAGAGTAAGTAGCTAGGAGAGAATTGGATGGTATTTGAGGTAAAGAGAAGCCCTGACACATGAGGACTTTTGGGCCTTAGTAGGCTGGAGTGTTAAGGGAATCTTTCAAGGAGATGCATTTGAGGTTACTTGCAGGGTGACTTTCCTTACAGAGCTGGAAAGGATCCCAGCTGAAGGTTGTTGCCCCTTGACATTGAAGTGTCCAGTGGTAGCTCTGGTAGGGAGGTCATGGGGTGGTGGTGCAGGGGATGACTCAGGCACCACCAGAGACTTGCCTGCTTGGCTCTCCAGTTCTGGGCAGCACTGAGAAGATGTAATTGTCAGCCAAGACCATTTATCTGCTAGTTCAGTTTCTGACATGTTTTACAATGTGATGTGTTTCACTGTTCCCACTGTAATAGAAAAGGGAAATTAGCTCCCCGATGACAGAGCTCTTAAATCCTCATTCAGTTTGTTTGTTTGCTTGCTTGCTTGCTTGTTTGTTTGAGACAAGTACTCATTATGTAGTTCTGGCTAGACTGGAACTTACTATATGGACCAGGCTAGGCTCAGACTGAGAGATCTGCCTGCCTCTACTCCCCAAGTGCTTGGCTTAAGATGTGCACCACCACAAGTGCTCAGTCAGTTAATATTTACTTGTTGAGCACCAAGAGCCAAGTGGAACTGTGTGTTCAGTGGTGAGCTAGAAAGAAAGGCCATGCTTTCATGAGGCTTATAGTCTCCTAAGTCAAAGGAGGCACCTTCCTGCAAGAAGGAAGGGCAGCTCTGCGTGGAAAGACTTTTGAAAAGGAGAAGTTTGAGGTGGCAGTTATGGAACTAGCCTTGGGACAGAAAGAATAGCAAGTTGCAGGCTTCAAAGTGCACCAGGCATGATGGTCAGGGAGCAGAAAGATCTCTAGATCTTTAAGATAGTGCAACCAAGGGGGTGAAGCTAAAGAAGCAGTCAGGGGGCCTTGTAGAACCCCATCAGCCATGGTTAGGGCTTGGATCTTAGCCTCAAGCATTTTTGGAAAGTAAAGAGGGGAAGTGACATAAAATAGGTTTCAGAAGGGTTTGTTCAGTGAAAGAACAGAATGAATGAGGGGCAGTGGCTCGTGGTTTAGATGCAAAGTGCTTTCTGACTGACTGGAATTTTCCCTGGAAGGTCAGCTGGGCCACCAGCGCTGGCAAAGACTGGCGCTCTTCTGACCTCAATCTTCACTCTCTTGTCTTGTCAGGCTCACGGTTTTGAAGAGACCCATGCCACCTTCCTCCAAACTGATCTGCTGAAGCTGCTTGTCAAGAAGTGCAGCAAAGGGACTGGCTTCAGCAAGACCTGGCTCCTCCGAGACCTGGAGGTAAGGAAGACGGCTGCCCTGTACATCTGTACCCGGCAGCACAGCTAGCTTGTCCAAACCAGTTCCTCCCTGTGCACGCTCATTCTGTGCAACTTTGAAACCCAGCCTTGATTCTGTCTTCCTGAATTAGGGATTCTGACACCTGTCCTCCCCTGTCAGGAAAATGAATTGGGTGTTTGTTCAAAGAACCTTGGACAAGGATTTTGTGGAAACATATAATTGACCATTAAATCATGATAATAAAATGTGTTTTTGAATTATTATTTCCCTCTAAAGTTCCTTTGGGCTAAAATCAGTTTCTAAATATGGCCACACATGTTTATCTTATGTAGGATTTCAGTTGGTAATTTCATTTTATTGTTCTCTGAGGCCTTAGATGTTCTTAGTGGAATTCTTGTAGTTCTCCCGAGGCTTTCAAGGTCAAGTGCTAGTTTCTAGTGTAAGGGGGTTAGTGCCACACAGATGTGCTGTGCCCCTCATCCTCATCATACAGATGCCTGCATTTGAAGAATCAGCTTTGAATACTATAGGGTTTGTTATATGGGTGTTTTGCCTACAGCTATGCCTGCACTACTTGAATGCCTGGTGCCTACAGAGGCCAGAAGAGGGCATCAGATCCCCTGGACCTCAGTTACAGATGATTGTCAGCTGCTATGTGTGTTCTAGGAATTGAACTCAAATGCTCAGAAAGAGCAGCCAGTGTTCTTAACTGCTGAGCCATCCCTCCAGTTTCCAAAACCACCCTTCTTAATGGTGGTGTATAAGACTGGAGTACTTTGCTTTTGCCATTATTAATGCTTCATTGCCACATTTTGAACAGTATGTTTATGTATTGTGTCATTTCTAAAAGATAAGTTATAGGTCAGAAGGATATATTTTTAATAGTTCAATACTTACATTTCTCCAAAACAAGTGAGAAAGTGCTGTTAAGAAGTTAAATAAGCACAAGGACCTCCATAGTTTTTGTTAGCATTTCTTCTATTATAGGTACAGTTGAACATGTTTTCATGTACCTTTACTAATCACACACTCTCCATGTGAACTCTGATATCTTAGAGTTAGACCCTTACATGATTAAATATGTATGTCATCTTCTCATTCACTGAATACTCATCTCCCTGCTCTGCTTGACTGATTTCGTATGTAGATTCTGTCCATCATGCTGTATTCCTCGAAAAAGGAGATCAACACTCTGACTGAACATGGAGACCTGGAGCTGGATGAGAGAGGGGACCAAGAGGAAGAAGTAGACCGGCCAGTTAGTAGTCCTGGAGAACCAGAACAGAAAAAGCTGGACCCTCTGGAAAGCTTGGATGAACCTACCAGAATATGCTTCCTGGTGTGTGCACTGGTCATCATGGGAATGGAACACAGGCATTAAAAAAATGGGTTCTCTTTGACTCAGTCTGTGCTTCAGCCTAAACAAGTGTAGGGACTGGAGAGAGCACCCACTGGTTAAACAATACTTGCTATTGTTCTTCCAAAGGACCAAGGTTGGATTCCCAGCACCCAAGTGGGAGCTCACAACTGTCTGTTAATTTCAGTTCCAGGGGACCTGACACCCTCTTCTGGGCTCCATGGGTACTAGGCACACACACGGGGCACGGACAAACATACAGGCAAAACATCCATTCACATAAATAAATCAAAAAACCTTTTTAGCTGCTCAGTTTGATGTCCTAAGAATTCATCTCTTAAGCAGTCTGTTGCATACAGAAAAGATCCAAAAGGATAATAGATCCCTATCATTGTAGTGGCTTTAAGATTTATTTATTTATTTATTTTATGTGCATGGTGTGCGCCTGTGTGATTTTATATGTACCACATGCATGCAGGAACCTGTAGAGGCCCAGAAAGGGTAGTGAATCCCCTGAAGCTGGACCCCCCATGTGGGTTCTGGGAATTGAACCTAGGTCCTCTGCAAAACTAATAAACCACTGTGCCATTTTTCTAGCCCCTAAAGTGGCTTCAAATAGTAATGCACATTTTATAATTCATATCTTAGTAGTCAAAATTCACCATGCTTTTTTAAAGTTCCCACATACTGTTCTTCCGCTGTAACCTGGGGTAACTTGAAATACTGTTTCATCACTTCAGAGTGCATATTGTTCATGTCTTAAGGCACATATCCTTGTCTTTTTGCCTTCTTCCATACCTCCAGATGGCTCATGATGCTCTCAATGCCCCATTGCACATTCTCCGGGCCATATATGAACTGCAGATGAAAAAGACCGATTCTTTCTTCCTGGAAGTTCAGAAAAGGTAAAGACCATTGAGATGCACTGAAGTGTGCCAAGTGAGGGTAGGGAACTCTCACCTGCTCCCCTGGGATCTGGAGAGAGGCCCTAACAGGACAGGCAGCCGTGGAGTTCTCCCTGATGCCCTTGGAAAGGCTGCTGTGCCACTTTGACTGACTGGGTCATCTCTAAGAGTGTGACAATTTCCCTTGAGAATGTCGTGTGTGCAGTCTTAAAGGTACAGACTCTGGGGTGCCTCTCATGGCATCCAATAAGCAAATGGCACAGCAGAGCAAGGGCTGTGCTCAAGAGAGGTTTTGGCTTTTATGTTTCCATCAGTGTAAATTATTTTCATGACTTTTTCACAGGGATGGTTATATAATCAACAATATATCCTTCTCTTGGCCAGGAAGTTCAGAGGTGGCTCCAGAACCCATCTTCTGAATTTGTGTGAAACTTTACATATCTCCCTTCCAGCCTCCTCTTCTGTCCCCATGGCCTGACTTTGCTCTCTCTGTCTTCCTACATACTCATCATTCCCTCCCACCCTTTTCCCCTCTCCCTTCTGCCTGTCTCTTCCCTCTCTTTTTGCTATGCTAGGGAATCAAACACAGTCTTGTACATGCTAAGCTATCCCCCACCACCCTTTAGCTTCTTATTTTAGTATGGAGTAAATTTCAATTAACTTCATTCATGTTTCTGTTTTACCCTATGCATTATCTAAAATCCTGTGTGAAATGGAGCAGGTGCTATGAGAGGAAGATAGGGTACAGTGTAAGTTACTGTATCTATAAAAGCAGAAGGACCTCAGACTGAGGCAGGTAGAGTTTGTGATTTTCTCACAAAAGCACCCAGAGACAGAGAAAGGAAAAACTGGGAAGACACTTGATTAAGTGTGTGCCATGCAAGCATTAGGACCTGGGTTTGGATCCCCAGTACCTATGTAAAAGCTAGGCATGCCAGTGTTCATCTATAACTCCAGTACTAGGGATGTGGAGATGGAGATAAATGGACCCCTGGAACTTGCTAGTCAGCCAGTGATGCCAAACCACTAAGCTCTGATTCAGTAAGAGACCCTGTCTCTAAAAATGAGGTCGAGAACAGCTGAAAAGATAACGAGGTCAACCCCAGATACACACGTCTCAGAATTAAGAAAGAACTATAAACAGGCTGGAGAAATGTTTCAGTGGTTAAAAACACTTGTTTCTCTCACAGAGGACCTGGGTTTAGTATCTAGAACCCTCTTTTGACCAAAAGTATTTTTTTAAAAAATAAAGAGTAAGAAAAAAGTGATTCCTAAGAGATAGTTTACATCTCTGCCATGGAAGATATTCTTGAAAATCTACATGTATGGGTGAATGGACGATGCTGTGACTGTAGTTTGCAAAGTATAGCTAGTGATGATATAATTGGGTGGGTTATGGAGAGAGAATAGCTCTGTCCACCTTTCTGACAAGGGTAGTGTTCTTTAAGCTCCTGTCTCCTCCACTTTCTGTGCCCATCACTGGGCTCCCTTCAGGTTTGATGGGGATGAGCTCACCACTGATGAGAGGATTCGCTCCCTGGCACAGAGGTGGCAGCCCAGTAGGAGTCTGAGACTGGAGGAACAGAGTGCCAAAGCTGTGGACACAGACATGATTATCTTGCCATGCTTGGTATGTCACCTACCTTGGGATCAAAGTGTTTGCACTTCTGCCTGCCCCCTCTAGTGAGAAGGCCAGGCCTCTGTAATGATGGTGTTGGCTTTGCAGTCCCGGCCTGTGCCTTCTGACCAAGCCACTGCTGAATCGAACCCCGTGACCCAGAAGCTGATTCCCAGCACAGAGAGTGAGCTGCAGCAGAGCTATGCCAAGCAGCGCCGCAGCAAGAGTGCTGCCCTCCTGCACAAGGAGCTGAACTGCAAGAGCAAGAGGGCTGTCCGGGACTTCCTCTTCCGTGTGAACGAGGCCACAGCAGTCCTATATGCTCGCCATGTGCTCGCCTCCCTGCTGGCCGAGTGGCCAGGCCACGTGCCAGTGAGTGAGGACATCCTAGAGCTCAGCGGTCCTGCACATATGACCTACATTTTGGATATGTTCATGCAGCTGGAAGAAAAGCATCAGTGGGAGAAGGTAGCTAACTCTCTGCTCAGCCCAGGCTTCTCTTTGCCCATCTTCCCTATCTCTGTGGCCCCAGGGTGTTTGAGTAATGTAGCCCCCTGACAGTATGAATACAGCAGAGGCAAAGGCTTCTTTTGACTGCGCCATGGGTTTTCTGGAGTTGAGCTCACAGCACAGACCTGAGTATAGGAAACATTTGCAGCAGTAGTCCCTGAAAACCTGCCTTGGCCTTCTGCCTTGATTGTTTCACACCTATAAGTCTTGCAGCTCTCCTAGCTAGCCTGTGTCTTCTCAGGTCCTTGGAATTTGACATGATGCAAAGTCAGGTGACAAGGTAATACCCTTAAGATGCCCAGGTAGCCTGTTCCCATAATACAGGAAAGCTTCCCATGAAGATTTTTGCCTTCTGTTTTAAATTTTGTTGTTTTGTTTTGTTTTTCAAGACAGGGTTTCTCTGTATTGCTTTGGAGCCTGTTCTGGAACTAGCTCTTTAGACCAGGCTGGCCTCAAACTCACAGAGATCCACCTGCCTCTGCCTCCCGAGTGCTGGGACTAAAGGTGTGTGTGCCACCAGGGGCCCGGCTTGCCTTCTGTTTTAAACTGTCTACGCTGTGTCTGCAGGTCAAGTGATCTGCCCTCACATCTTGGTTGTGCCATGACCCTGGTGGTGTAGGTAGAAGCTTATCCAAGACTGATTTCTGGGTGACAGGGATTTCCTAGTGTCCATGCCATTCTTTGAAGTTTGGTTCTCCAACTTGGAATTTTAAGTTGGAGGCCATGTGGTATTTTTTTTTCTTTTCTAATTTTATTGTGTGTATAATCTTTTGCCTGTGTGTATGTAACTGCATCATGTGTATGTGTTGCCCTCGAAGGCCAAAAGAGGTGTCATATGAAACTGTAGCTGCAAATGGTTGTGAACCTTCGTGTGCATGCTGGGAACTGAATTAGGGTCCTCTGTCAGAGCAGCCCGTGCACTTAACCACTGAGCTGTCTCCACCTCATCTGTTCTATTTTTATATCAAGTCTTCCTGTTGTCTTCTAAAATAATACTGTGAGGCAAGAGAGATGGCTGAGCAGTCAAGAGCGCTTGCTGTCTCTGCAGAAGATAAGAGTTTAGTCCCAGCACAGGCTGGGCAGCTCACAGTCTCCTGCAACTCCAACTCCAGGGGACCCAATGCCTTCTTTTGGCCTCTATAAACACCTACATACATATACATAAAGTAAATATTTAAGTAATGCTGGGTTAGAGTCTATTCTGCTTCTGCTGCATAGAAGCAGAGAACCCAGTGTAGCAGAAAACATCCTGGTCTACACCTTAGCATACCTGTGCACTTACCCCTCCTGGTACACGGTTAGTCATTGTCCTTGGTTTCAGGTGCAGAAATTCTGGGCCATATTGCTCCCTTAATCCTTTACCTCCTGTTCAGTGGGCTGAACATGGGGAGGTCGCTGTGTCCTCTGACCCTTGTTTTGTCCATCTAGGACCACTAGTTTCTTTGTATCCTAGATTGTTTGCCAGCACCATAGCCCTGCAGGCACCAGCAGAGTGCTCTAGCCATATCCACCTACCACGAAGGGCAGTGGCAGCCACTGCCTCTGTAGACCCCTGCTTGGACATGTGCTTCTCTGCCCATTGGCCCCCCCAGAACTCCTTACTTGGGCCATTTCTCTCTGTGTGCTGTAGTGTTTACTTACAGCATCTTCTGCCTGCTTAGTGGTGAGCTCTTCAGGGGCCTGGAACATCTCTGACTGGTTCTTTTATTGTGGGCCTCCTGGAAGTGGCATTACTCTGATTCAGAACAGGGCCTGGTTGAGAGGTAACCACTGGGGTTGCATTTGGGGGCAGGTTGGATGGTGCCAGTACCTTCAGGTGACTCTCAGGCTGAAGCAGACTCTATCTTCTTCCTTCTGATGACACTGGTTTGCCCTGCCCTTACCCAACTTCTGTCTTCCCAGATCCTGCAGAAAGTGCTCCAGGGCTGCCGAGAGGGCATGCTGGGGACCATGGCCCTGGCTGCCTGTCAGTTCATGGAGGAGCCAGGAATGGAGGTGCAAGTGAGGGAGTCAATACACCCGTATAACAACAACACCAGCTTTGAGGTATGGCTGCACATCAGACCTCATCTTTTTTCTTTGCAACCCTGACTAGGAACACGTTTCTTCATCTCCTGTCTGAAGCCATGAATCCTGGGCAGCAGGTTTCCCTTTCTCCAGATTGAGCTACTGTATTTATTAATAGGGAAAGTGGGCTCCTGCTCCAGAGGAGAGTATACTTTTCCCATTGTAAGCTCTGAGTGAATCCTCAGCTTCTTCCAGCAGTGAGTTTATGTGGGGATCTAGAGTCAACCTCTGTCTCCTGCTGATCAGGCCACACCTTAGAAACACTAGCCCCTTTTTAAGTACCCAGCAGCCCTCACAGCCTCATCTTCTCCATCCTGAATCTGTGTCTAAATAGAGCCATAGGAGTTTGGTGTGAGCCACCTCAGCTACCCTCACTGATTGATGTCTTGCACCTTTCCTTAGCCCTTTGGAGATGTTGGTACTGGCAAGGTCTGAGCTTCTACGTGGGAGTAATCTACAGCAGTTGGGACAGGACACAGAGGCTGGTTCAGAAGTTGACTGTTGATCAGCTGAGACAATTTTTTGCAGAGGTGTACACCTCCTCACCCTTTCCTTCCAAGTCTCTTCTCTACCTGCATCATTCTCAATTGCCAAGTTGTACCCCAGAAGGGATCGTGCTGCCTTCCTGGTGGTCCCAGCCTGTTCCCTCATCTGGGGCTACTGTTGCTGATTCCTCCTGATCTTATCCCCACTCCCTCCTGGCTCCTCAGCAGCTGTGCCCCTTCTTCAAGATGTGATCAGAGCACTTCTGCTCTCCAGAAGTCTGACATCCCTTCTTAGTACACATGATCGTGACCTGTCCTGTAAAACCCCCAAGCCATACTCTCTGCCACTTTCAGAACATGCAGACCTTTTCCAGTGCTGCTCCCTACCTGAAAGGCACTCTGTTGCCCATGCATTCCCTTCCCCTGAGGAGCTCTGGACCTTTTCTGGATGCCCACTGTGACCCCCATCACAGAGCTGGAAGAAGGGACTGTGGCTTGTTCATGCTCCATGTCCCTGGTTACAGTGACAGCCACAGTGGTAGCTAGTGTCAGTGATAGAAGTATTCTCTGTCTCCCTTCCTAGGACAAAGTTCACATTCCTGGTGCAATCTACCTCTCAATCAAATTTGATCCTCAGTGCAACACAGAGGAAGGCTGTGATGAATTAGCTATGTCCAGCAGTAGTGACTTTCAGCAGGACCGACACAACTTCAGCGGCTCCCAACAGAAGTGGAAAGATTTTGAGCTTCCAGGTATGTGACTCTTCTTTTAAATTTTTGCTTTTATTTGTTTGTTTGTTTGTTTGTTTGAGGGGCTGAGTATGTGTAACAGTGCCCCTGTGGAGATCAGAGGACAACTTGCAGTCAGTTCTCTCCATATGGATCCCAGGGATCAAACTCAGGTTGTCAGGTTTCCAGCAAGCACTTTTACCCACTGAGCCATCTCACCAGCCCTATATAGACTTCACAGGAAGCATTTATACATAATAGTGAAGCCAGTGAGATGGCTCAATGGTAAGGGAACTTGCTGCCAAGTCTGTCAACCTAAGTTTAAGCCCCAGGACCCACATGATGAGAAGAGAGAACCAACTACACATATATACCTTAGTATGTACATGCCTAACATACACTTCTCACTCCAAAATAAAGGTAAAACAAACTTTCTAAAAGCATAACATTGACTAATTATTAGAGAATTTTAAAACGAGCTTAATATATTTCATCAGAAACACCCTGGCTGCCATCTTGTTACTCCCATATCCTGACCTGTCTCTGGTTTTTATGGCCCAGGAGATACTCTGTATTACCCATACCCTGACCTGTCTCTGGTTTTTATGGCCCAGGAGATACTCTGTATTACCGATTTACCTCTGACATGAGCAACACTGAGTGGGGCTACCGATTCACCGTGACAGCTGGACACCTGGGGCGTTTCCAGACAGGTGTGTGCTCTCCCTTTCTGTTTTTATGCTCTGCCCACCAGACACACTCTGGCCAGAGGTGCCATTATGTTACTGACTTCTGTTCAAATCAAAGCAAGTAGTGTCTCTAAGGCCTTCCAAAAGTGTCTCCCAACTCCCATGCCTGGCTTTTTTCACCAGGACCTGGTTAGCTGCTTATAAACTTGAATGGTCAGAAAAAGCCTTCCATCAGGATCTAAAAGAAGACACTTGAGTTGTTTCTGTTTGGTTGGTTTTTTGTTTATTGGTTTTTGGCCAGGGTATGTTGTTTTATCTTCAGCATGGTGGCTGCATCTTAATCTACTGCTATTTCAGCCAGCAATTGCGGCTCCGCAGTTACTGCCTGCTTCTCTGGCAGCTGCCCAGCCACTCAGGTCAAAGCCTGGTGGGAATTCTGCTCCTGCAGGCACCAGCTCTATCGCTGCCACTGAAGGTAGCTCTAACTAAATCTCTATCGTTCTATCTATAAGTAAAATTCAAAACTCAAAGGCGGAGGTGAAAGCTTACTAGCTCAGGGAGGTTGAGTAACAATTAGCTAATCTTCTGTCCTTGCTGACTGTCGTGAAAGGACTGTCCTTCCACTCTTAAAAAAAAAAAAAAAATGCCACTCAAGACCCCCTCCCTACTACTTGTGGTGCATCTGTCTCTTCCAGATGCCCTCTGATGCTCTATGATCACTTTCTTCAACTAGTTGATACTCAGCCTCCTGACCCAAGGTTTTTATTTAATTAATGTGAATGCATACTTGGGGTTCACAGTGTTGAATTGAATATCCCCCAACACCAGGGCCTTTTGCAACAATGAAGAACTGAGAATGTTGTTCTTGTTTTATTTTACAAAAAAGAAATTTGGTTTCACCAGGCAGTGGTGTCACATGCCTTTAATCCTACCACTGGAGAGGCAGAAGCAGGTGGATCTCTGTGAGTTTGAGGCCAGCCTGATTTACAGAGGGAGTTCTAGGACAGCCAGAGCTACACAGAGAAACCCTGTCTCGAAAAATCGAAAAGAAAAGAAAAAGAAAAAAAATTTATTCCAGCCAAAATATAAATGATCACAATGTTTTCACCCTATCAAAGTGTGAACAGTTTACAAAATGTAAAGCTTTTAATGTAAATAATTGCTTTTAAAATGTCTGTATTTTGGGGTGGTGCCAGGGTTTGAGATCTTGAAGCAGATGTTGTCCGAAGAAAGGGTTGTACCTCACCTCCCACTGGCCAAGATCTGGGAATGGCTGGTGGGTGTGGCTTGCCGCCAGACTGGTCATCAACGACTGAAAGCCATCCATTTACTGCTAAGGATTGTGCGATGCTGCACCCACAGGTAGGCAGTGCTGGGTTCAGTCCCTAATGACACCTCCTTCTCTGTTCCTAGTTACTTTGTTAATGGCATCTTTGAGGAAAAAAGACAAATGTATTTTTAGTGTTTCTGAGTTCATTCATCATTTCCTTTAAGTTAGTGGGTTTTGTGTCCTGTAAGTAACTTTTGCCTCATTCAAAAGTCATAAAAGTATCTACTATTTCTTTCTAGAAGCTTAATTATTTTCCCTTTCATGTGACATCTGTCCACCTGGGGCTAATGTGGGTAAACAAGTTTGAGTTTCTAGTGTCAAGTTTTTGCTTTATGCTTCTGCTTGTTCTGAGTCTACCTTTGCCCTGAGCACCCTTCACTGTTACCTTGGTCCCACATATTCATAACTTTGGGCATTTCCTTGTCTATAAGCCAGCGCTGTCTTAATGACTATAGCTCTATGACTGATTTACATATCCAATAATTTAATTGTAGAAGTCTGTCAGCCTAGATCTTCTCTTCAAGATTGTCTTGGGTTTTGGTTTTGTTTAAGACAGTGTTCATTATGTCGCCCAGGCTGGCCTAGAGCTCTGAGTCCTCCAACCACAGCTTCCTTAGCACTGGAATTACAGGTTACCCTACCATTCCTTACCATGTTGGGAGTGTGATTTTCTGCTTTTGGTTTGTTTGTTTGTAGGTAGGGTCTCACTCTGTAGTGCTGACTAACCTGGATCTTACTATATAGATTAGACTGGCCTCAAACTCAAATATCTGCCTGTATACTCCACTGGCTGTGTTGGGTATTTATAACCATAGTGTGGCTGACCATTTTTTCCCTAATGATTTACAAATATTTTCATCCTCAATTATAGTGAGTTCTAGGGCGGCCCAGGATACACGTGAAACTTGCCTAAAAAAAAGAAAGAAAGAAAGAAAGGAAGAAAGGGAGGAAGGAAGGAAGGAAGAAAAGAAAAGAAAAAGAAATGGGGCTAGGGAAATGGTTCAGTCTGTAGTGCCTGCAGAAGATGAGGACCTGGGTTGAGGTCTTCAGTAATTGGGGAAAAAGGCATGTAGATACACACAGCATGAGTCAATGTGAGGTGATGGTACTCAAAGTAAAAGGTAATATGAAGTTGTTTTTTAAAATTTGAAGGAATCTTGAGGTCAGGAAGAGAAAATGATGGCTCACTGTCAGTTCCCAGGCTGGCAGCAGGGGCGGAGTGAGAGAAGGTTGGGTGTGCTTGCTGTTAGTACCATGTCCTCATATGCAGACATTATATGTTGCTTAGCTCTAAATGGGCTCCCAGTAGAGCACACGGATGGTATGCTGTCTAAGCAGTATGTCACACTGCCAAGGTCTTCAGGCTGGCTGGCCTTCCTGGCTATGGTTCAGATGTCTTTCCACAGTTTCCTTTCCAGTAGGAACTCCCTGCACTCTGAGTGTGCCCCCACAGGCCCTTCCACTGATAAGACAACATTCAAAGGGGAAGAAGAAAACGTAAATTAAAGAGAATGGCAAACTCATTACACATATGCATGGTACCCTATGGTGAGACCAGAGTATTGTTGAGTTCCTAATTTTCTCTTCTGAGGGGTCTTGAACTAGGATCACAGCCCCACCCACTCCAGGTTCAAACACTCTGGGTTCCCTAACATACAGGTCTGAGAAGGATTGGGCTTCTCCTAGAGGCAAGATCTCAAGTGCAAGGGTATTTTCTGTTTTATAATTGAATATCAAAATGTTTGTCTTTCCTATCCATTTGGGGTTTTGTTGTTGTTGTTTTGGCTTTTTTTTTTTTTTTTTTTTTTAATATGTGATGTGTCATATCTTGGGGGTTTTTTTTGTTTTGTTTTGTTTTTTCATTTAAAATTTAGCTTAAGGTGGCATGGTAACTCACACCTGTAATCCCAGTTCATGAGAGACTGAGGCAGAAGGATTGTCATGACTTCAAGGATAGCCTAGGCTACCTATTGAAACAAAACACAGCACATCTGCCTGGAGATTTTCCCACTGTCACTGGAAGGACTTCATAGGAACCATTTTTAAAAACACACAGGGTTAAGATGCTTTCCCTCATAAGTAAATGTAAAAACAAAAGAAGAATGCAATAATTCCTGTGAACATACTTCAGGTTCTCTGGATTTCTTAGAGTCACTCTGGGGTCTTAGGCTATGTCCCTTCCATTCTGTGCTGATGGTGACTACATGTGACTGTGACTGTTTCAGCGAGAAGTGGGTGTGGCCATTCTAGGATGGGGTGGGAAAAGAAATGCCTGACCTGCAGTTTCTTTCATCTGTCCACATGGGGTGGCCTACTTCTCAGTAAACTGACCCCATGCTTGCACCCCCCCAGTGACCTCTGTGACCTTGCCCTGTTGAAGCCCCTGTGGCAGCTCTTTACCCACATGGAGTATGGCCTCTTTGAGGATGTGACACAACCTGGCATCCTCCTGCCCCTGCACCGCGCCCTCACTGAGCTCTTCTTTGTCACTGAGAACCGTGCCCAGGTAAGGATGTGTCCACCTCTTGCCCTTCAATCTGGGCAGGAAGGATCATGTCTCTGTGTGCTTTTACCTGTTCCTGCTCAAGGCAGGACTAGGGTCACACCCAAGTTCCCAGCCCATGGTATCCAGGCTGCACAAGGAGGCAGGCCTGAGCCTATATCCAGCTTTCCCACAGCATATACCAGTACCCCCCAGACCTGAGAAATGAAAACCTCAGGTAAGCCTAGTTGCTTATTTTGTCAGGCCTATAGCCAAAGTGAGGTAGGGACCGCCTTGAACCAGCTCTTGACAACAGGGATCTCTGGGAAATCAAACACTTAGGTTCCTCTTCCTTGTCTTTCTCCACCTAGGCACAATAGACTTATTGAATTGCCACATGAAAGGCCCTTTCACAGATCCTTTGCTTGTCTTCCTCAGGAGACATGAGAAAAGTCCCCTGCCTGATTGTCCTGTGGGTCATCAGAGCTAGCTCTGGAACCAGGTTCCTATTTTTTCCAGCTAGTCTTTTTTTATGGCTGGAGCGTGTGTGGTGGCATGGGTGCCTGGCAGTGAGCACTGCTTACCCCCTTGGGGCCCCTGTTTGCATGGTAGGTGCCCTTTGTTCAGCCCTGCTGCCTTCCATCATTCAAGGAGCCCTTGCTCTCTTCACAGGAGCTTGGCCTGCTGCAGGAATACCTGCTGGCCTTAACCACTGAGGACCACCTTCTCCGATGTGCAGCACAGGTACCCTCTCCCTTGTCCCCAAAGAGCTGGGCCATAGGTCATCTTCCTGTGATAGAAGGCACCATCTCATTGTTAGGATTGGGGGGGGGGCAGGGCGGGCGTAGAAGAGTGAGAAGAGAGTTAGTTACGTGACAAGTCCAGACCCTCCCAGAGTTTACATGGAGCTCAGTTGCCTTTCAGTCACTTCCTTCTGGCTCTCACAGAGCGGGGGAGCCCCATTTATCACTGCCACTCATATGAAACAGTGGGGTCAGAAGACACTAGCAAGAATTTGTGTCTGTAAAACCAAAACAACCAGTGCCTTCACTTTAGTTTGGCTGATCCTGGAAGTTTCCATAGAGTTAGATTTCAGATATTTTTGGACGTACTTTGCTTCCCTGTTAGGAAAACTCCTCTTAACAGCTGTGCTTCTCTAGATGATAGCGGGCCCAACAAAGCTATTTGTTAGTGTATGCTGTATACAATGTATAGCGTTAGAAATTAGACTTCAATATCAAAATTAAAACATTCAAAATGTTAAACATGTATGTATCAGTTCAGTTTTTAAGAGAACATTTCATGTTAATGTACCTTGGGAAAAAAAAAACAAAATGATTTTTGAGGAAGGTGGCCCTAGTTCCATTTTTGCAGACTTCTTTAATGTCTGTCCTGACAGAAGACAGCTGGATTCTTGTGTTGCCCTGCACTAATCCCTGAAATGGAACTGTATACTATGTGCTCAGGAAATGGTGAAAGTAACACTTGAACCTGTGACCCCTCTCCAGAGGCTTGGGGGCCTCAGGCCCCAGCCTGAATTTTGAGAACTGACTTGTGCAGTAATCCTAGAGCAGACAGATGGGGACTCAGATGGGCATCCACCTGGGACTCTTCCCAGAGCCCAGTCCTTCAAGGAAGGCTCTTCTGTGCAAGGTTAAAGGTGTCTGCTCATAAGTGGGGCTCTCCTGAGACCTGTAGGCAGGAGACAAACTGCCCTCCATCCTAGCAGCCTCCTGCACTGGCTGCCATGGTCCTTGTTTTCTTGGTATGCTGTAAGAGATTTTGATGTGTGGTTGCTTTGGCTCCAGCTTTCTTTCCCATGGGCTTGCCTGACCCTCATGCCTGCCCCATGAATGTCTAGTTCCCTTTCTCTGTGACTCTCCCCACAGCTGTCCAGTTCCCTCACTGGTGTTCTGCTTCCTGGCCATGTCTTCCTGGGACAGCCACTTTCCTAGCACTGTTTATGAGCTTCCTGTGGGTACTTCTCCTCTGTCCCTGGCTGTCACCTCTTGTGTGTACTATGTGCTTCCCTTCCATACCTTTGTATGGCTTTCTCAGACTCTTGCCTCAGCAACTTGGCTTTCCTGTTGGCTTTTGATTTTGTTTCCTTTCTCACTCTGCCTGCAAGCCTCTGGGTGAGGAGCACGACCTCTGGCTCACCTCACTACCCTCCAGCTGACTTAGGGGTGAGCAAGTAAATGGTCCTTGATGTTGGTGACCACTCTTTCCCTCCACAGGCTCTGCAAAACATCGCTGCTATCAGCCTGGCCATCAACTACCCAAACAAGGCCACCCGCCTCTGGAATGTTGAGTGTTAGCCTCATTGTGGCTTGCATGGACTCAGTACTCTACAGGGGTTTACAGCAGACCTCCAACCTTGCTCAGGAAACCCCTGCATCTCTGCACCCAGCTCTCTGAGCCCACCCCCTGCTCCCATTTGGATGCCAAGCAGCTGCCTCATCAAGTAGGCCCACTGTGCAGGCTCCACATGTGCAAGAAAGCACAGCAGTCCTGAGGGGCTCAGAAAGGGCCATCAAGAGGCCTTGGGAAAGTTACTCAGAGAGACCAGTCTCCTCCAGGGCTGTCCCAGGGGAGTCACAGCACTGAAGACCTAGAAGTGGTCTCTAGAAGGACTCTGTCTCCACTGAGTGGGAGCTGCCCAGGCTTGCCATCAGGGGACGGCGCCATCCGTGCAGCTGTGGCCCAGTTGGGAAAACAACCCACAACCAACATGAGCGCCTCCCAGCCACCTTCAACTCCCAAGTTGTCTTCATGCCACAGGTCAGCTGGCCAACTCCCCAGTGCCCTTGGGAACGGCCGACAGGCCCTGCTTGTCACCCTTGCAACAGCTCCCAGCACACATGTCTGTGTTTCTGCACTTATTTTAGTATGTTTTGGTTTCCCCTTCATGATTCTAGAAGAGAACCACACTGGCTCCCTGAGAGAGCCCCTAGGGAATGCCTAGGAACAAACTGGTGTGTGTGGAAGGGACAGAAGTGGAGGGACTCTCCAGCCACCTGCGGTGCCAGCAGTGCCCTCAGAGGAGCCCTTATCCAGGAGTCAGGCCATACCTGACTATACTTGTGCTTCAAGGTCATGGTGATTGGCATACCTACCACCTTAGGCCTCTGGCCTGGCTATTTAGCAATAACTACATTAGTTCTAGTGAATGCTTTGCATTTTTCCATGTATGGCTTTAGCATTGCCCTGATGATTTTTCTTTCCAGGACCACAATGAGTGGGAAGCTGGGTTGGTGCCAGGCCAAGGACTTTCAGGAAGACAGAATCCTGAGGCAACTTCTACTGAAGGGCAGGTGTCTGGGCCAGAGGCATGTCCCATCTCACAGGCCCAATGCAAAAAAAAAAAAAAAAAAAAAAAAAAGGCTCCTCACAGCCAGGGCCACACTTGGCCAGCTTGTGTTGCTATGGCCCAGTATGCCTCTCGGCCTCTGAAGAACCTTCTGGGAGTGGGCAAGGGACTGGATTAGAAAAGGCTGAGCCTGCAGGTCTGGGAGCACCTTCTGCAAAGGTGCTGTGCCTTGTGGCACCACTACCTGCCTGGCCCTTGAATTAAGTTTTTTGATGAACCCCAGCATACAGGAAAAATGGTCACAGAGCGGGAGGGGATAGGTTGCAAAAACATAGGAACAAATAGAGTGGTGGCCCCTGGTCCACCACCCTGACATCAAAGGAATTGTAGTCCAGTTCCCATGGTGCAGGACCTGGTGCCGGCCCATAGGAACCTCTTTCTCATCTTTTGCTCTTTGCCAAAGCACCTGGGCTTTGCAAGCTGCCTAAACCCCCCAGGGAAGGCCGCTGCAAGCTGCTCCCTCCAAGTAGGTGTCAGGTGAAGTCAGAACAGGTCTCAGTGTTTGATGAAGAGCCTCATGGTAGCTCAGATCAGATAGCTGTTAGGCGATGTGGGGAGAGGATGCTGACACACTCACACCCCTCCACACCTCAGATTGACTGAGTAGAGGGAGCAGATGGGCAGGGCAGGGCAGGGCTGGAGGCCTCCCTTAGGCCCTAGTGCTCCTCCCACCCTTCCATCAGGAAGAGCAATTGTAAATAAACGCTGGACCCCATAGCTTCTTTCCACTCACTGCTTGCTGTTTTCTCTCCCTGTACTTCAGTTTGTCCTTCACACACCACAGCTGCTCTCTGACAGGGCCCCTCCTGACCTGGCCACCTGCAGCCCACTGCCTCTGCTTCTCTAAGCCACTGGGTGGCACTGCTGAGCCAGGCCCATCTCTCCTGACCCCAACCAGGGCAGGAGGTCCCAAAGGAGTTCCATCAAGGCCAACGTCCCCTTGACCCTTCTTAGGAAGCCAGACTGCCTGGACTGAGACAAAGCTGGCGGGAATAAGGGGTCGTGGAAACATGTGCCTAATCTACAAAGAATTCTGTTCCAAATCATATATATTGTACAGACACTGTTCTAATGAGAGGAGTGACTTATTTTCATCATCGTTTTTAATTTGTTTTCTTACGGGTTTACGATTTTGAATTTTTATTATTTGGTTGAGAGAAAGAATTTTGATTATATCAGCTGAGTGAGTTCAGCCTGTAAAAAGAATGTTTTAAGTTGTGGATAAGATATGCAAATGAAGAGAAATATATTGTACAAAATCTATATATAAAAAAAAAGTACAACACTGTGTGGATTTCTCCCTTTCCCCTTCTCTTCCCTCCCTGACCCCATTTTCCTTTAGAAGGGTCTCACTGTATCCCCCAGGATGGCCTGAAACCCGCAATTTTCTGCCATGTCTCTCATGACTGGCCCTTCAGTTTCTCTTGTGAAATATGTTTTGGAGTTTTTGCCCAGCCAAACAGATGGGGTTTAACAGAACCTCACCACTTCTCCTTGTGAGAAGGAGTCCAGCAGGTCCCTCAGGCCCCAGCCTCTGAATGTTGACGGAACTGTGAACCTTGTCTTTCACTGTGGCAACCCAGGAAATCCAGGGGTTCACCTCAGTTGCCCCCTTCTGAACTGTATCTCTCAAGTTTGTCCCCAAGTTCTCTCCTCTCCAGTCAGATACCCAGCACCACCCTGCCAGCTCTGAGATGCCTGTAGGTCAAAGGCCTTGTTGCTGCCCTGGGACTACTCCTCCTTCCAGGCTCCCCCGACTCATCTAAAGCTGATGCCTGATCCTCCTCAGGTCCGAGGTCCCATTTACCATGCTGTGCCCTTCTCAAACACTTTCCTGAGCTCAGTGCCGTCTTGTGAGATGGAAGAATTTGCCTTCTCAGTGGAATCTGGGCCTAACCCACCATTGAGGCCCACTGTCTGCATGTCTCCCCCAAACCTGTGACTCTAGGGGAGCCCCAGGCAGGGCCTGGACCCAGCCTCAGCTTCTCCAGTAGGAAGCTTGAGTTACCATGGTGCTCAGGGGAACTGACTCATCCAGAGCTGAGTCTCCCTCTCAGGCTAACATTTATTGCTTTCCTCACCTTGACTTGTCAGAATCGTGGGGCTTACTTCTGAAAAGTAAGTCTCCCAGCTTCTGTCGTTGACACTGGCAGCCTTTACTCAAAGCAGTGGAAGAGCTGTGTGGAAGTCCCCTGCTTGCTGAGACGACACGGATTTAGCAGGTCACAGCAGCACTAGGCAACTCCAGCCCAAAACTTCCACAACTGAAGAGAAAGGTGGAATTCCAGTGTTGCTCATTTTTGCATGTCAGTGCCGAATCCTTTGGCACAGGAGGGAAACAGAGAGCTGTCAGGGCTCAGCCCCGGTGCCCATTGTCGTAGCCTCGCTTCCACACGCCAGCTCTGCCAACATGCCAGCCCGGTGTTTACACTGTATGTAAACATCCCAGTGGAAAACCCAGACTTAGTCTAAGCCCACGTCTGCACATGACTGACCTAGGGGACACTGTTGCCTGTCTCACTACCTCTTCCTGCCCATTTCCCTCCTTCCCTGCTCACAGACACAGACTCCAGGACGTTTTCCAGTATTTGACCTTGTGGGGAGCACATGCACAGGTATAGAGGTCAGAGGACAATTTGCAGGAATTGGTTCCCACCCTGTGTGTCCAGGTCGTCAGGCTTGTCAGCAAGTTCTGTTGCGCCATCTCACCTGCCCCAGAATCCAATCTTTTTGTGGGTGACAGATGTGGATGCTTCAGTCTCAGGAAAACTGTCTTTTTACTGGCTCGTGGGGAGAGTCATTCTTGGATGGTACCCTCCTTGGGTACTGTCCTAGAAATCTCATTTCTGTTTATAGGCTGCTTCCTTTCCCATCTCCTTTTACAATCATGGTGGCTGTGAGCCATTTCCTGCCACAGAGACACTGATGCCTGCTAGGGGGTCCTAGGAAAGAAGTTCTCAACCTGTGGGTCATGACCTCTTTGGGGGTGGAATGGTCCTTTCACAGGGGTTGCATACCAGATGTCCTGTGTATCAGGTAATTACATTATGTTTCCTAAAAGCAGCAAAATTACAGTTTCAAAGTAGCAATGCAAATAATTGTCTGGTTGGGGTCACCACAGCCTGAGGGGCTGTATTAAAGGGTCGAGTTGGGAGCACTGCTGTGGGTGAAGGGTTCTTGCTCACATTGTACTGACAAAGCACTGGGCTTGGAGACCCCGCTGCAGCCTGCTGCCCTAAGGTGGCAAAGAGCGGGTGGCCGAAAAGCCAGTACACAGCTGCGGAGGTAGGGATTGGGACGGGAGTGGGTTTGAGCACCTGTTCAGGCTCCCCAGGAGTATAGGGGAGGTTGGTAAGGGGGCATGTGGTTGGCTAAGTGAAAACATTTTCTGGCCCAAATTTAGGCCACAGTTGGCTCCAGTGAGTTAAAATAAGGCGGTAACCCTCTTGCCATAATACTATCAAAATACATTGTATGAAAAAATTAGATTTATTTTAAAAATCTGTTCCAGGAAGAATTAAGACTGCCTAAATCACTCATCCTCAACCTCCTTAATGCTGTGACCCTTTAATACAGTTCCTCATGCTGTGGTGAACCCCAGTCATAAAATTGTTTTCGTTGCTACTTCATAACTGTAAATTTGCTACTGTTCTGAATCATAACGTAAATATCTCTTTTCTAATGGTCTTAGGAAACCCCTGGGGGAAGGTCATTTGACACCCCCCCCCAGGGGTCAAGACCCACAGGTTGAGAACCACTGCTCTAAATAGTCCTATTAAGTAGATATTTTTCTAAAAATACAAAATGGTTTCACTGCTGAAGGTTTTCCAACCTTCGGGAATTTAGGGGCCACTGGAATGGCTCAGTAAGGAAAGAGGCTCACAGTCTGATGACCTGAATGACCTGATGACCCAGAAAGAAAAGAGAGGGGAATCTTAAAAGTTGTGTTCTTCTTCCAGGTAGCAGTGGCACCTGCTTTTAATCCCTGCACTTGGGATCTCTGAATTCAGGGCCGGCCTGATCTACACAGTGAGTCCCAGGACAGCCAGGGCTATATACTGAGTGAGAGAGACCTTGCCTTAAAAAAAAGTTATCTTCCAACATTCATACATACACAGAAACACACAAAATAAATAAGCAAACAAATAAATATATTTATTTTTATATGTGATTTTTAAAATATCAGCAATGTGTGAAAAGTAAATGTATAGACATTTCCTGGAATAGAAAGGCTACTAACAGGACCCAGTCAAGTTGATGGCAGCTGTCAACAGATTCTCCTTTCTAGGGATTCTTGGCTACTGTAGCTTCCCTTAGCACAAAAGGAGTTGACGCTAAATTTGGAGGCACTGTCCCAGAATTCAGTGAGATCTCTCTATCTTTAAGTTAATCTCCAAACTATATTCGTTTGCATGTGTGCATGCGTGTGTGTGAGCACACACACACACACACACACACACACACTCCTGCACACATAAGACATGCCATGCTGCACTTGTGGATGTCAGAGGACAACTTAAGAGAATCTGTTCTCCCTCGCCATGTGGGTCCCAAGGAGTGAACTCAGGTGGGTAGGCTTATCAGCAAGTGCCGTTACTTGCCTCACAGCCTTGCTGGCCCCCCAAACTGACTAAATTTAAAAGATGAATTCAGCAGCTCACAAAACGGAAAAGCCTGAAGGTTGCATCTGCCTCTGGACAAAACGAAATTCTGTGGCTTGAAGATGTGAGGTCAGTCTGTCTGTCTCCCCTTGCCCTCCCCTCTCCTGCTCTTCCTGGACTTTTACTCACAAGAAGGAGCCACATGCTCCTTCCTGGGCAGTCCCAGAGCCACCCCAGTGCCTCTTCATGCAAGGCTTCCCTCAGCTGTCAGCCATCATGTTTAAAAAGCTACTTGGGAGACCCACGTCCTTATGGGTTGTCAACCCAGGACTGCTGAGCCACATGCATCCATGACAACTGGGCAGATGTCATACCTGGGAAATCCCCACATAGCTACTGTGAGTCCTGTCAACACAGCTGCTCAGCCACTCCATCAGGCGAGACACCCCTAAAATATGGCAGGGAGACTGCTCATTGGGTCAGAAATTCACAGCAGAAGTGAAGAGAAGCGGTTAACTCAAATTCCTTTTACATTTTAAATTTAAAGTTTTACAATTGACACATTATTGTACATATTTACCAGGTATAATGTGATGTTCATGTTTTATTTTGTTTACAGTGCTACAGATTTAACCTAGGGCCTCCCACTCAATCAACCCACCACTGAGCTTTCTTTTTTATTTTAAGGTCTAAGTGCTCTAGGATGGAGCTTGCAATCCTCCTGCCTCAGCTTTCCCAGCAGTGAAGATTATTGCAGCCCTGCCTCTCCAGGTCCTGCTTACCATTTCAGTGTGTTAGGAACATTCATTCAGAATCCATTCTAGGGAGTATAGCTCAGGGGTAGAGTATGTGTTCAGCTAAGACTCATTACCCAGGGCCTCCTAAAAAAACATGTTCTCTACGAGATGTCTTCAGATAATCAGTCGTCAGCCATTGTTCCTCTGCACTAGTGAGCATTAGAAACTTTCCCTCCTGTATTTTCATCTTTTCACTTGGCAACAACTCTTTTCAACTCCCCCTTCTCAGACTTTAAAAAAAAAAAAAAAAAAAGTGCTTTGCTGCATGAGTGCCTGAAGGAGCTAGAAGAGGGCATCAGATCAGATCCCCTAGACGTGGAGTTACAGAGCTGTTAACCATCATGTAGGTGCTGGGAACCGAACCCTGGTCCCTCCTCAAGAACATTCAGTGGGCCACCACGCCCGACTTGATCTCCTTCCTTCAGTTTTGGCCTCACCTCCTAAAGTTCCTCCACATCCCCAAACAGTCCCATCAGCTGGTGTCCAAGCCTGCAAGAGACATTTCACACTGAAGTGGTTCATAACATTCAGCTGCCCTTGGCCACCAAAAAGCTCATGCCCATCTCCTCATGCAAAACTTCCTTTAGTTCATCTCTAAGACTCCACAACATTTCAAAAGGTTACAGTTTTGCTCAAAAACCCAAGTCCAAAGCATCTTCAAAGATCCAAGACAAACTCATAGCTGTGAGACCCCATAAAACTTTTTCAGAAAACCCTGTGCCTGTGGTATCTGGGACATGTGATAGGATGATGTGGGCTCTAGAAGGCTCAGGTACTCTTGTTACTCTGACCGTGCTGGCTTTAGCACATGTGGCCTCCCCTGGGCTGGCTCTGCTCACTGCCTGCAGCTCCCATCAGCAGATGTTCCGTGTTCCTGGCATCCTTG